TGACCACCCGTCCCGCGACTCGCGGGACTGTCCCGCATTGAGGGCTCGTGTCCTGCGTCCCGCGAAAAATGCCCAAATATTCAAAATGTTCCGCATTTCATACTGTAGTAAGATTCACTCTGCAACTCAAGGTGCTGCCGAACAACGGGGCACGGGGAAGCGCGGAGGTCACTGGTAAGCGTGTGAATCGCAATGTTACGCCATTTTCTATCCAAGCATTGCGGAAGCGACCGTCGTTCTCGGAGGAGATATGACGCGCATGCTCCGTTGTGACTCTCCCCTTGGTGGCAAAATATTGTAAGAGAAAATTGTTCGCTGAAAGTTTAAATATAAAATAGTGTAATTATTTTCAAATCGCTGCGTCAATGTGAAATGCTTGCTGTTGATTTTTTTTTTTTTTTTTAGTGAAGACAGCCCGACAAGGCATGAAGCCTGCAACATTACAAAGGGTCGAAAAATAATTACATATTGTTAAAAATCTATGTAGGATATAAAATGTGTTTATCGAGCCTCGGTTCGTGGTGCGCCCCCACCCCCTCCCCCTTCGTGTCCCGCATTTCGCTAGCAAAGGGGTGGTCACCCCAGGTCAAATTGTTGCTGGTTGCGGCAAACTTCTAATTTGCAATAATCAAACTAAAAAAAAAAAAAAGCAAAAGTTCTAATAAAGCTGCATAAATCACATACAAAATATTAATAATACGCGTGGTGCACTATCGTAAGAGTGACGAAACTGCGCATGATGGCAACTATGGGATGTATGATGCCAGTTTAAAATCCCGAGTGGACGCCCGGCCTCCCTCAAAAAATTTCGCATCCCATACTTCTGGCTAACGTTAAAAATGCCAAAACTTCGCCTCCATCTGCCATGCTCCCCCTCTTAAAAAGAAAAAAAAAAAAAACACGTGCTGTGCACCTTAGAGGATTTTCTCGCAAATCTCCCGCATATAGTTCTTATAGTTCCGTAATCTATGGAAACCAGAGAACTGCGATATCGAGTGGAATAAAGTAGTGAAGTTTTCGTAGACCGCGTTGCCCCCTCCGCTAAGCGTTCCGCAGCGAAGAAGTTGCTACTGCGCCTGCGCGCCGATTGCCTTGACTGTGGAGTTTCCGCTATCGTAGCGGGTTGCGGAGGGCCTTGCGGGACGGCGAAAACGATCTACGAAAACTCCCTGTTAAAATCTCGCCGCTTTCATAGTCGCTCAGGAAAACAATGGTGATAAAAAAAAAACGGTTTCTTGTTTGTTTTTTGTCCCCTTTGGTCCCCTTCTCCAAGGATTATTAGGGAGTTTTCGTATATCTTTCCGCTGTCCCGCAAAGCACTATGTATCTGGCCTCAAATGCTGCGTGCGTACGCGGAGGCGCCGCCTCCGGATACGCAGGATGTCCGCAAACGCAGTACGTCTGCAATGCATACGCACGACGTTTGCATATGCACGATTTCCGCATACGCAGGCGCCGCGCGTATGCGCACGTCATCCTCGACGTCGTTCTAGAGGTCGATAACGCAAGCGCGAGCGCTGTGCGTTATTGTTGCGTGCTCCATGTTGCGCGCTCCATGTTGCGCATGCGCGTCGTCGCCATGCGCCAATTCAAGACCGAAATTTTGTGCTTCACGCACGCGCACTGTAGAACACGCAACGCTAACGCAAACACACGGTGCTTACGTTCGCTCGATACGCAATACTACAACTCACTACTGGTTTACCGGTTTTCCGTTATGCCAATCTCCCCCTTTCGAGTTCTATCGAACTGGAAAGGGGGAGATTGGCAAAACGACGGCGCGTAAATACGAAAGAAAATACATGTTCCAAAAAGTTTCCGAATAAAAAAAAAGTATATTTTGAGGCATTTGGTTTGGCGGCGAATTTGGAAGTTTTGTCGATTGTCAAAAGTCGCAAAACTTATAGTACCATGCTTTGCCCCCAATTAATTTCGTTTTTGCTTGAATCCTCGAACTAGATAGAATGCTTTCACTGATTTTAGCGTTTGGTAATGCATAATTAATTTTTTCAATAAAAAAAAATTTTTTTTTATTTATTTACATTTATCTATTTATCTGGAGCAGTGGAGGCTTGCCGGCATGCGACGAACAAGCCTTTCACTGCCACCGCCATTGTCTGCTAGGTGGCGCAAGCTGCCGCCTCATTCAGTCTGGCGAGGCAGCTCTGGCTCTGGGTCTCTGGCGCGGCGTGTACAAATCGCGGCAAGTTTCCAACGTTTTCAAGGGAGAAAAAAAGTGTAGCTGTATTTTGACCTTTCGATCAAGCTGTAAACGTCCAATTCCTTCCTGGCATAAACCGCGAGGTGTTTTCAAATCGTAACCGCGTCGCTAGGTCCGATGCACAGATTGAGACGAAAGGCAAGAAATTCTCCGCGCCCTACTTTCATTTTGGCCGCTGTACAGGCAGTACAGGTGTTCCGTGACCACCGTGAGAGTTATCTGCGGTATCATCCGAGTTCGTAGCAAATTCTCGAAGCGTGTTTATCGCGCCATACAACCCGAGTTTGCTCGGGCCGTGATTAGCTGGCTAACCGTGGTCTGCGACAATCTGTTCCTGTAACAGGCGAGTTCGTAGGGTTCCGGCGTGTTTATTGCACCGTGGAACGCAAATTTTTGCGTCCGCGGTCTGCGGTATCAATCCCTGTGTCATGGCAGTTCGTGGAAGCCCGCGTGTTTATCACTCAGTTAAAAAAAAAAAAAATGCTATCGCATTCTGAAAGATTACTTGTAGAACAGTTTTCACCGTTCTTTTGTTCTTCCACAATGGGTGGGCTCATTCAAAATTTTTACTGGGAACAATCGGGGATATTTCTAGAATAGTTTTATTGGGCTGAGCAAATTCGAAGCCTTAAACATTTCTGTACCGATGCAGATAATGAAAGTAAAAAAATGCAATTTTGAAACCATTATGTTTTTCCGGAGTGTGGCACGATTGCCCCACGGGCAGAATCTCCGCTGCAAAAGCCCCACGTTTCGAAAACGCTGTGTTCAATTACCCTGTCTTGTATTCCCTCCAAGCCAAAAGCCCCGTCATCACTGCCCCCGTCCCACCCTCTTCGCGCTTCAACCAGCATTGTTACAAGATGTAAATATGCCTAGCGTATGCCTGAAGGAGGGGAAGCTTTATCCATTTATTCCTTAGATCAAGGTTCAAGGTGTTTATTGGCTAAACATTGATCATATAGCCGAGAGCCTGAGGTAACCAAAAGGCAGGAGCCCGTGTAGCAGTGTGCTAGTTACCTCCTCAACTGTATGTTAACAAAAGATAAAAGAGGAAATCTGAAATAACGAAGTGGTGATGATGATGAGCATGTACAGTCCCGGGTATGGCATGATTGTTACTCAAGCTCGCGCGCACAGTTAAAAGCAGACTGCTCTGCCCTCGTGCTGAAGACCCGGCCACCTGACACGGGGCATTTGCGTCATGGGCTTCTGAAACGGGCATTTTGAAAGCGGGGCAAAAAGGTTAGGGCGTTTGCAACGGGGCATTTGGCACAGGGTTTTTGATATCGGGTGCTTTCGTGCACCATCCTTTTTCCATGCTTGTTTGTGTGTGGGCTAGGCCTGTCTAGCCTGGAAACGTTTCGTTGCATCATGCTATAGGAGGGCTCACTCCTGGTTCCATGGGACAAGTTTGATTGGTTGAGAATTCTGCTGCGTGGCCAGAGCATGTGCATTTTAGCATGGCAATTAAAGTTATCTTTTCATCCTTACATTTAATTAGTAACATAATGAGCACTGCAGTGGTGGGCAGTAGTTACATGTTTGGTGCCTAGCATGCTTGCTTGGAATACGCTTTGGTTGTAAAGTGCATTAATGTCGCATTGTTTTGGGAAAAGAGCTAGATGGAATTTTAAATGATAACCTGATTACTAGTAAAAAACAAATGTGGTTATGTCATGGTTAAGTAGAATATGCCAGTTTTTACGCCAGTTGGATATATCCTCTAGACTGTCATTTCAAGATTAGTCTGTGATCTGCAGTGTGTTTTATTCTATTAAACAAATTAAAGTGGCTAGACTACAATGATATTACCCCTCCAACTCCACTAACTCTGCTATACATTTCATTTGAAATTGTATCCCATCAATGTCATATGCAGTAATAGATACCTAGGAAAAGTAGGATAATGGTTGGTTTCTGAAGGTCCTCCACTTGCTGTGACCTACGGGGAATGACTCAAGCACAAGAAATAGTTTGTGAGAAGCAATGTCTTTTTTAATATATATAGAGAGATAAAATATTGCATGACTGCTGAAGCATCAGTCGTTTCAAGGTGGACTTGTGGTCTGACACTTTATTCAAAGTGCCTGCAAGCTTGCGTACCTATATATATGCATGCAATCATTGTAAATAGTGACAATGAGGCAAAGGAACAGGCAGCGCATTTCGCTTTCCAGCTGTGCAGGACTTCAAACTCAGAAGGGTGAAGAAGCCTGATACTAATAGGCGGTTTTCAGATAAACGGGTATTGTACCAGCGTGTGATTGTAATCACTACTGCACAGTGGCGTATCCAGGGGGGAGGCATATGGGACTTCAACCGCCCCACCCCCCAACCCGAAATCCAGCCGACCCTATAATATACACATGCACTCTGACCCCCTCTCTCCCCCCTCTGCACCCTAATCCATGGACATCCCAACCAACTCAGCCCCCCCCCCCCCCTCCCCTCCTCCCTCCCCTAAAACATTTCTGGCAATGCCGCTATGTGCACATTAGACCCTAAGTTATCACACCTACTAACTGGAGCACTCGTTAGAAGCAGTCTGCTTCCTCTTGCAACATATTGTGAAAGAATACACTTATATAGGTTCTGATTAAAACAGTGATGTGTTTCAATCTAGTTGAACAACAAAGCTTGAAGCTCAAAGAAACCTCTGAAAAAAATATATTTGTTTTTAAACTAGTTTGTTGATATGTGTTAATTCGATCCAATTTTCTATTTTCTTTTGATCAATGGCAGACCTTGAAAGAATGGCTATTTCTGCATTTCGCAGCCTGCAATTGCAATGGCCGGTCCCGCAAGTGCTACTTTGACAAGGAGTTGTACGATCGCACGGGCCATGGCGGCCACTGCATCAACTGCAGCGACAACACCGACGGCCCCAACTGCGAGCGCTGCCGGGAAAACTTCTACCAGCGCAGTGATGGCCGCTGCGTTGCCTGCGGCTGCGACCCCTTGGGTATGTTATCCTCTTGCCCCATTTAAAGGGCCATCAGTATCTATATCTTGTTGCAATTAATTACAAATGCTTTTTGTAAAGAGCTGTGGACATCATTCTAAAAAATGTAGTCGTATGCATTTGTTTTGTGGAGCATTATTATTGTGATTGCTGCGGCATTCTTTTCGATCTGGGTACCAGCTGCCTTGGTCCCGCATGTTGCTTTGCAGTCTAGTTAAGTAACCAGGAGCAGTGTACTGAAAGACATGCAGGGGTACTGCATAGGTTAGAGGAAGAAAGCTCCCGAGAAGAGCGGTCCCTCAAAAAAGTACCTTGGAACAAACGGTCTCGTAAAATATTGTGCACAAACATGTGATCTGGAGTTTGAGTAAGACCAAAGAGACTGCTTTCTTCGTTACTGTGCATGATTGCCAACTTTTGTGGGATCCTCACATTGGGTTCTCAAACTTTTTGGTCTCGCGGAACCCCAGGAAGCCTCAAAGACTGCCACGAAACACTGCTCCCCCCCCCCCCCCCCCCTCCTATATTTGCCGACGGAGAAGCAACCGATGCACAATCGTAGGCAATTTTGTTTGTGTTGCTTCCCTTATGTCCCCACCATATCAATCGCGATGTCAGTACAAAGTGAGATGAAGGCGCTTTGCGTGGTCGTGCCGCGCAGCCTGCGGTGTGGTGGGGAGAGGGGAGGGGGGTTGCAATTTGGGTGTTCATGGAACCCATGAGACCAGCTCATGGAACCCCTGTGTTCCCCGGAACCCAGTTTGAGAACCCCTGCTCTAGAGTACTGATACTCTTAAGCTTTTTTTTTCCCCACAGAGCACATATTCATCATCATAGAAATTACCCGATACTGCGGTGACGACACAAAAATGACAGGGAAGAAGGAATAAGGTTTCAAACATGACTGACTTCTATTGTCGCAGAATCAACTTATATTGTGTCTGAACTACCGCGTGGATCAAATGGATCGATGACAGTTAGTAGGGACCGCATAAATCGGTTTCTTAACTTATCGGGCTGGCATTTACTACAGAGGTGCTCGAAGCTGATGTCAAAAGAACGAAAATAAAAGCTGGTTTTGTCTATAGAAAAATTATTCCTAAGCCTTTTATTTCAAAATCATCTGAAAATTGTTGTGGGCTATTCTGGCAATTATTATGATTGAAAATTTGGGAAATGGAAAGAAAATTGAATTGGGCTTACCTATTCTTCATTTTATTTGGCCCAAATAACGCCACGGTAACACACGTGTTTTTAGTGTACGTGCAAAGTATTGAAAAAAACAGTTTTTAATTTTTTTTGCTTTACTCAGGTGAGCCAATCTTTCCACAATTTTAACAAAAGCTTCCATCAACTTCAGGCACCTCTGTAGTAAACCCTAGCGCAATACATTACAAACACAATTTTAGCCGCCCCTTCAAACAACCATCGATCCCTTCAAACCACGTGGTAGAAAAGGGGGGAAAGGAGAAAAGAGAAACCAACAAACAATGCACTCTCAAGGAGAAAGCAAGCATGGAACTGAGGATCTAGATATTATGGGTACATCCTCGAAACTCCATATGGGATCTGGAGAACAAAAGAATGATCTATGCTATTCACGCAAGGAAATGTCATGTTATCTTGTCTAGATGGTTTGTTAGGTGTCAAGGATTCAAAATGGTGGAGGGAGCACATCATTTTCCTGTTGTAAGTCCCCCCAGTCGTAGTTTCTCGACTGTACATCTTCAAAGGACTCCCAAACTCAGGTGCAGCTTAGCAATAGCACCACCTCTTCTAGCGTTGATTATGCAACACTTACAGAGTTAATTAATCATTTTGAAATGGCACTGGGCAGCTTGTTATGCCACCAATTCAAATATTTAAATGAGAGGAACAATAATGCATAGAGTGTGTCACCGCGCCTGTTCTGGAATGGAGGAATAGTTTGCGCAAGCTTCGGACACTTCAAATAGGCACTGAGGGCACACCCATGCCTCAAACTGTTGTCAAAATTAGAAAAAGCTACCCAACCAATTAGGGGACCCTTTTTTTTTTTTTTTTGGCTTTGAGCACAATAAAAAAATATGGACTCCTTTGCTCAATTTCAACTGACAATCGGTCTTTGACTGTCCGGAATTTGGTAAAGTACCGATCCCAAAACTAAAGTACTCTTGACCCTCTCGACATTACTGGATAAGGAAATAGGTAATATTAAGAAGATACAGAAATTTCGGTGCTTTTATATCATGTAAGCTCTGGCAGTAAGTAGCAACCTATGAGACATTAGGGGTGGAGATCAACTCTTTTGAAGACCGACAGCCAGTTCGTGCTTTCCACGTTTTCCCTGTTTCCTCCTCTTCCCCCTTCTACCCTGTTCACCACTGCCTGTTTACTCCTTCCCCATGGTGAGGAGGATGTTCTGCCTTGCAGAATCTCGAGGCTGGTCGCTCGCCTTTAAGGCACCTCCTGTGGTCTTTGGCGGACAGTTGAAGGGTGGCATTTTTTGCACCTGTGACCCCCCGTCCCTCTCTCTATCTGTCTTTCTTTCTGAACAGGGTCCCGTGTGCTGCAGTGCAACAGCAAGGGCCAGTGCCCGTGCAAGCCCGGCGTGGAAGGGCAGCGCTGCGACCGCTGTGCTCCCAACTTTTACGACTTTTCGGAGCAGGGCTGCAGGTGGGTTAGGACAACAGTAATTGACTCGTCTTTCTCGGCACTGTTTGTGTTTCAGGTAGTGCAAACTGTGCTAGCATTTGCTTTGGGGGCTTGCTATGAAATGAGCTGGAAAAGTTGGTGTCTGCGCTCGAGCGTGAATTTTCACCAAAGGTGTGTTTTAGTGGTGGGTGAAATTTCGTGAAATTTCGAGGCATGCCATCATTCCTGTGAAAATTTAGAACAGCCTTGACATTTTTTATGGCGGATGCTCATACAGACACCTTCGTTTGCATTCATTCTAACTGGCGTAGTATGGAGTATCTTTATAGAATGGGTTCCAGATTGCAGGTGTTTATCCCTGGGCTGACCTAATTAAAGAAAAGTAAGGTTTGTTTTAGGCTGTGCTGTATTCTTTTTGTTTGCTATTCTTGGTTATGTTCGGTCTCATCCATGAGACTATTTTATTTTATATTTTACACTTTTAGGCTACACAGTAGGGTGTCGGAAGATCAGAAAAGGGCCGAGTTGAAGTTAATGCAGGCGACTGTGTCATGCAGCCCTGTTTCCTCTTGGGACTTGTGCAGTGGAGCCTACATCAGAACCATGTGTAACGCTTCTGGTTTATTTTCTAACTCTGCTATGTATTAAAATTGGTCCTTATGATAGCATGTTTGCACTCGAGGCCACACTGGGATGGGAAATGCTTGAAATCGGAAGTAAAAGCTAGGACTCAAATTTTTTCATCTTATATTTTACAACAATAGTAGAATTGATAAAACAGCATCTCTTTTAAATGTTACAAACTGGTTCTGTGTTAACGACGACCAGAGAGGGGAACAACCTTTCGAAACAGATTGTGTGCACCGCTGAATGTGTGCGTCGTTAAAAATGATGTTTTCTTTTTGTGCTTGTCTGAGTCCATAGCATAGCCTTCCTCCCTAAAATAATGTGCACGAGGCAATGTAGGTGCAATCTAAATAAATAAAATCCTAAAATTAACTTCAGTACTCTCCGTTTGACACACCGCTTTCTCATTTCACTTTTCTATTTTGTAAAAGAGTGCTAGGTATGCCGTCTTTCTGAAAATGAAGACCAATGAGGCCAATATATTTGGATTGGCCAAAGGGTTGGGGAAGTGGCCTGACACTCTGTATTGGGCATGGAATTCATATAATAAATCTGGAAGAAAGGTCTGCAATCTTCCCGTGCTTTTCGGTTGCCTCGGAAGGGCGGAGCATAGGGGCAGAAATCGGTGGTTTTGGTAGACCCGCATTGCTAGTGAGGCTTTAATAAACACAGAAGCAGGAATATAGCACTGGCATAGTCAGTATTTAGTTTTTCTTTTTTAGTTTGTTTTGTAAGAAAACACCAGCATCAGCTTTCTTAAGAAAAAAAAAATAAAGTTGACAAGCTCTTTAACTTCAACGAACCTTCTGTTTTTCACTCTTCCCTCCTCACTCTCTTCCTTGTTCTTACTCTTGGTAACACCAATCTCGGCGATTTTCTGCATTCCTCTCCTGTCTTTGCCCCGTAACAACTGACACATACACATTGCTGTCTGTGTGACGGCTGACTTTGTTTACTTCTTTTTAGGTAACTACACCTACAAACAATGTCGCCAGACAAAGAACATGAAAAAAAAAAGGCTGTCATCTGGATAACTGCACACATAAACAATATCGCCAGACGAAGAACACGAAAACACAAGGTTGTAAACTTAAATGAGTCTGCTAAACATAGCGGTGTATTCTTGACAAAACAATTAAACTTACCACTACGTCACAATGTTACTGGGACGCAGGCCGTGTGGCTGCAGCATGGCTGGCAGCGTGGACAGTCCTCCTTCGTGCGATGCTGCGACGGGCGTCTGCCGTTGCAAGGCCAACGTGGAGGGGCGCCAGTGCGACCGTTGCCGCCCGGGCTTCTTCAACCTGCAGCGGGACAATGAGTTTGGCTGCACCCCGTGCTTCTGCTTCGGCCACTCGGCTGTCTGCCAGAGTGCCCCGGGATACTCCAAGCACACCGTCTACAGCACCTTCACCAGGGGTATGGAGGCACTTTGTATCCCCAGTGGAGCAACCCCCCTCTCCCACCTAAGTATGGTGGCCAAAATGCGTCTTCAACTAATGTGTTTAGCATCCTTCACCGCCCGTACATCCACAGTGGTTCTGAAGTGGCAACAAATCATTTCCTGGGAGCCGGTGCATCACGCTGTGTGATTTGGCAATTTTGGTGGTTAGTCGTAGAAGTTCCGGCAAAAAGTATGAGGCAATGCGAGTTTTGCCATCGTCGCAGCACCCCGACTCTTTGCTGCCAAAGTTTCTGTCGACTGACATCGAAGAACGACGACCGACGGTAGAACAGGTGCCTACCATATAGACCTCAACTGCTAGGCCACTTCCACGATTGCAGCAGGGAGAAGTATGGCACACGTGCAATGCTGTGGAGTGGAAATCGAGGGGCAGCAAATGAGGACGCAGTAAATGCAGCAGTCGGAGATGTGTTTTAGGCATCGTACCCCAAGTGCACGTCGGTGCTTTTAACTTGTGCCGTGGCTCCTTTGCACGCAGGGTTATTCAAAGGGTTTTCTCGGAACTGAAATGAAAAAGACCCATGGCAATCGGTGCACGCATAGCCGCTGGCTTTGGAGAAAGTCAATTTGCATGTGAAACCTGGTACTCACGTTTGCAGGCAGCCACACTTGACAAGTTTTGGCTACTTTAATAATAATAATAATACTAATGACTTTATTTAACCGTTTCCATTTCAGTGCGACAAAACCAACCATGTTACAACTTCTTGCGTTACGCCGCACTGCCTGGAACATGCCTTCGACTTCTATGTTTACCATCCTATATCTTTAGGGTCCTTCGTTTTCGGGTGAAACTCAATATTTACACCCCAAACGTGTTTCTTGAAGCCTCAAATTCAGAAATTGAGTTTACCATTTTCCAAAATACTCTGCTTCGAAAGTATTGCCTAGGAAACAGGGTTGGTAGTAGCGCGTGCACTAGCTCCAGACCTCGAAAAGAAACTGTCAGCGGTGGCCGGGTGCTGACGTTCCGTTATTTAATAATGCGACGTTGATTTGAGAAAATGAAATAGCGTTTAATATACTAGATTAATTTCTGATTACATGGAGAGGTCTCGTTTGCGTGCGTATACGTGGCGTGCCTCCGGTCGTTCTGTGAGAGGTTTCTTCCCACGCAGGCACAAACGGTGTCTTCTTCCTAGGCAGGCGCTATGGGCGAAGTTCAGTTCACGCTCTCGCGAAGCCTAAACAAGCTGGGCACGCAACCCCGTGCGCTCGCAAAACTCACGTATTAGGATCCATTACAGATCCCGCCGAGGCAAGACAAACAAGTAAACAAACAAGCTGGGCCAAGCTAACAAAACCCAGATTTTGTTGGAAAAATATAGATTTTATATCTATTTGAAGTATCTTTTAACCTTCTTCTTTATTAGTTTGAACCAGAGAAAAAAGAAAAGAAAAGTGAAGCACAGAAGCTACTCTCCAAATTTTTTGTTTTGAAAGGAACAACAGATAACTTTATTCCTCTCAAACTACGGTGATATGTATGTATGTATGTGTAAGCTGTCACAATAAGAGAATGTTCTTCGAATGTCACAGCTGAATGTTCAAAGACCAGACACGATTAGGATAAAGACAGAGGTGCTGCACATACAGAATATGCATAAGCAACCAGGAATTATGAAAAAAAAAAAAAAAAAATCCCTAGTGAGTTTATGCTGTCTTGTGTTCTTTAAGGGAGGACACTGCCTAGAGATTTAGCTTCTGAACTATTCAAGTGATCGGAAGGAAATTTGCAGGGGAGATTTAACGTCAGATGTAGGTGTACTGTGCAAGCTTTCAGCTCTCTCGGACAACTTTACATACCTGCAGAAGACGTGTCATTCTTCAATAAGAAATTTATGATATGCAAGTGAAGCTATTAACCACCATTTTGACTGCTAGATAATAAGGTGGGGGTCGTGGGACTTTGGGCTACCTAGTTTTTATAACTCCAATGTAAATATTTCAGGAAGAGTAATTACCTCAAAATATGAAGTGCATATCTGTCCTATGTCAATTTTTGAAAACATAGTTTTTTTTTTCAATGAAGACTTCAACTTAAAAATAAAACAAAGTAGATAGCCCAATTCTCCAGTAAATTTCAGTTCAGAAACATCTTGATTGCAGTATCAGAATACCTTTAGCTTCAAACAAAAGATTCCTTCATATGAAATTTGCAGCAAAAAGTGGAAAGTACCCTACTTACACCGCCCAAGAATCAAAATTGGTCCCGAACTGGCAGCAAACTGCCACAGGAGTTGGGGCATCACGCCGTCAGATGTCACAGTCCCGGCAGTTGATTCCACAAATGCTGGCAAGAAAAGCGAGCGGACGCGATGTTCGCCATGGTCGCGGCAACCCATCTCGTGTCTGCCGTAGCCTCTGTCGACCGTCTGGCTGCGGAATGAGCTGCGGCCAGACGGTCGACGTCTCCACTTCCGTCTGCCAGGATAGCGGCAGGCAACAGCGCGACGCAAGTGCGACATTGTGAGGTGGAAATCGAGGCATTACGAATGAAGACAAGCTAAACGCATCAGTTGGAGACGCGTTCCTGGCACCGTGCCCCGTGTGGGTGTCAGCGCTGCCGGCTGACACCATAGTTGCCTTGCACAAGGGTCGTTCAAATAACCTCCTTGCAAATGTTGCAAAAAAAAAAAAAAAGAACACGACAGTCACGAGATTTGCAGTCTCTGGCTTTAGATATTCAGGCCTCCCACCTGAATATCACATTCGTTTTCCCCAAAGATGTAACTAAAAGCGAAAAACCGACCAGTCGTTACGTTACAAAAGGACCTTTCGGCCGCCAAGTGTGCGTCACTCGTGTGGGCAGCGCGTGTAATTGCAAGCTCACCAGGTATATTCCCTCGCATCGACACCTGTCGCGATGCCTTTTTTTAACCTTTTTAAAAATAGCAAATGTGCACGTGCATAGCTTTGATACACGCTGAAGATGCGTGAGAGCAGAGTTTATGAAAACTCCTTTTATGACATAACGTTCCAGGAAGGAGGGGTTTTAGTGGTACTTTGAAAATGACTTTCTTTAGACTCCATGCACCAAATTGAAATAATCTCAATATTCGTGATCCTGGACGCCAAATCGACGATTTAAGTTTTTTTGCTCAAGTACAAAACCGCTTCACTTTCCTTTTAATAAACTGACAAAACAAAAAAACATGGAGAAGAAAAGCTACCGCCTTTGAAGGGCCACGGTAGTATTTTCAAGCAGTTGATGATGCAGTTGACCTGCCGTGGCTGCTCTTTTGGAGGCTATTCCATTGTGTTTTGGTCCATTTAACTTCTTTGTCCTCGAATGGGCGTCCTGGAGGAGAATGTTGAAATCCTTTATCTTCAGTTTGTGTTAGAAGCATGCCTTGTTTAATGCACATAAAGGAACGAAACAATTAAAATACAATAGAGGCTCTGGTTCCAAGGGGCACCTCGTTTTTCGTGTACCTTTGAGTGCAATCATTTTCATAGAATTTGTCATATTGCAACATCGAAAATTTGTGACAACAGTTATTTATATCTTGACGAGCCACGTATCTTCTTTACTAAAAAGAAGTAGGTGTTAAATGTGAATTCGTTTTAACTGTCAGGCTAACACAGTAAAATTGTTGGGGGATGAGCTTCTTACTTTTCTAAACATCTATAGTCATCATATGTATATGAAGGCACCTTGGATTAGACTTCAAGCTCGACAGTTTGAGCTCAATTGTAACTGCTTATTCGACCGGCTGCAGATAAGAACACTAGTGAGAGAACCTCACATTTGAACCAGCGGCCGAGCCAAGGTGTCAAAAACGAAACCATAACTGTGAATGGACATTTCGTATGTACAGGATTCATTCTAAAATAGAGAGGGTCAATTGCATTACTCTGAGACTGATTCCACCCAGCTACAAACTACTTCTTTCCGTAACAAAGTGCCTCAATGCCAGAGTGTCATGGATCATCAGAATACCACACTGTTGTTTCAGTTAGGCTACGTTAAACAAGCGTCAAAGAATGTTGTCTTACTAAAACAATTCCACGCAAGCTTTCGGAAGTTACATTGAGAGAAATTGCACAGCAGCATAGCTTTCAATGCCGATTTCTTTGGCAAGCTTGGTTTGTGAACTCAATCGTGCAGCCTGGAGAACAACTGAACACACGTCATTGACTGCATGCAGTCAGTGATGTGCATCTTGTCGTTCAGACATATCGAGATTGCTTCTTAGGAGAGGGCCAATGTGGATGTTTTCTCTGTCCAGACAAGGAGCACTGGAAGGCGGTGGACTCCCGGGGTGCCCGAGTGCCCACCCGGCACGAGTACGCCGCCCACCACTTGGCCGTGGCTGCTCCTGGCGAGAACCAGGTCTACTTCGTGGCACCAGGTGAGTCTACTTCTGTGTCTCACACGACACAGGGTCCTACGATTATACGAGGGACGTTCACGGGACGTTAACGAGGACATCTGTCGAACCGTATTTGAACATTCGTAGAACCATGTGCTTCTAGGACATTCGTAGAACCATCTCCAGACAGTGGCGAGGACTTCATAGAATCCTTAGAGATGGGAACATTTATAAAGCGATATGTAGACATCGGTTTTGGGAAGGGCTTTAAGTTAATAAACCTTTTCCACATACTGACCGCACCAGGCGGTGGCTGCACAAACTAAAATTCGAGGAAGTGACATACCTGCGCTACCAATCGATAATGCTACCAGTTTCTTCGCTCTCTGAGCAGCGGCGCCTGCCCAACGCGACTTGAAAGAGGGGCATCCGTGGCGTCCACCCAAACGTCGTGTTTTCCTTTCCGTCGACGTTCTTTTTTTGTGTAACACAATTATATATATGCTGCAGTTACGTGTTCTACTCGCTGATATACAGCCTCCTTCCGAATTTCCTCGATTTTTCGTTCCGACTTCCGCCGCTTGGCATCGGTCGCTCGCGCGTGCGCAGAACGCTTCTCGGAAAAGGTCCATTGTACTTAAAGTACTACTTCAGGTAGGTTTAGAATACTTGTACTTTACTTGAAGTACATTCTCTGAATATGTAGTTGTACATTACTTCAAATATTTTTTCTGGTACTTTCTAAGGAAAGAACAACTCTCAATTTTAATATACATCCCCCAAATTAAAAAAATAAAAAAATAAAAAAAAATATATTGGTGTATTGTTGAGTAAAAACACGCTATCGTCTTTTGAGACGTCATCTGGTAATTTCTCTTAGCGAAATAATGGCGGCTATAAAATCGATACTAATAAGTGCTTATAAAGTGCTGGTGTTAAATAGCTCGTGCTTTGTGCTACCATAGAATACCACGGAAGTGCCCACTTCATACAAGCGCCCACTATTAACATTTCCTATACTTGGGAATGCTGCAAATTATACATTAATACTCGTCCACCACCTCCAAAGTGCTGGCATCAGCTGAAAATATTCACCCTATTGCGGTGGCAACGAGGCTGCCAGCGGCGATGACAGGGATATCATGTGATAATAAATGCTTTCTTTCACTCCGTTCATCCTGCTTTCAATGCTCTTTATTGGCTGCCATCTTGGTTTCACCGACTTGGCCGGACAGGTGACCATGTTTAGACTAATGCAGTTTTCAGTGATATTTGGGTGGGTGCTTCCCTGGTATTTTATGGTACTCTGTGGCCACTTGACTTTATCCAATATTCGCCAGCATTTTCAAAAATAGCTCGTGCACCCCTAATTACCCCTGGGGAAATGCGTACTAGTTAAAACAAACACTGCATAGGGGAATGAAAGGGCATCATAAAAGATTGTGTTAAAAAGTAGAGAGAAAGAATGTAAATGTTTGTTTTGGAGAGATTGGCAGCCTTAAAGTACTTGTACTTTATTTGGAAAGTACACTGCATTTATAGTTTTTTACCTAAAGTGCATCGTGCCCCACATACTTACTACTTTACTTGAAGATCATAACCTCTCATTTACTTTGTATTTCATTTCAAATACTTTTTAGATGTACTTAACACTGGTGGACATACATAAAACTGTATGGTCCTATGGATAGGACATTCATAGAGTCAGGTGTGGACACCCGTAGGATCATTTATGGGACAGTGCCAAGGACATCTAGTATAAAACCATACATGAACCATCGGAGGCGCCTTGACTAAAGCTGCAGTTTGCTAGACAGAAGAATGCCGCTAAATTGGCACTTGCGTAGTTGACTAGCAGCACACTGTTACCCGATGCAGCATGAGGGGGCGGGCATTTTGCTGGTGTCCAGGGTGCACCATTGTGCCTTTGTTTGTGCCACAGATGTTTGCACGCTTTTATTGATTTTCCTATTCATATTTGTGCATAATAATTAGGAGGGTGTTAACAGTAATTGTTGAGAGAAGACAGTGTGTTTGCAACTGAAAAGAGTTAAAGGGCTGCTTGGGTGCTTTAAGATGCAGAAAAATTAATATTACCGTGCATACTTTTAACTTAAAGGGCCCAAGAAGCAGTTCTCTTGCTTCAACTAGATAATGCTTAGAAAGAATCAATCTGTAAACATAAAACACCTGCAGAGCTTCCATTCTTTATTTTGTTAACATTTAAATTCAATCCCATAACCCCAACCCAGAAAGAGAGTTGGACAGAGCAATGACAACCAAAACCGTGGTTTGTACCACCTTGCTCATTTCATTGGTTTTTCTAAAGAGGCATGGTAAGTCAAGTTTCATTGAGAAAAGTAGGCTCATCCGCCCGTGATCCATGTAGAGAGCAATAACAAATTGCTGACATTACACAGTATCACGTGTACTTGGGCAATCCAAGTGCTTTGGCGTGGGAAATCAGTCCTTATTCAAGTTTGAGTTGACAGTTAGCAGGGAGGACTGTCTCCAGATCAGGACATACACCGACCGTGTGAGCCAACCATCAGTGCCATCAAAAAAGGCACCCCTTCGTGATGGTGCAGAGCGTTTCCTGGGTGACCAGCGGGGCTCGTACAACCAGAACCTGACGTTCACGCTACGCATTGGGGAGGAGGGTGCCCGCTCGTCCCTGGAGGACGTGGTGCTGGAGAGCCCGTCGCAGAGCGTGTCGCAGCACATCTTCGGCCAGGGCAACCCGCTGCCCTCCATCCGCAACCAGGAGTACCGCTTCCGGCTGCACCAAGACTCCCGCTACGGCTGGAGCCCCACCCTCAGCGCCCATGAGTTCATGGCCCTGCTGGCCAACCTGACCGCCATCAAGATCAGGGCCACCTACCTGCCCAGGGGTGAGAGCACGCTGCACCGCTTGGTTTGCGGAGGAAAAAAGGGTGTGGGGTCACCGAAAGAGCCCAACCGACCTTCCTTCGTATTATTTTGTGGTCGGCTATGTCTACCGCTTCGCGCTTTAAAAAAAAAAAACCAACCTTAAAAACCTTAAAAAATACTTGCCGGCAAAATGTTTCTCAATTCGGATTTATTCGGAAAACTCAGAATTTCCCGGTTATGGTGGCAGAAAAAAAAAAGTGCAGTAAGTTTGGTCAGAACACGGGGTCAATGGTCCCAGCGAGAAACCACTTCAATTTTCTTTCAAATATCATACTATTGACTAAAATGTAGGGTGAACACAATCCTCTAAGTGGAAAACTGGACACGCGGGCTGGGGTTGGAGGGGGGAGGCTAGAAAATCTGTGCTCTTAGTCATTTGAGCGTAGAAAGGCATAATGTTCCGGAGCTGGACAAGTGACTTTCGTTGCTGTTTTATTGTTGCCAAACTAACATGTCAAATTCAGTAGTACTAGGTGATAAACATTCTTTCGGTTTTCTTCTATTTGCTTAGTATACTGATTTGTCGACTGCTCATTTCTGCAAAAATGGGACATCAGGCTTTTTCGAGGTAAAATGACTGGACAATTTAAATGAACCTGTAAAACGGGACATCTGGTCACCCTACAAAGGAGGTTTACCATATATCTCGTCGGAGTTCGTTCAGGACAAAGGATCATTACACTTCTGGGTCGTGGCAAAAGTCACTGTTCTGCTTTTCCCTTGGGATCATACTATTTGTGTTTCATAAATGGTCTTGTTTTTAGAACAGAAAAAAATATGAACCCCTCAATTTCATAGGAGAGGTTGGGCAGCTGAAGATTTTATGCTCCCCAGTGACTATGTCCATCTGTTTAGTGATTTTAAAGTATCAAAGCTTATTCATGCAACACTTGTTTTTTCAAGTTCTGTTGTGGGACCGTAATTATTTGCAATGGCAAAGGCGCCTATTCCAAATCCAGCCAAAGAAGTATATCATCCGATACAGTTGAATTTAGAGTATGTTTGTTTGTGTCTAGATATATTTTATAGCTTTATTAAAAATTTGGTAAAATTTGATTTGGCATAATTATGCTCTAAATTTTGAGAATTTTGAATGTAGCATAAATTAACTAATAAACCCTGAATTTTTGGTGAAAAACAAACTCCATCCGAATTCCGAATTTTATAAAAAAGTAAGCTTTGAAAACGTGGAACACTAGCTATTTCTTTTGATTTGCTGGCCATGCAGCATCTCTAGAAGATATAGACTGGAAACTTCTTTTAGCAGAAGTTTTTTAATAAAACATCTTCTGGTAGAACATCTTTCTGTAGGACATTTTTCTGTAAGACATCTTTCTGTAGGACATCTTTCTGTAGAACATTTTGCTATAAAACATTTTTTATAACATTTATAGAACATCTTTCGATGGAATGTTTTTCTGTAAAACAATATTTCGGTAGAAATGATCTTAGAATATCTTTTGGTAGAACATTTTTGATAGAACATCTGATAGAACATCTTTTGATAGAACATTTTTGGGAGAACATCGTTCGGTAATACATTACATATTTTGGTAGAAACTCTTGGAACATTTTTCGTGCAACGTTCTTGGTAGCACATCTTTTGATAGAACAAATCTGAGAGAACATCTTTTTTTGGTAAAACACCTTTTGGTAGAACATTATTTCGGTAGAAAACTTTTTGAACGTCTTTTGGTAGAACATTTTATAGTAGGATATCTTTTGATAGAACATCTTTCGATGGAACATCTTTCGATAGAATATTTTTTTAAAAGATTTTTTAATAGAAAATATTTTGATTGAACATCTTATGATTGAACATCTTATGATTGAACATCTTATGATTGAACATCTTATGATTGAACATCTTATGATTGAACATCTTTTGATTGAACATCTTTTGATTGAACATCTTTTGATTGAACATCTTTTGATTGAACTTCTTTTGATTGAACTTCTTTTGATTGAACTTCTTTTGATTGAACTTCTTTTGATTGAACATCTTTTGATTGAACATCTTTTGATTGAACATCTTTTGATTGAACATCTTTTGATTGAACATCTTTTGATTGAACATCTTTTGATTGAACATCTTTTGATTGAACATCTTTTGATTGAACATCTTTTGATTGAACATCTTTTAATGGAATGTCTTTTAATGGAATGTCTTTTAATAGAACATTTTTTAAAGAACTTCCTTCTATAAACAAATTTTGGTAGAACATTTTTAATTAGAGAACTTTTGGTAGAACATTTTTTGGTAGAGCATATGTTCATAGAACATCTTATGGTAGAACATCTCTTGATAGACGAGAAGCTTCTGATGGGACTCATCAGCCTAGTATTAGTTAGACAAATTTGAGAAACTTGTTTGCAGTATGGCATATGAATGAAAAGTATGACCACATAATTTCTTGTTTATCAAATTAATAGCCACTGCTCCTTTTTATTTTACAATCAAATTTATAAATGAACTTATTGAAAAAAATTTGCTTTGCCAAAACATTTGCAAATTTGATGTGAGCTCTGAACAAATTTACCGCAAAGGAGAAAATAAATCGAAACTTTCGATGCAGTCATTTAAAATAAATCACTAATTGGTGTTGTGAAGTATCACACTACATTTTGCCATGAAGGAGTGGGTAGATGGCTTAAAATGTAACTTTTGGCTGAGGAGATCCTTTAAGTACCTTGCGTGTCAAAGTGAAAAATGTCACCATGGCCCACTGGGGAGTATTTTGATTTGACAGAAGAGGAACAGGTTGTCGCATTGAAATGATTCTTTTTTTCCGTTTCTGGCTTTTCTGCTTTATCAACATTCCTAATAGTTTATATTAGGCTTTTTTTTCTGTTCAACATCAAAATGGCCTCACTTCAGAATGGCTCATAAAAAATAATTCCGGTTGTTATTTGCTACCTTCGGGAGATGACAATAGTATACCGTGCGAGTTATTCTCCTATGCAGTATATACTATCTTACCAACCCCAAAGATTGCTCTAAAATTTGCCAGAAAAATTGCTTCATGCACGTGGCGATGTCAAAGTTTCGTCAAAGGTGTATTTTAGTGGTGGATTTTACTTTCTGAAATTTCAAAGCAATGGTCTTCTTCTGCAAAAAATAAGGCCAACATTCTTGTCATGGTCAACGGCGGATGACGCAGACAACTGAGTTAGCAAGGGTTGTTCTTTTGTCTCCTTCTTCCAATAGGCACAGGTGATGGTGTTGTCTGCTTCTGACTTAGTGTGTTGCCTGCTTGTTGCACCTGTTTGCAGCGAGCAGCATTTTGGGGAGGAAGGGAGTTATGCCCTAAAATTTCAGAAGGTAACATCCACCACTAAGGTACACCATTAAAAAGAAATAGAGAATCGCTACGCGTGCAGCCGTCGTGACGGCGCGAACAAAACCTAGATTGTGTGCAAACAAAGATGGAGGTCCTCAAACGTTTTCATCTCTAGGAACCCTTACCTGCCTCGACTGAGTACCAAGGTCCTCCTCTTTCGACCACGGTGCATTAAAGCTGTTCAAGAGCCTGCAGAGTTTGTAAACAATAAGGAGTGTTTGGCTCATAGTTTATGCATCGATAGGTGCCTTAGATCTGCTAAGTAGCTCTTAAACTGGGGTAGGGACGGTCGAAAACATTTCGGAGCTTGGGGAACTTGTGGGGGTCCTCTGTGGAATCCCTGCGTTCCCAAGGACGCAGTTTGAAAACCCGCACCTCACGAGCTCCTTGATTGGGCCACGCAGGCACGGGCTTCATCGACAACATTGAGCTGCACACGGCCCAGCGGTCGCAGTACGGGTCGGAAGCCGCCAGCTGGATCGAGATGTGCACCTGCCCGGACGGCTATGTGGGCCAGTTCTGCGAGTCCTGCGCCCCAGGCTTCCGGCATGACCCGCCCGGGGGCGGTCGCTTTTCGCGATGCGTGCCCTGCAACTGCAACGGACACGCCCTCATCTGCGAACCAGACACTGGTGGGTCCGACCGCGGACGTCCGCGCCGGGCATCCACGGAACGCGATCTGCAGACCCGTGCACATTTTTAGGGCTCGCGCTCGGACGCCTTGCCACTTAGAGAACTATACCGTGTGAACCCGATGGTGCGTTGGCCCTTGAAGGGACCAGTTTTTTTTAGCACGTTGCAACGTAATGTGGCGCAAAGGTGTAAGTAGATGATGCTCTTTTTTTTTTTTTAGTAGCTATCCTCGAGCTGTGAAGTGTTTGCCACTTCGTGGGGAGTCATGAGTTGATTAACGACATCGTTCAGAGGCTTCGTCTTCTAGGTGCTGTCGGCATACCTCTCCTCCAGGCTGCTTCCAGCCAATGGGAAGCTGACAATGTGGCTCCTATTTTAGCGTCATGTTGCGTTGACCTCAAGATGGGAGAAGCGTTCGAGCCCTCGTGCGCTCGAAGCTCAAAATGCAATTCGTGTTGTAATTATCGCGTTAGTAAATTTGTTTTTTTTTTTCCACACCTGTCATACCTGGGCAGCTTTTTTTTTTTTTTTTAATGTTCCCAAGCATTTAGTGTTAACTGCGTAACTGAAGGGTAGGTTCACATTACTCGGCATTCCACAAGGGTGTCCTGCACTGCCGTGCACAGCTGCCCTGTGGAGAAACCCCTTTTTGGTTATCTCTATGCTTCTTACGTGCGAATACAAATGTATTGTTCTTTTGCAGCTGAGACAACTATAAGGATAGAAACTAGTGCAGTTCGTCGGTTAGAGGAGAGAAAATATTCTCGTTGGCAAGGATATGTCTTAGGAGACCTGCCAGTGAACCTGTAGGTACTAAATTTTTACAGAGCTGTAGGTAACCTGACTCTTGGTCTGACTGTTCTGGCAATACATCAAAAAGTTACTCATAATTTCTGCGTGACAAGAGTTTCTCCAGTTGCTGCTGTGTCCGGTCGCACCACTGAGAGCACCGACAGGAGAAACGATTATGCCTCAAGAATGGTCATTCCATCGCACTGAGAGTGCTGTGTACAAGCATTTGTGCAAAGAACAACAGTGTGAAATAAATTGTGATCGCATCGCTTATCGAATAAAACCTAGGGTCCGTATCAACAATGCTCCGGTCGATTTTGGGAGCCTGCACTGCTAAAGATGACTTAGAAACTGCTTGAATATTGTTTGTAAAGCCTTCCGCAGGCAGCTTTACAAACTTCAAGTTAAGTTCCGCCTGTCAAGTTCAGTGACCGTGTACAACCAAGTGCTGCAACATCTATTATTGCACTGAAAAATGACCGGAGCAGGTATTGACAATCTTCAAACCATGTGACCAATGACTGTGCTTATAATTGCTTACTGGTGGTTGGTTTTATCTTTTTCTCGCAATTACTTAGAAAAAACTAATAAACTCTTACATTTCCCGTAATTTAATAATTGCGAGGCTTAATCCAATGCCATTGACTACTTTCTTATTAAAACCGCAAAGATGAGTGCTCTAACTGCTTTTTTTGGGGAAGCACAGTGCTTATCTATGGTGTTGTGTTTCTTCGGAAAGGCGAATTAACAATCTAGCTAGGCCACGGGCTCTCAAACTTTTCGACCTCGAGGAGCTATAATCTCTCATTCTTGATAGCTGAGAAACCCCATCCGGTCCTGGCATTAATGCGATAAATCGGTGCAAATGTCTATGGACCTCGTAACAAAATGCTCATACTTTGGCACCTTGTTGTGCATCAGTGAATGGCTGAAGTCCTCTGAAATGGTGACTGTAACTGCGACCATATTAGAGCGTTGTCTCTTTTGGGAGAAATCTTGAAAAAAGGGCTGTTCCTTCCCCCCAAGGTTTTGCCCGGAGAAAGGGGAAAGCCAAGAAAATTTAGGAGCTCAAGGAACCCAGTTTGAGAGCCTGTTATCTAGACAAACAAATGCTTCTAAAGCCAAGTGCCTTACAGGTAACCTCAAGATCGTTCTGGAACAGGACTGACTCCTCCGGCGAGACGGCAGTGTGTAGCTAGACAACACACCCTAGGTAGCAAGGCCGTTGTACTAAATTGTCTGCTTCACCTACCCGAGGCCCATGTACAGATTGGGCTCACGAGTGCTACGTCGGCGTTAGACCGAGGCCCGTATTCAGCCAACGAGAACACATGTCTCGGCTGAACGCCGACGCTGCACTTGTATCCAAACTGCGTCCCCCATTCCTCCAGGTGACGCAGAAAATTCAGCACCACTTGCTGTTTAGGAGGTGCTGACTGACTTTGAGCCAATCGCTACGGCTGCCTCTGACAGACTAACCCCCGCCACTGGTGTTCCTCTTTAGGCCACTGCATTTGCCAGCATAACACGGCAGGGGAGTTTTGTGAGCGGTGCGCTCCCCGCTTTTACGGCAACGCACTAGTCGGCAGCCCCGAGGACTGCCAGCCGTGCCCATGCCCCGACCAGGGGGCCTGCGCGGTGTTGCCCGACGAGAGCGTCGTCTGCCTTGAGTGCCCTCAGGGCTACTCTGGTGGGTACCCTTAACCCTCTCTGCCCCCTTTTGGATAGGCTTTTTTTCCTTTCGATGCAAGGGGTCCGATTTGGGTCGCTGTGACGGCAAGAATGAGGTCTATTTTGGTTCTCGAGAAGCGGGTCACGATATTGTTAACAGACGAATCGTCTGCTCACACAAATGGAGAGCGGGTGTTTTTCTGCTACGAGGTGTCACTTGTGGACGAAGATAAAGCGAGAAAACACTATAACGTCATCTTCCAACAAAAGCGAAATAAGGAAGATCATCTGCAAAACATTTAGTGTTCTGGCAAAGCAAAATTGAACACAAGCTGGAATTGTATTCGTCTAGCTGCTATTTCAAGTTGGAAGCTCTTGACAGCCCATACTTCCTTTGCGAATCTCCAGTTCTGCTGCCATGCACAAGCTGACATTGACTGGTGCATAAAGGAGCACTTGGCACAAGCATGTCAGATACCATGATGAGACCTCTCTTACCATCTTGTGTTGGTGAGAAGTTCTCACCGAATTATTGCTCAGTCAAGGACTTGAGAAGAGGTCAAAAATTTCTCGTCGTTCAAAAACGCTTTTCCAGCTCAGCTGTGATGCAACATCCAATTAGCAGCTGAGGACGCTATTGCTCTCATTATGGACCAAAATCGGGCCCCTGGAGTCCTCTCACATCTTGCTAATGGTACATGGACCAGTGTGAATATAGAAAATCAATTGTGTCAGGGGCATATCAAAGTCCTCTCAATGACACTGCTTTCTCACATTTAGTCCGGCACTAACAGTGCCCTTGTTGGATGTTAAACCTGCTTCCTTTCTGACTTGGATCGAGGCATATGTCTATTTCTGCTTTTCGTGTTTTCTATTTTAACATTGTACCGAATGCTCACCACGCTCCGAAAATGGGGCCTCGTTGCCATTATGCTACCTGCAGAAAATGACTAGTACTTGTTATTAGGTGATAAAAGAACTTTTGCAGTTAACACATATCATATTTGATGCAGTCCAGATGGAATGAACTAAATGTTACGCAAAAGCTTCTGGCTAGGTTTTATTTCTAGGTTTACTATAGGGCTGGTCAGGCAAAGTTTTGGTCGAGGTGCACACACCTTACATAAAAGCAAGACATAAGAAAGCCAGCAAGCATTGCTACATCGTAAATTACGAAAGCTAAGGTGGTGTTGGTCGTTTGATGCATCTCCTATGTGTACTTGGGGAAGGGTTGCTGGGTGGTGTGAATTAGAGCTGCACGAAGAAGAGCACATGGTGAGCAATTATGATTTCACTCGTTTTTGCTCGATTCAACAGCCTACGTAAGTTCGACTGCCTCATTTTAACAGGTCCAGATGGTTCACCGTAGCTGACAATGGTAGACTTCAAGTTCTGCGGTAACCATTTTCTCAATAACTCAGAAGGCAGGAGCTGGGCCAACCAATGTCCCTTAGTGTGCACTTCACGTTGACTTGTGTGCAATGTGACAATACGGCGTGCAGCTTTGTCTGCTCCTTGCACACTTCATGCGTTTGTTCACCCTCCAATTGTGCCCCCGAGCTTTCATTCCCCCCCCCCCGATATCGACCAATGACAGTGCGCGCATGACTACCTCATCAGGGCGCGTTCAATGTGGATGCTCTGTGTCGCCCTTTGTTTAGCGTGCTCTTCCTTGTGTTTTGATGAGCCAAAGACGCATTTTGGAACACTTGCTCACCGTACAAAGAATGAAAAATTATAAGAGCGAAAGGTGACGAGGAAGGTACACAGCGCTAGCGCTTACTCAGAACCTGAAGTTCAGAAATTTGTCTTTTGTTGCTTACCTTTTCTCTTTATAGTTTTGTGCTGTTTATTGTCAGGAACTTTATCTGCTCCCACACAGAAGTCAATAAACCTAATTCATTATTAGTTCTTAGTTCTTACGGTGTTGTTTTTTGGTGATGTGGTGGAGACATACTTCTAAATGAATTATATTAGCAAGCCTGGTTTGGGAAGGTGCATTGGTTCCGGTCAGACTTACCGAAACGACACCAAGAATCTAGTCGCCGGGAAAACCATTTGCCACACACAGCTTGAGAAGCGATGCAAGAGGTAGCCTTGTGAAAGAATCGTGAGCCGCAGTTGTCCCGGTGTCTTTATAGTTATGTCGCTTTGGTTGGTGTGGATGCAACTGGCGCATATCTCTGAAGCAGCCTTAACCAGTTTTTAATACAGAAATGGGGAGCTTCATATATCGAGAGAATTTGACAGAGTCTGCGGTAGAAGCAGGCCGTGCGGGTCCTACCTTTCACCACTTGGACAGGCCCAGTAAGACGCCACAATTGTTCCAAGATTTGTTGCCCAAAACTTCAGATTGAAAAGGAAAACACACGCAATCCGTTTATTTACTTTAGTTGGCTTTTTATTTATCTATTGATGGCACAGCGAGACTCAGCAGTAATGCGGCATCACTTCCCCATAGGAGCGCTCTGCCCATCACCTCAAACACAAATCGCCATGGTTCAGGCTATGGAAGAAAGTTGGCGCAACGTTTGACAGGTGGCGCGCAAATCTGAATAAGGTCTGTTCTCGTGCACCAACCCCGAACATTGGACTGTTTCGTCGGCTTGCCCCGCTGCTGCTGTCTGCCGGTGCAAGTTTTGTCAATTGCCCAGCATGCCTCGTACCCGAAGACACCTGCGGCTGCTACGTGTTTACGGCGGCCAACAGGGCTGACTTTGCATAACCCCTTTGCTGAACTTAACGAACATGTTCGGCTGGAGAGTCAAGTGGGCGGCGAGACACCTTAGGGGCATATTTTTATCTGTAATGAACTCTGATGGCAAGAAATGGGCTAAATCACGAGCCATTCATTGTATAAGTTCTTTATAATTGAACTACAGCTCCCCTTAGTTTGGTGTAACAGCTGAGCATTTTTTTTGTGCATGTGCTCGATGAGCTTGGGAGGGTGTTCCCACTGTAAGCTTGTAGCGTACCTCTGTGTGTCTATCAACAAGGAAAGCCAGGCAAATGATGTAATTAGTGCCAACAGGCTGCAGCAGTTTGTGTCTTTTCTTAGTCTGCATTTACTGAGCTGTTCATTCTTGTCTTATGTATGTGTGACCTCTCTCTTCAAGGGCACGTCATGGAAGGGAATGTCTGCTTCAAGGGCGTTCAGAGTCCGAGAGAGACATTTCACTTTCCCAGTTTCTTTGGATTATCAAATCTAGTTCTCAGCAGGCATTTAAATATTTGTTTCAGTAGTTTCCTTTTTTCTATTTTATGGAATCATATTTGTCTGACGATTTTGGCAGAAATTGATTTGTATGTACTTACTGAGGTTTCCTAGAAAACAAACTTCACTTCCAGTGAAAGTCTAAAACAGTGCTGAGAGCAGGCGGGGACTATTTCCAAGAAATCCTCCTCAACTGTCGCACTGTTTTAGGTTGTCAAATGTCAAAAGAATGCCTGGTTTGCCAACGCTGTTAGCTACTCTCAAGTTGGCATTGACAAAGAAAATCTTTCAGTAACACACATTAAAAGCATGGTGCCAATGAAGTCTCGGATGCTCGCTGCTCCGAGTATAATGTGGAAATTTATTGATGAAACGACCACAGGCGATTGTGTGGGATGATCAGTGCGTGAGCTTGAAAATACAAGAGCTTACTTGGTGGCTAGAAATCAACTGGGAAATGCAAGCTTTGGAAGTCACTGAAGATGAACTCTGAAGAGGAGCCAATTACTGCCTTCCATGTCTGGAGGCAAAAGGAAAAAAAGCATTGTCTATTAGAACTGTTTTGTTTTCTATGATACTCTAGCGGCGCAGTATTTATGCGGGCAGTGGAAGTCTATCTAAGATGCACTGTAAGCTGAAGCATGTATACCTGGTTCTGGTTCATTATTCTTTTTGCGGGTCACACTGGAGTGACTGGCTCTCTCCATCTGTCCTGCCTGTTGTTCTTAAGCATGTGAAATGGCTTTCTCTAGTTAGTTTCTTTTTATAATCTGACCCTTGGCGCTACGTTAGAAAAGGGCCTTTTCTTTTCGAGGAATGTATTCGACAGGCGGTGCAATTGATTGTTCTCCTTGTGCTTCATGATTAGGGAGACGATGCGACTTGTGCTTTGACGGCCACTTCGGCGACCCTCAGGGAAGGTACGGGGCAGAGAGGCCCTGCCAGAAGTGTGACTGCAACGACAATGTCGATCCCAATGCTGTTGCCAACTGTAACACGTGAGTACAATTCATATCTTTTTTTACTTTTTATAATCGCTTGGCAAGTATGGGCGATTTGATGGTGCTCTCTCATGCTGATGTTTAGTGCTTAAAGAATGACTAAGAAAAAAAGAAACATTTTTCTAAATCTGTCATGGTGCATAAAATCTATGGGTATATTAAGCTACCGTATTTACACGAATGTAGGTCGACCCATTTTTCAATTTTTGAAAATCTGAAGTGGGGGGGTCGACTTCTAATCGAACCAAAGCTTTCCACCTCTGACAAAAACGAAAAAATTGTGATATCAAGAACACCTCCACTTGTGACGAGTTCAGCTAGCTGTGCCTGCAGCATTGCGCTATTCTGCATGCTCAATTTACGATTTTTTTTAAAATTTGCACGAACGAGTTTTATTGATAGCTATTCACAAATTAACCCGAATGTACGGCGGTGAACAGCGCACCAAACGCCCGACCAGCCCGACTTCTGGGGGTGGCAGCACTTCTTGTAAGAGCCACTTCGGAGGCTGCTGGAACCGCCTCACGGCTCACTTACCGCAGCGTCTTTTTGCAGTTTTTTGCGTGATTCACAGTCGCACGTCGTTCGATCGAGTGTCGGGATCATGCTGGAATGCTAATTACGTCTTTTTTTTTTTTTGTATTGACACGCGTGATTTGGGTAGTTTAGGTTTTCGGTGCTCGTTTATGGTAATTCTTCACCCAGAAACAGCCAACAACTGCGCTGTTGAGCGCAAGTTCAACCCATTGGAGCGGGTGATGCTCGAGTAAAGTCTGCTATGGCGCGGGATCTTAAAGTGTGACAGCAAACGAAGAGGCCTCCGCGGTCCAAAGGCTTGCAACGTACGCCGCAAAAGTGTGCAGTCGGTTCTTGCCCGTAACATACAACGCGATCGCCGAGCAAGCACGGAAGATGCGGTCATTTGCAAAGTGGGAGATTTCGTTAATTGACGCCAACGATGTGCTTTGAAAACGTAGCAGTGATGACGACAGGACTAACATTACCAGTGCGGACGAGTCGTAATCCAGTCGCGGACGGAGTTAGACCAACAAGGAGCAGCTTCAGTTGTCCCGCCTCCGGCTTGAACTTCCTAGTTTCGATAATGCCTGGGCATCTCATGCACCTCGCGCGTGCATGCGCAGCCAAAGCACGCCAGAAGGCATCGATCGCGTGTTGGTGGCTCGGCTTTCGAAACAGATAGTACTTTGCCGTTTCACGTGTTTGCAGTAAAAAGCGCATCTAAAAACTTTTTTTTCTTTTTATGTGCATTGTGGGGGGTCGACTTACAATCAAATCGACTTACAATCGTGTAAATATGGTACAATTTCCGTATGCAACCCCCAGGTCTTAATAAAAAAATTTTATTATCCTGCGGGTTGCTTTTCGTTTAAATTTTAATCACATTGTGTTTATTAAAGGCTTTGTTTTATATTATATACTTTTAGTCCCTGCTGCAATCTGTATGATGGGGTTGGTAGTATGATTCAGACTATGGGTTCTGTTGACTAGTGCATGCCTAGAGTGCTGCCCCGTGTTATGTCTGCGACTCATCAATGCGTAAAATTGAGCTGGTTTGTGTGGCTCCACTGTAGCAGACAAGATTCATGTTGCTGTTTGTGAAGGTGGAGATCTCGTTCTTTGGGTCAGTGCTGCACAGCGAGGATGCTGTATAGGCCAGAGGTTCTGAAATAGAAATCCTTTGAGCTTTACGAAGACTACTTGGGGACTGTTAAGCCCTCACTCCTCGATTGAGCCAGGCAGCGAAACTTCTTTAAGGTTACACGAAAGAAGACATCACAGTTTAGTGTGGTGTTTCTTCTGTATATGAAAAGAAAATGTTTGTTTGACACTAGCGATCATAGTCGCAGACAGGGTGAGAACAGCAGCGAGGACTGAAGGACCTCCTTGCCATTCTTATTCTGTCAGGGACTGGAGCTGCATTAATTTATCTCATCATCATCATAGTCACAGAATCTCTTTTCCATGGATAGGTCCCTCATCACTGCCTACAAGGGGTTCCCAAATGTTCCTGGATGAGAACCATTGCTATACAGTGCAGTCCACTTATAACAGTACCACATATAACGATGTACCACTTATATCGATCAGTTTCTAGAGCTTCTAGTCCAGGTACAACGATAATCGGTTATAATGATTGAAATTTCCGGTTTTCTCAGTATCGTTATAAGTGGGTTGCGCTGTATACGCTTTTACCAGCTGTTTCAATGTGGCAGAAGCTCTCTGAACCTGAGTGATGTGATAGTCTGTTTGCGTCTTCCTGGAAAAACAAATTAATAGGCGAGCACTTTTTGATCGTCGGAACGTCCCAGTGAGCAAATGCTACTTGGTCAACTTCGGGCGATGGCTCGAGCTTGGCAGTTCATTGTGCGCTTTTTTAATGGCAAAATTGCTCTATGAATATGGCACAGACTACTTGTCTGTGTGTTATGTTGTCTTGCTCGCTTTGTGAATGGTTCCGCGGAGGTGAATATGAGCCCACAATTTGGCCGGTTCGTTGCAAGCACTCTCATATGAGCAAAACTGGGTGCTCCGATAATGACTGTGATTCCCTTCGGTCTTTTCAGTTTAAAGAATCTTTTGCTCACACAATGACTAATCTGCATGTTTCTTTGGTGTGAAAAACTGTGAAAAGTTTGTCTGTTATTATGAGCTAGCTGTTTGCTTTCAAATGAAAAGAAGCCATTCAAACTGTGTCACATGGATGATTCACAATTGGCATGTCAAACTAAAGCTTCTGGCACAGGCAAAATTCTTAAAGGCCGACGACCAGATTTGAGATCCTGCAAGGCAGAAGATCCTCCTCACCATGGGGGAGAAAGAAGCAGGCAACGGGGGACAGGGTACAAGGGGGGAGAGGAGGAAGCGAAGGAAAAGTGGAAAGCATGAACTGGTCGTCGGTCTTTAAGACGTAAAAAATGTGCCAAAAAATTTTCACTTATTTTTTTTTTAGTGCATGTTTTGCAATGTCTGATTTCTTCCGTCTGTTGCAGCAACTGGTGTAAACAGCAGTATCTCTAGCAAACCTTGCACTTCTCTACACGTTTTTCGATGGCACCTCATAGGATTGAAGCCATTGAAGTGCTCAAGCTCGCCACCTACCAATGCATCGATGGCTTGTGTGACTCGTGTGTCAACTTTGGATAACAATGCTGCGGTATAACGATATTGAAATTGTCCAGGGCAGACATTCTTTTACCAAAGTGAGCTCCTACAAAAATCTTGCGCAAACTACAGGTGGCTGTGTAACATTCTTCAGTCGAGATGTCGAGTGCTAAAAGAGCATTCTCGTTTTGAAATTGAAATGTTTGTGCTCTTGTTGGGGCACGCCGCCCAAATGATTGCAAACTGCTACTGCGCATGTTTGCAGTTAATCGACGGCAATCTGATACGTAAAACCCAAATGTGGCACGTAAAATTGGGGAGCTTTAGTGCGAGGACTTGTCTCCCCAGAGAGCCCTACCCGAGCTGCACCTTTGAGCAAGTGTCCGGGTGGCCTAATGCGAGACTGCCCTTTCTCGCAGCACCACCGGGGAGTGCCTGAAGTGCATATACAAGACTGCTGGCTTCCACTGTGAGAAGTGCCTCCCAGGACACTATGGAGACGCCCTCGCCGTCCCCAAGGGAGACTGCAAACGTAAGTGCACGAACATGGACTCATGGGGGGGGGGAAAGGAAGCAAGAGGCACGCTTAAAGGCTGGTTCAGACATCTGCATTTGAGTGTGATAGACGCAACTTCATTTAATTGTGACAGTTTACGAGGAGAGAATATGCTGTTTGCCACCTGTCAGGCAACCTCGGAACACTTCCGATCTGCCTGTAATTCCCGCACCAGCAAGTGTTCCAGAGCTGCATGATAGATGGTGCCACTTGTGCCGCTTCGTTCACTCATTGTAAGTGGTACCGTTCCAACACAAATAATCACACTCATAAATGCACGTGTGTGTACCAGCCTTGAGAATCACCAAAGAAATTAGTTTGATGGCAGGTTTTAAAGGAACTTTGATTTTCAAAAGTTTCAATGAAAATTTTGAAAATGAAAAGTTTCGATTTGGATATGAATAATTCATACAAACTAGCCTTCAATACCGAACTGAACTTCAAACAAATGAGAAGAGGTTAGGAGTTGCTACTAGACGTACAGTCGACTCATTAATTCAAACTCTAGGAAGCCACAGCCTTTAGTTTGAAATACAAGAAGTTTGAATTATCAGAAGTTAATCTAAATATGATGCAAGGCAAAGTAACGATTTGCTATAGGAATAGCTGCACATACCAAGTAGAATTTCTACTTCTAAGCTCAGTTAGTTTAAATATAACTGTCACTATGAACCGGAGGCTCAGAAAGTCCAATGCCTACATTGGAGTGGAATGTAAATGACTAGGCATGGGCGAATAGAGGATTTTGGGCCCGAATCGAATTCGAAGCGAATAGTGATTTTGGCCGAATAATTTCGAATTGAATAGTTCGAATAGTACAAACAACAAATACGACAAGATATGTTTAAATTATAGTTTTATATTTGCCTTTATCTGGTATTGGAAGTACTGTAATTGTTAATTTCAAGTGTATTGAGTTCGGGAGCACGAAATGGTCAAAATGGTCGGAAGCTTGCACCACCCGGCCGGAAATCCAAGCCAGAGTAAGTCAAACCCGTTTATATCGAACTCGCAAGAAAACGTCTACCATTTCGATAGAGCGGGTAATTCGATATAAAAGTTTTAATGAATTCGGCTCTCAAAAATACAATTTCTTGTGAAATTTTACACAATGAAGTAGTCTTGCATCTTCTGCTGCTTTTTCTTCATTGCATCCGCGATAACAATATTTTTCTACGCTATCGACGGACTCCAAAATGCTGAGGCCGCTGCCATCTATATTCGTGCATTAGCGCCGAACTATGCCGAGAGCACGGAGCACGTCTGAGCGGGAGCATCCCCTGCAGAGCGCCATTTTGCTCTGCAAGTTGGCTTTCTCCTACAGCAGGGTGGCAACGTTGGGGGAAGCCAGCTAGCAAAACAAAATGTTTTTTTTGGGGGGGGGGCTGTTGCGTCAATTGTTTGGAAGAAAAAATAATATTCTCTTTTGCGGACGGAGCGGGCAGAGGGAGCACGGAGCACCCTCTCTCCGCTAGCTATATTTTCTCTTCTGGTCAATGCGGCCGCCCGAAAAGAAAAAAAAGCCAGCGTGCTCTGCAAGCTGGCTTTCCCCCAATGCGGCCGCTTGCGTTGGGGTAAAGCCAGCTTGCAGAGCAAAACGGCGTTCTTGGCAGTTCGGTATAACGGTAGCGGCTGCTATTTTTGTTCGATGCAACCATAGGTTTTGCTATATATTATCGCTGTAACATTACTGTGCACAAAAATCCTCGATATAAGGAATAATTTGATGTAAATGGTTTTGATATAGTCGGGTTTGACTGTATTTAGAAAGGTCAAATAATCCTCTATTGTCGAATAATTCGATATTGTCAAATACGGAAATCCGATTCGAAGTGAATGCCAAATAGAACAGAATTTGATTAGCTATTCGTAATAATCGAATATTCGCCCATCCCTATAAATGACAGATTTGACATAAAATTAAACCTTAAGAGATACCCAGCTATCTTAATCAAGGGGATTTATAAATATGCTTGCTATATACAAATGTTCTTTTTTTAATCTCAAATTTAACCTCCCCAGAAAAAAAAAAAAATCATGAATAATAAAAGCAGATTGTCAGGACAGTTCTGCTTGCATAATCGCGGTGGGTTAGTCCCATTTAGTGCGCTTCTCGCCGAACACCCGCTACAGCAGAAAAGCAATGACCATGAGCTTCGCGGGTATTGCTTTCCCGCCGTATACAGGTGCTCTGGGAGAAGCGCACTCAATGGGGCCAGCCCGCTGCGACGAACAAATAGTATGAATTAAGCGAAACCGTTGTTTGAATTAAGCAGCTTATAAATGCATTAAAAACGTAACGGAGCAACCAAAATTTTCTCATTCGTTTGAATTAACCGGGAGTACAAAATATTTGAGTTTGAATTATAGTGAGTCCGCTGTATGGGGCCCGTGCAGAAGTTGGCATTGTCAGCAAGCGCTTCGTTAAAAATGGCTCTAAGGTGTCTAGTAGCTTGCTTAAAGGTCGACCTACAGAATTGCCTTCTGCTGGAAAGGACAACCAGTTTCCTTTTCTCCATTCTCTGTTGCACTTTTCTCCTTTTATCTGCCTACAGGTGCAGGTTTCGGAGCTTCTTCCTGCAGAAGGGGATGAAGGTCTCCCTCTTTCTCGAATGGAAAGGAGGAATTAAGAGGGAGTTTTCTCCCTTCTGACTGCTCATCGACCTTTAAAGACCGACCTGCAAAATATTTTTCAACCAGGGTGATAATCCTCCTTGCCAGCCTTCCCATTTCCCCCTCTCTCACTGCTATCGTAACTAGGGGGGGGGGATTTTTTTTGTTGCTGCATCTTGGGGCTGGATGAGCTGAAATAGGCTGGCTTATTCGGCCCCAAAATGCAGCAACAAAAGGAGTCCCCCCCCTCAGTCAAATTAAGTGGGGGAGGGGGAAATGGAAAGGCTGGTGAGAAGGATTTTTTCCCTGGTTGAAAAATATTTTGCAGGTTGGCCTTGAAGTGCGAGTGATGCTGAACTACAAGTATGAGCATGTTGCTGTAAGCAATGCTCGCATTGCAGGTGCATGCATGGTCGCTTGGCAGGAATGCCGAGAGCCTGAAACTATCTCTGGTATCTTCTGCTATGCTCACACTTAAAGTGAAACGAATTATACGAATGACATTTCGAAAGCCTCTAGGATAGCCAAAGGCATGCACAGCTCATGCTAGCCGTTCGAAGACGGCTCCGGGACATCTCGTGCTCGTTGGATTAGATGGCACCACCAACGCACCCTCCCCATTCCACAGCATGCAGCTGCTCCGGCCTGGGCTCTACAAGCGACCAGTGCGACCCGGTGTCGGGCCAGTGCCCGTGCCGGCCCAACGTGGCCGGGCGCGAGTGTGGCCAGTGTCGCGAGGGCACCTGGAACCTGGAAGGGGGCCAGGGCTGCGAGCAGTGCGGCTGCCACCTGGTGGGCTCCGTGAACCGCACCTGCGACCAGCGCACGGGCCAGTGCCACTGCCGGCCGGGAGTGGGCGGCAAGCGGTGCGACCAGTGCCTGCCCTACCACTATGGCTTCTCCCCCGACGGCTGCCTGCGTGAGTGGCTCGGCTTGGCTAGCGGGTTATAGATACGTTATTGTGGGCTAGAAGGGGAGGTGTGGCGATCGCACGGGCAAGGGTGGTCCCACGATTTCAGGCCAGAGGTCTCAACCCCATTCAAGGTTTCAGACAGCCTACCCCTGAAGAAAGGCGATGGTACTTATTGTTGCGAAGCAGGAAAGTGAGAAAGGAACAATGTCTCCAACTGGCTCTCTGGTGTCCTGTGCCTCTTACAAATTAGAGCAGGGATTTTCAAACCTTGCATGTCAACGAATCCCTGCTTCTCTCTGTTGATTGCCGAGAAACTGCACCGTTTGCATACCTTCTAAACAGTAACTTACATTTGTCTACGAGCTTCCCGCCATGTCTCCATGTGGTTCTTGCCCCCGGTGAAGCGAACTAATCTCTCATTTCCCAGGTCTCCCCTTGGCACAAAACTGCCGTGTCAAGTTTCTCAGAATTTAGGGTCCCTGGGACCGATTCTTATTCAAGTTCAAGCTCAATTGCTCTCAAGAACATCTGAATGATGTATTACGGGAGAATTTAAAAATAATTAATAGATTATCTTAGTATACTGTAAACAACTTGTTTTTCGATATTCAATGTTCAATATTTTGCAATTTAGGTCAAAGCTGAAGTTTTGGAATAATTTGCAGGTTCTAATTTTTGCGACGCAGTGGGATCTCAATATTGATTCCAATGTATTTACATTTTGCCGTAATTGTTTGCGGGACCTATTTTTCGCGAAATGTGCGAAAATTAGGTCTTCATGAAAATTAAGTTGTTTACAGTACATTAAATGTTTAGACAGAAGCGCTATGTAGGCAGTTCACAGTGAACATGTAAGAAACGAGAGGCACAGGAGCACAAGTGGTCACATTCCCAAAAACATTTTGCACTATTAATGAAATAAATATGGCTTATTAACAGTTACGATGGTGTCAGGAAGAGGGTTCCACTCTTTGATGCAGGGAAAGGAGAGAAAACTTATGTTGACTACTCCTGTAACAGTTCAATCTTGAGTACCGTATTTTCCAGACTATAAGTCGCACCCTTGTATAAGTCGCGCTTCTGTATATTGAGTCGTTTTTGCTGAAAAGTTGGTAGTATATAAATTGTACCTTGTATAAATCGCATCACTTTACACAGTTCATGCAATTAACTTTTTGTTTTATGCACATCGGTATTGTGAAGTCAGAGTTTCGCACCATCGGCTAGTTTACACATACCGTTTGACGCACAACAACTTTGACGCTTCAACTTGCGAGAATTTCCCAAAGCACAGCACTGTCTGGTGGAGGAAATCAAGTGTTTCACAGCAAAAGGACGTAAAATGCGTGAAATGAGAAGGCGGTGGGCTTTATTCGAGTTTTTTCGTGGCACCACGTCACACTTTCATCGAGAAATCTAGCTTTAAAAGAATGAGTTCTTGAACTGGGCTCCTAGGAACCCAGGGGTTCCCTAGAGTACCCTCAGGGGTTCCCCAAACTCTCAAATTTCCTTAAGCCCCTATCTGGAGGTACAGCATTTTTTTCAATTTTTGGACTATTTTAGCAGATTTGTGCCATCCATCGACGCATAGCTATGTTCCAAATGCTCCCAGTATGTCTGTTATTATTGACGTGGTCTGTAAGCTCCTGTACTGCTTTATTACGGCAGTGCCGAGACCACAAGGGGTTCGTCAGCTGTCAAGTAAGGTAGAGAGGCGTTCCTCATGATAAAAAATTTCGAGAACTCCCGCCTTAGAACATTTTGTGTAAAGATGTTTGCTGGTAGTGTAGTGTCTCTTTGAAATGGATCTGCTCGGCCAATGTTTCTCCCCACTGTGCCTGCAGCCTGCGACTGCGACAGCCTAGGCTCGGTGTCCCTCCAGTGTGCCCCGGACGGACAGTGCGAGTGCCGTCCCAACGTGGAGGGCCGCCGCTGCGAGCGCTGCAAGGAGAACAAGTACAACCGGGAGGCCGGCTGCGTCGGTGAGTCGGCCGTGCGGGACCCAATTCACTGGATAGCTTTTCCTCAGCTCCCCGGGTATGAGGTCCTTACAACAGAACACCATTTCGTTTCTGCATGGTACATAGTATTCCAACACACAGGTGGTTTTCTTTAGCATCATGGTCGTCTCGGGCATTGCTCAGCTGTTGCTCGGCAGTTGCACACCGTTGCTTGGTTGTTGCTCAGTATAATAGCTGCTTCGACATTACTTGGTCACTGAGTCATTGCTCAGACGTGGCTCAGATTGATCCACTGAGGCCATTTTAGTCATGCCGACGAGCCGTTTATTGAAGCGCAGGCTTGTCTTGAGTCTATATAGCAATGGGTATGTTTGAAATTGAGTACCAGTTTTTTATGTTCTCGACTATTCTAGCTGGCACAGTTGATTGTGAGGCCAAATAACTCGCACAAGGCGGGAAACTTTGTCGCTGCGCGTGGAAGGGACATGGAAGAAAAATCACCAGCATGGGTTCCGGCGAGATTTCGAACCAGAACTGACCGTCGTATACTATGAGGTCCCTGTAGAATATTTAGACTTTTTCAATGGCAGAATGCCAGTTTATTTGACCAGCATGCATCCCGGATATCGTATGTTGATATGTTACCAGCAAACCTACCTATTTCGAACACATGCCCATCAGGTTTTCATCTGGCACTTTTCCACAAAAGAGTAAAAAGTGCCAACTCTGTCTTTCAATTTTGTTGTTCAGCTGAAATTTGTTGCGCAGCTGTCGCCTCCACCGTGGTAGCAAAAAACTAGAGACACAAGGCGTTGCAACAGAACGAGGAACTAGATTAAAAAGTTAAAAGGCACAAACTAAAACTGGACAAAAAAAGACACACATACTACAGTACTTTTTTCGTCCTGTTTCAGAGCGCCTTTTAACCTTTTAATCAATATGTACCAACTAGCCCCAACCAAATTTTTATTGGGGAACTAGGTGTTGGTAGAAAGTAAAATCTGCACAGAGCTGCCAACAGATAGCATAACAGCGCCCATCGTGCAGCACTGCTGCTGTAACCCTCCCCCTTCCCCCACTTCCCTCCCTCCCTCCCACATATTCTATGTTCTGGCTGTTTGTTACTCCGACTCCGCTGGTTTGATCGCAACTTTGTAAAGGTAGCTTGTTTGAGCCCGGAACATTTGAATACCGTGTCTTTGCTCGACAGCTATCTTAAAAGAATGCACAACCTGGCAGAGTGAGGTTGAGGTACACGGCATCGTGCCAAACAACAAATCTGCCAAATTTTATTTGTATTTTTAAACAAACAACACAGGGTATTGGTGGGGATCCGCCAATCAGTATACTGGAAACGACTAAATTTTCGCAAGGACCTAATTTTCGTGAATTTCGCAAATCGCCTACAATTCGCGAAAAATACGTCCCGCGAACAATTCGGGCGATATGTGAACGCTACAAAAGCTACGCTCGATTCGCGAAAATTAGAACCCGCGAATAATTTCAAATTTCCAGCTTTGGCCCAATTCGCGAAAATTTGAGTCCTCGAAAATTAGGTCGTTTACAGCATTTTGCACGCACTAGTTTCGTGAGACCTCCACGCCTGATTGCAGACTTGGGAATTATGTTGTTGAAGTCTCCCTTTGCTGGTAGGGGTGAGCTTCTTCTAATGAGTAGATAACAGCATCATTCTGTAAATATAAAGGAAGATACAAAGTCTATGTTTACTTCACTTGCGGTTGCTTCGGCACCTTATAAGTGGTTCCACACCTAGCAAGTCTAATTTGCTGATCCTTCGGGGGGGTTAAAAATCGACAAATATGTCTTCATGAAAAATTTAAAAAAAAAAACTATTGTAATTTGAACTTGTTATGAACGTTCTCAAGCAACCTTACTAAGCTTTTTTTGTTTTTTGTTTTACGATTAAGTATAAATATATACAAGTAACAGTTAGAATTTATCTGCAGTAAATGAAAGTCCAGGGTGTCAGTCTTCCGCATGTTTCCGATCGCCGCATCCCAAAAGAGTGTGCATTAGGTCAGCATTTTGGATTTGAGTCGTTCAATGTCATATAGCAGCTGCGTCAAATTAGTTTTGCACCAAAAAATTCTAATATGATTTATGCCAAGTCATCACCTTGTCAGCACTTGAATCGTCACTCGCAATACCGAGTGAAGGTTTGAGTGCTGACACTGTTACAGCGTACAGCAAATGACATGGACTGCTATATTTTGCACCCCTATTTTGGCCCGCTTCTCATTCGACTGGTTAGGTATGCCTATGACTGGTTCCAAATGGCAGATACGTATTCAAGTTGTGGATGTCCATGTGTTTTGTAACCGAGCTTTCGTATGCAGGAAGGAGCTGAATTTGAATTTTGTTTAAGGTATCCAACTGTCTGTGATGCATTTGCAGGTATTGAGTCTATGTGATGTGTCCAAAGTCACTTGGACGACAAATGAACACCGAGGTGCTTGTTAGAGGAGGCAGGAGTCACTTGGATGTTGTCGACGGAATAGGAGCACTACGACGAGTGATTGAGTTTTAGTTCTCTTTACCTTCCCACGTGCTTTGAGTGGCCCTTCTGAAAGTTGTTTCTGCTTGTTGCAGACTGCCCCACCTGCTACAACCTGGTGCAGGATGCTGTTAACCAACACAGAGATAAGGTGGCAGACCTTGCGAGGCTACTCGACAACATCGAGAAGAACCCCCAGATAGTGAAAAGTGTGGACTTCGAGAAAAAACTGGAAGAGGTCATGGTCATTGTGAATGACCTGTGGAAAGATGCAAAGCAAGCCTCTGGTGAGTCCCGGCATCTCTGATGTTCCGCACTGTCCCAACACCTGATGATGAGCATGGAGCAATTTTTATCTCGAACACTCACAGTTTTTTCCTGTTTGAGAGAAAGACGAGGCTGGCTTGTTTTAACTCAAATATAAAAATACCCTAATTGCTAAAACAAAATTTATTATAAAGTTCAGTGGAGTAACGTTTACTAGGGAACTTTGCAAGATGAACGACCCTCCAAAGAAGTTACTGTGCTTTATTGCGACTGTTCCTCTACAAACATTATACCAAATTATTGCTTTTTACTACGATGTCATGAAAAAAGCAGCGTTGGAGCAGGTATTGCTAGTTTTTGTTTTCTTATTTATTTTCGATCGTGGAGTTAATTTTTTTCTTTGATCTGTCCACCCTAACAATATTTGAGTGTGTCATCCTTATTCACCTACTGTGCCTCAATTCTGTACCATTAATGTACCTCAATCACTGACTCATAGCCCACCTTTATTACTTCACAAGTTATCTATACATCACTTCACTATTCATTTACCAAAGCAATTGGTGCACATTTTGTTTAGATAAATTTTATTGTTCACATTTTTTTACTGTACCATGCACTTAGGAAATGAAACCAAAACCATCATGTGAGTGCTACCCTGAAAGACGTAGATGGGGAAAGTATCATAGACATATAAGAAATTAAAGAGCACAAAAATAACAAGTTGTCTCATCTTTTTTTTTTCTCCTGGAAATAAATGTTATTCTGACCATCTCCACAATCAAACAGCTCTGCAGGTGCCCATTAGGTATTACAGTAGACTCTCATTAATTCAAACTCCAGGAAGTCCCAGATTTTAGTTTGAATTACCAGAAGTTTGAATTATCAGAAATTCATCTAAATATGATACTAGACAACATTATGATTCGTTACATGGATACATACAATTTATACAAAGCAAACAAATGGATGCATACAAAGGGAACACATACAAAGCAGAGTTTTGCCAGTTTCCTCTACATAGGCCTAATTATAAGCAAGTACAGGCATAACACATTGATGAAAGAACTGTGACGTTAAGTTTATTCATCCTGCAAAAAAGTTGTCGATTGTGGACTGTTTCGTCAGTACATGAGATCTCAAAACAAAAATTTTCAATACCAGCCAGCACAAGTAGCTCTTTACGGGACTCTTCCTTTGCAGACAGAAACTTCCGGAGCTGAGTTATGTGCTCAAAGCCTCTGCGGCTGTGACAGTTGGTAGTGGGCCATCCCTTTCTTCATCATCATCTTCACTCTCACTGCTGCACTGTGCTGGCATTACTTCCTTATGTCCTCTAATGAGTCATCACGACAAACACACACATTGTCTTCAAGACTTGCATATTCCGCCAGCTCGGTGTTCACATTATGTGCTTCAAGGCCAGAAAGCATGATGCCAGTGAGCTGTTCCTCATCCTCGATGTCGTCTTGGTCATCATTGCTAGTCTTGAAGCACATAATGTGAATGCCGTTTTCCCGTTGAGTGCGTCCCGTTGAGTGCGCTTCTTTTCGAGCACCGGTGCACTGCGGAGAAGCAACACTCGCGAAAACAAGCTCTGCGGGTATTGCTGCTCTGCGGTGCACCGGTGCTCAGAAACAAGCGCACTCAACGGGGCCGCGAGAACAAAAAGTATGAATTAAGCGAAAACGCCGTTCGAATTAAACGGCTTATAAATGCATTAAAAACATAGCGGGACTACCAAAATTTTTAGATATGTTTGAATTAACCGTAAGTACGAAATATCCGAGTTTGAATTATCACGAGCCTACTGTATTAGATGTCGGATGAAAGATTATTAAGGGAGGTGCATGAAATTACGTTGGCATCACTACTATGCTTGCGCTGGAGTTCTCAAACTCTTTGGTCCTCTGAAATCTTTTACTACTTCAAATGAGAGCAGAGATTTTGAAGATCAAAAACAGGAATGTTTAGAGGATCAAAGCTATGATAACGAGGAGACTGGCAAAGAGAGAGCGTAAGAAACCCACCCTCTCTCGAGAGAGTCTTGTAATGAAGCAGTTCTCAAGCTTAAAAACTCTCGTTATAGGCACACTTAGGAGGAAAGCAAAAGTGTCTCGCTCATAGCAAAAAAATATGGCAGCTTTTTCCAATCTATTGATCAAAGCGTCTTACGCAGAATTGCATGGCGTATAGGGAACGGAAGGTTTTTACAGTGTTAATTTTGTTGGCACACTGATTAATCATGTGATGTCACATGACCCGATGTCATGCAGCATGTTTGCATGATGTGTCTGGTCACGGTGTCGGGTCGCATCACATGGCACATTGTCATGTGATGTTGTGACATTAAATTACAGATGATGTGCGATCTAGTCTCACGATGTGTCACGTGACACCACGACTCGACACCTAACATCACTAGACCTAATGACATTGTTTGCACAGTGATGTCACGCAATAGCACGACTTCGCATTGTGAATCACGGGACTTGGCGTCAAGTCGCGTGACGCGCCACATGTGCCACCGACAAACATAAAATTCAAGTTAGACCCCGTTAGAATGCAATTCTCTACATATAGCATCCCGAAGCAGCCAACTGTGTTGTCTGTTGTCGAAGTGCAACCGACGTCATCTCTGTCTCAGGCACGGACAAGAGCCTGGCGGACCGTCTGGAAGAGCTGGTGCGGCGCATGCACCGGGTGCAGGAGACGGCCTCCAAAGTGGGGCAGGAGACGTGGCTGGCCGAGGAGGCGCTCTGGGCCGCCCAGAGCAACCTGTCCCAGGCCGAGGCCAGCGTGGAGCGCATGGGCACCACTCTGGCACAGGCACACCGCTTCCTCGAGGACGAAGGCCAGCACGCCCTGCGCAGGGCCCTGGAGCGCTCCCACCGCTTCGGACAGCAGTCCGAGATGATGTCGCAGATCGCCCGTGACGCGCGCCAGCTGGCCGACAGGTGAATATGTCGCACTGGGACGGCAAAGCTGGCAGGGGCAGTCTTTCATGAGTGTAACGACGGTCGCTCACGTTCCGTGCATTTGGTCTCTAGATCTTTTTTTACGAGACTTGTCATATAACGATTTTCCACTGAACCGTCGCAGGTGTCGTCTTACTTTTTCGTAGGAAGCCGTGCCTTGGAATTTCACGAGGACAAAATGCATCGCTTAAATAACTTGGAAAGATTAATGCGCTGAATTCATCAGCTTGATTTTAGTGCAAACCCCTCGGTTCGTAGCACCCTATAGATTGCTTCGTGGGTGGTAACACCCTATAGATTGCCTCATGGCTGCTCACCTGTCAGTAACAGAATTAATAAAAAAATTTAATTGCTTGTTCCCATTTGATAGTAAGCATCAATCAACGATCATGCGCATCATTTAGGGCAAGTTGATTCAATGTGAAATGCCCAAAAATATTATCTAAATGCTGCAACTTTATTTTTGTTGCACAGGCAAGATGCACCTGTTACATTGGGAATGGAAGGTCAGATGTATTGAAGGTTCACATAAATGAGGATAGCAGAAAGATCTATGGTTTGTTTTATGTTAGTGACGTCACAGTGCACAATTAGCACACACTTAAAACGCAGCATACACACCACGCCGTGGGGTTGGTAACCTGTTCGACCAACTCGCCTTAGCTGCAGTTTTGACAAGTTTGTTTCCCTTCGTGTGTGAGCAAAGCGGAAACTATACGCACAAGCATGTTGTCCTAAAGAATGCTTGCACGTGCTTGGCAGAGATGCTTGAAGCGCAGAGCTCACTCTTCTAGCTTTTGCTGTACCTGCACTTAGAAAAATAGAGTATAAATGCATCTTCTTAATCCCTTTATTCAAAATGCATTTCCCCGTTCATTCCAGCTTCAGAGAGGGCTGCTTCCTTCTCGTAGGGCGGGGGGGAGGTGTACCATATGCTGCAAGTACATTACCGCTTTGGTTTCCGATTTCAGCCACGAAAACGACGCCCAGGAGATCGTAAACCTCGCTGTGGACGCCCTGAACACCACCAAAGAGGCCCACCGGATAGCAGAGGGCGCCATCAGCACCCAGCACCAGACTGAATCGGAGATCTTCACCCTGAAAAAGAGGCGAGTGTTAAAAGAGGCAAAATAATTAAGTCTACTACAGTATAGACCACTTACAACATAACCGCTTATAGTGCAGGACCGGGTATAACGCGGTTTTTTTAAACCACCGGTTCGCCTCCCATAGAACTCCATGTAATTACATACCGCGCAAAATGCAGGCGCGCGAAGGGAAATACCAGTTATAGTGCGGTTGCTGGCACAGCCCGCCGATCGCACCGACGACCAGAGCAGCGAGCACGCTTCCCTGTGCAACACTAGATAACGGCGCAGACGGCGCGAGCCGCAAGCGGAACTCGCAGCGCACGGAGGTTGCTCGAAGGAGCGGGGAGAAGCGAAGAGAGAGGCTTTAGTTGCCATAGCGACGGAGGGACGCACGCACATGTCGTTCACGTGCGTGCGTCCCTCCGCTGCGTTGGAAACAAACCGCAACGACAGACCAATCGCAGATCGAGGAGAAGTGTTCGCGCGCGTTGCATGCCGGTCGCGAGCCGGCTGCTTCTATCCGCAAACATGGCGTCGGTGGTGATCGTCGTCGTAGACGGCGTTCATCTCATCATTCGCGTAAAAGCGCTATCCTTGACTGTGAATTTTCGTTGTGTGTCACTATGATAACCCAGCACACACTAGAAGGGAAGATCCACCTACTCGTGCGGCTTTCGTGGCGGCGCTCTTAAGACGGCAGAAACGCCCATGTCGTCGTGTTTGTTTACTTCGACTACAGTGGTGATTTCTAAGCATTTGTGTCCTCGAACGTCGCCCGGATTTCTTATTTGGCGCATTTCATGCGTGTGCTCAAGTTCAAGGTATTACTGGCGCGTACCGTATGAAGGATGCGAATTTTCACGCGTTTTCATCTCCGGAGAAAAGTGATGAGGGTTACCAATCCTGAACGCTCGCAAGGTCCGTCCGCAACCCGCGACGCCGTTAAAAGGCTGCGCCAGGCAAAAGCCGCTCATTTCTTTCAAAATGTGTGACACACTTGAGACAGAACTGTACTAGTCTGGTGAAATAACGACTTTCCTCAAACTAAGCTTTCTTTTTTATCTAACATAAAATAAATTCTTTTACAAAGGTAAGTTGTCTCATGGCATGTATTTTGGCCTGAAAAATTTATGTTTTGGTTATAGCACGGTACCCCTTATAGTGCGGATTTTCGCGACTCCCACGACATACGTTATATGCGGTCTACACTGTACGCCATACTTTCGGAACTATAGGTCTCACCCTTGTATAAGTCGCACTTCTGTATGTTAAGCCGTTTTCACAGAAAAGTTGGTATATAAATCGCACCTGTTTTACGCACAAATTTTTTCGTTTTACGTGCATCGGTATTGGTTAAATCACAGTTTCGCACAATCGGCTAGTTCACACATACTGTTTGACGCGCAACAACTTTGACGTTTCGAATCTCGGGAAATTCCCATAGCGCGGCGCTGTCTGGCGGGGGCGATCCGGTGTTTCGCAGCAAAAGGATGTGCAACGTATAAAATGAGAAAGTAGTCGGCTTTATTCGAGTGTCCACATGCTGAGCGAACAAAAGTTTAACGTCCTAGACACTCGTGAACCATTACAGTCAAACCCGTTTATAACGAACAGCAGGAAGCGCTACCCTTAGTTCGATATAGCAAGTAGTTCGATATAGCAAAAAACATTTACAACAAACTTCAACGATGAGCTTGTTGTGAGGCGAGAGCTTCTCTTTCTTTCTCATATCTTCACTTCCGCCTTGTAACAACGCGCTAAAAAGTGCTTTTCTTTTCTTTTCTTTTTTTTTTTCATCTGTGCAGAGTGTATTTTTTAGCTTTCACCCCTTCTGAATCGCTTTTTTTAGCTCAATTTTGTTCGCAACTTGAGCTTTTGGAATTTTATTTCTTTCCTACTTGTTTTTTTTGGGGGGAAGAACAGGCTAGAAGACGAATGTTTGCGCGTTTTTGGAAGCCTTCCAGGGAGAAAAAGTTTGATATAGCCAATATGTTGTTCGTTATAAAACATACTTTTTACACGCATTTTTATTTAAATTTTCCGTGAGTTCGATATCGACAATAATTCGCTGTACATGGGTTCGTTCTGAACGGGTTTCACTGTATTTGGACCACTATTAGGCATAGCCTAGGTCAAGTCACGGAGACGACGCAAGCATCGATGCGAAGGTAGATATAGATAAATCTTGACACACTTCTTTTGGTACTGCTTAAAGATAAGCTAGCCTCAGTCCTTCCTTTTACATGTTGCAACACGGCTGGAGCATGGCAGATCAAAACTGCTTGTCAAACGAAAATTAAGAAAGACTCGAGAAAATTTTCTGCAGTGTGTGTATATAGCAGCCCATTTAGCTTTCATTGTTACTGGACTGAAGTAAACAAACACGGAACTGTGGCTGAGTTAGGCAATGTCAATCACATGCTGTAAAAGCTTTATTCTCATCGTCCACATTGAGCCACTTCAGGGAAACCATAATGGAGAGGTCCCGGGTTCCATACCCGGACCAGGTGGATTTTTTCGGTCGCGCACCAGTCACCTAGCTGTGTTTGGAGTTTTGTGTTTGTCCTTTGTCCCTCTTGTTCCCCTTCTCCAGGGATTATTTTCGTCATTCTTGTCCAGCTCGCTTGCACCTTGCATTTATTTGCATTATAATACAGTAAAACCTCGTTACAACAAAATGGGATATAACAAACCAATGGATATAACAAAGCAATCATAATTCCCCTTGCTTGCTAATAGTGGGAAGAAATGGACATTGGCTATAACAAACTAATGGTTATAAGGAAATAATTACAACCGCTCCTTTAGCTTTGTTATAACGAGGTTTTACTGTAAAAATTTCTCGCTTTCCGAGTCAGTTATAAAAAGCGTAGAAGGGTGTGGCGACAGCACCACCTCCTGGAAGGGGCACACCACCTATGACTACGTAGTTACGGTGCTCTACGAAAGATGACGCGCGGCAAATGAAAATATGGTGTCGCACCATGCAATAAAAGAAATTCATATAAGTCACATTGTTGTACATATGAAATGCACCAAGAAAAATGTTTGAAAGAAAACTGTGACTTATACACCGGAAAATACGGTATGTTCTTTTGCGAGGCTTTTAAGTCAGAATGTGTTTATGGGCTGGCTTTGCCTGTAGTCGCTAGAAAGCTAAGCTGTAGAGTATCTACACTCTTTTCACCCATTGTCTGACACTGCGCCACAATGATCATTCGTCCGTCGGCATCGTGTGACATTCATTTACCTACAAGCAGCTTATGTGTGCCTCCTATTTGGCACTTAGAGCTGCTCAGGCACCATTTGCGACGGCTATAACTCCGAAATGCGACCCTCTAAGTGATAGAAACAGTGTTAGAAGACCACCACGGAATTGGTTTTGTTTGTTGCCAACCATTTCGGCAAACAGGACGGCGGATAGCACCGCTTGCACCTCTTATCAGACATGTTTGCAAAAGCCGGTGACAACCGGCAACGTCGATTCTACGGACAATATGGTTGAAGTGTCGTTACTTTGAGGTGTAGTTCATTTAGTGGTTCTAGTTTTGTCATCCAAAGCATTCCGGAAAAGTGTCGTCCATGTTTCCTCAACGGCTTCCATGGCTGGGGTGGTGCCTAGGGTTGACAGTGCTCTCAACGTTACTACTGTAAAACCTCGTTATAACAAAATGGGATATAACAAACTAATGGATATAACGAAGCAATCATAATTCCCCTTGCTTGCTAATAGCGGGAAGAAATGGACATTGGCTATAACAAACTAATGGTTATAACGAAATAATTACGACCACTCTTTCAACATTGTTATAACGAGGATTTACTGTAGATCGAAGTCTGTTGATAAGTTTCTTGGAATGCCTGGTGCCTTTTCGTGGCACGGCCGCTCAGTGGCACTCGCTGCGCTTTCAGCTTGCCCTGTGAACAGAAGTGGCAGAGCCGGTGGAATGTTGGATGCAGATTGCCTGCAGTGGAAAGTGATTCTGTTCTGGTTTTTATGGTAAACATAACATTTGCACAAAAAAAAGTGTTGTTTGAAAACGCTTCTTTGTTTTCAAATGCTCTTCTCGAGTGCATATCCTTGTTTATGCGCTCGAGCTGAGTCACACTGGATTGCGTGCACTTCAAAAGACATTAAAAAGAAAATTATTGGATATAGAAATGGTTTAGATGCCTCCACTCAAGCAAAACTATGTGTGTGTATGAAGGCACCCTACAGCATGTCGACTAACACTCGAAACCCACTTTAGACGGTCCACAAAAATTGTTTTTTCACCGTATCATATTGTAATTTACTAGAGAGGTGCAGCTAAGTGATGGAAATGTGGAGTTAAAAATAGTTGACTGCATGTTTGGTCATTCTGCCAAACATTTAAATGCAGTGGCTTTATAAGGTGGGTGGTGCTCTTAGTTTGGGTGGTGCCTAGGTCAGGGTTTTGTATGGAAACAAATTATGTCACACCATTGTCTCTTTGTGACACAACGTGCACTTCCCTTCAGTACCACCCATATACAAAGCCTTTGCACTGAATTTTCTAGGTCACCAAAGGAGACACACACTTTTCTGCCCTTTCTGCTGCTTCTGCACACACTTCTTACACCACCTGTTTCTGTTTCTCTCTTTCTTGCCCTTTCCTCCCCTCTGCTCCACAGACTTTCTCACACCACCTGCTTCTGCTCCCCTTGTTCCTGCATGATGGGTCCATAGCTCAGTCGACAGCTCACTCGGTTTTCATGGTGGTGACGGGTTCTATCCCTGGCACTGGTTGCCAATGTTTTCAAGATTGTTTAGGGGTTACGGACTGACTCACCTACACATTTCGTGCTTATGCGGCTCCTGAAGTTGGTTGTCCCTCTAAAACTACTGCTTTAATATCAACAAAAAAACTTGCTTAGCTTGAAAAAAAAAAAAAAAAACCTGTTTTGTGCAATTTTCGGCAGCATTCGCAGACAATGTCCTGATTATGCTCGCCTAGTTGTATTTGCCGCTAACAGATGTCGGAAGTGCCGAGGGTGTGTTGGCGCAGAGCTTAGCAGACAATCTTCCAAAACTTTCACTATGCGGGCGCACTGCTCTGTAATGTACAGAGCGCGACACTGTTAGCGCGAACAAGCGATCGCCAGTTTTCTGTGTTTTTCTCTTTGAACCGAAAGGCTGCCATCAAAGATATCATTGTTTTAGAAAGAGCTCATTTAGGGCTCTAATATAAGGGGTAAAATTGTGTGCCCACTAATGCTCTCTCCTAAGAAAATGCGAAAAGGCGCCGATGTCGTGTTCGCGCTAACAGTGTCGCGATGTGTACAATCATTAAAACTTAACAATTTAATAATTAAAAAAGGACTGAGTAGGAAAGTATTGATTTAAATCCCTCATGGCTCCCCATTTGTGCTCGGGAGGGGATCAATCGAGTTGTCGCATACTCTGGTGTCTCACGCTGCACCTGTCGGTATAACATACAACTGGGCGCATGGTCAGGACACTGTCTGTGAATGTTGCTATAGATTTCCCAAGACAGGTTTTTTCTTTTTCAACAAGTTAAGTTCATAGGTTGACATTTTCACTCCAAGCTTCCACCATTTACCCGCACCCCTGTAACAAATCGCAGCGCAATATGACCAATCTTTGGGGACTGTCTAAGGTGGGTTCAAAGCGTCGTGTGTATGCGTATATCTGCCCGTACCTGCTAAAATGTGGGCAACAGAGAAGAACCGTTTCTAAATGCCGCTCTCTGGTGGAGCTTGTGAACCGATAGATCTAAAAACGTTCACTGTTTCCACCCCACAGGATGAAGGACATCATGGACCTGATGCTGCGTACCAAGAAGATGGCAGAGGAGGCCAAGGCGGAGGTGGTGAAGGCGTACGAGGACGCACTGCGGGTGTACTCGGACACCACCTCGGTCCAGATGCCGGACATCGACACGGACGACCTGCTGCACCAGGCACAGGAGATCATCGAGGAGGTACGCCAGCCATTGGGGCGGGCCATCTCCTCACTTTACGGTCGTTCTTGTCCAGACGGTAATGACGACGATCACCATTGGCAGTGATGTCAACAATCCTACATCGTTGATGCATTTTCAAGCTGGGTTCCTAGGAACCAAAGTATCCTCCCTTGTCAGTCAAGCTCCCAAATTTTCTCAACCGTCTCTTCTGCAAAGGAAAGTATTTTCCCGGTTTGAGCACCATTTTAGCAGTTTTAAGCCACCCGCTAATGCATAAGTATGTGCCAAGCACTCCCTGGTATGTGCGTTAGTGTTTACGAGCATTGAGGCTTCTGTACCGCTTTATTGCATCAGTGCCGAATTTGGCAGGGGTTTCTTGGCCGCCAGTCAAGAGCGATGGGGTTCCTCGAGGTGGAAAGGCCCACCACTCTTTCCACTTTAGCAGAGAAAATGCTGGAGAGGAGGAAACCTCTAATTATGGCGACCAGAGAGCTTTGTGGGAGAAGCATGTCCAGCTTTTCTTAAGGGGGGACATGGGCCTAAATTTCAAATATTTTTGAAAAATTCAATTTTAAAATTTGAGCTTTTTGGTTTTAGAAACTAATTATACACCTTTACACTAAATTTGATAACTGAAGCCAAATAGGTACGTTGATATAAAATGCTTTCAACACATTGTGAGGCAGTAACAAAGTAAAGGAGCTCAATGTTCTAATGCATTTTTCTCAGTTGCACTTTTTGTTGCAAATTTCATTTGAAGGAATCTTTTGTTCGAAGTTGAAAGTGTTCTGATACCACAATCAAGATGTTTCTGAACTGAAATTTACTGGGGAGTCGGGCTATCTACTTTATTTTAAGTTGAAATCCTCATTGAGAAAAAACTAGGTTTTCAAAAAGTGACATCGGAGAGATATGCATCTTATATTACTTGGTAATGACCCTTCCTGAAATGTTTACATTTGGGTCATAAAAACTAGATAGTGCAAAGTCCCACATTCCCCACTTTATATTCAGGCAGCCAAAATTATGCTTAACAGCTTCATTTGCGTACCATAGATTTCTAAACAAAGAGTGACACATCTTCTAATGCAGGTATGTAAAATTGTCCTAGAGAGCTGAAAGTTTGCACAGTACACCTACATCTTGTGTTAAATCTCCCCTTTAGTTAAATCCCAGAAGTTAAATCTCTAGCCAGTGTCCCCCCTTAACCTGCCACAAACTGTAGTCAAGTACAACCATTAATGACAACGTCAATGACGTCATTGTCTGTTTCACGCGACCGGTGGCACGTGTTCTTGGAGAGCTTACGTACTGGCCTTAGAGTGGTGTCAACTTTCAACGCACAACTTACCTGCCGCCACGATCGTTGCTTATCAAGGTTGCCAGCAGAGGTTTCTCTGGCTACTCCTTTTTGATTTCGGATTCCAACAAGTCTGTCTTGACTATGCTCCAGTGAGAAAGGGTGAAGATGCTTGTGTTGAGGGCTCACCCTTTCCCTCCTCTCACCGCTTTAGCTCAGCCAGGACCCGTTAAAGGACATATGCAGAGGAAAAACACATTTTTCTTTTAAACAGCCTAAATGGAAAAAGGATGTCATAAGACAAATTTAAAAAGAAAATACAAAAAAAAAGCTTTTAAGAGCTATATTTGTGGCGCGAAACGAATTTCTAGTTGGCGCCTGCGGCAGCCCGTGAAAAAGTGACCGCTATGCTCATGTGAGTGGCCGCTATGGTCACATGGTTCTTGTGCTCTTTCAAGAGCTTCTTATGGGCTCTGAAAGTTGTTTACTAATCTTCGTTTAAAGTGCAACAAAGAAACGAAGATTAACAAGTAACTTTTAGAGCCCAAGGGAAGCTTCTGAAAAAGCGCAAGCTCCACATGATAGACCTGTGCATCTCAAAAATTGACAGCAGCGGCGCGCCGGAGTTTTTCTTTCCGGCGGCGATGACGTGAAGAAAGTCGTCCACCCGGCGGCGCGCCACGCTCAGCGTGTGATGGTGGCGTGGAATTCTGGGCACTTCAGCAGCGGCGCTGAACGGCTCTGGCGTAACTCGCAACGCACAGGTCTGCCACGTGACCAGTGACTGCTCCCACATGCAGGCACCAACTACAAATTCTTTTCGTGCCGTAAAAGATAGCTCTAAAAATTTTTTTGTTCGTTGTGAATTCATTTTATGTCAATCTTTTCCCTTGCAGAGAGTTTAAAAGAACAAAATATTTTTCCTTTGCTTTTTTTTTTTTTTAAAGAGAGGGGACAATGCATTTTGCCTTTTTTATTAAGCCTATTTTCCCTGGTATTTAGTAGTAGCTTTCCCCAGCACAGGAATGGAAGGGCAAAGATGGTGGTTCTTGAGACCTGACAGAGAAGGAGAGTAGGTTTAAGATGTTAGTGCCCTGAACTGAGGAGCAAAAGAATTTGTTAGGATCTCTAGCTGCACCCAATGCCATACCCAACCAGGCTTCTAAGACGAGTGCTGTCAGTGTGTTTGAGGCTGGAGAGTTGGAAAATCATTTTGAGGATTCCAAAATGTCTCAGTGGGAGTTGAGGTCGCTAGAAAGAGACAAACAAACCCCATGAACTCGGCATGTGTGGCTCACCTGGCAGCTTAGATTTTTTTAACAAGTGACGTATGAGCTTACTTGTTTCAGTGCGCAAGCGCACCGGAGCTGGCATTAGCCGACAGTCGTGTCATCAAAAAACAGATTTTCTTGAACACGAAATAAGTAGGAATGTTTTCAGTGAAAACCTGATTTTTTCACAATAAATACACCCTAAATTAAAGTGACCATATTCCTCAGGCCTCAAAGCGGGACGCGTATCGGAGGGGGGGGGGGGGGGGAAGGGGAGGGGAGGGGAGGGGAGGGGAGGGGAGGGGGAGGGAGGGGGAGGGAGGGAGGGAGGGAGGGAGGGAGGGAAGGGGGGGTTTAAATTTTGGTAACAAATCATACCTTTTCATTTATTCCTATACACCGTGTACATCTATTTTTCTTGCAATTTGCGTACTGTGTGGCTTCCAGATATCTAATACATTTGGTTGGAATATTCCTTTAGTGCTAATGTATTTATTTTTGTGTACTATTGGGGGTCCATAGTATTGTTCACATGTCATATGTCAATTAACCTTCAGCATCTTCTCTCTCGAGCATATCTTGTTCCTTGATCAGAGGACGCACCCTCTCAGCGCTGCGATACTTTCGTTTAACCGAATCTTTCATCTATGCGTGGTTCGAGAACCAAAAGCGGGACAAAACGGCGTCCCACAAGCACGCTGGCGGGACAGCGGGACCACGGCCGGAAAAGCGGGACCTGTCCCGCCTAAATCGGGACGTCTGGTCACTTTACCCTAAATAGAAATACAAAATGGTGCTAAATCAAATTAATTAAGTATATTAGGAATTGTAAGCCTCATTTCTTTGTTTATTGTGCAAGATATTGAAGCATGTTACTGTTGGGTAAGAAGTAATTAAAACAAGAAAAATACTTGAAAGGCACCTTCAAAAGGATGACAACTACGATAAAGACTTTTGAAACAAAAGTATGGTTTTATTGCCGTAGCCCCAAATCACATGTCTAGGGGGCGCCGCAGTCGGGCATTACTCAGCGTCTCCGCCGTTAAAAAAGCGTAACGATGGACAGTCGCCGGTGCATGTCCGCTTCTCCTGCCCCCTTCTGTGTTGCTAAGTTCCAAACGCGGCGCTGGCTCGTTTGACTGCGTACGTCCTCTCGCACATACTGAAAACGTAGTGACTGCTTTGTTTGAGTTAGGACAGCCATTCTTTTGGTATTGGGGATATGGCTCATCCTAAATAATTAATCGAATGCACTCTGATGCAGAAGGCACCCATGCAACAAAGAATCGGGTTGACTTCCATCTCGGTGTGCTGATCATTGTGGTTAGCACTCACTAGATTATGTCTGCCCTTAGCTTTTCTTTATTTCTATATGTATACAGAATTTTTTATTTCGCGGAAACTCGGAAATGTGTTTGAGATAAGGTTAATTTTATTCACATTATTATTTTATTGTTGGTGGACTTTTGCAAGAAGCCTGTTTTATTTTTAGTTCATTTTCTATCTGACTAATATATTTGCATGACCAATCTTCTTGGGATTGTTTAGGATTCAGAGTCACCATGATATATGGCTGGTTTAAAATATTTAAGCGCCAATTTGTTTCGACAGAAGTAGAAGTTAATTAAAATTTATTGACTGCCAAATTGGCGCATTTCAATTCGTGACCATAAAATTGAAGACAATGTTACGAGAAAAATAAGATGGCGCAAAACTTGTTGCCCGCAGAGCAGAAGTTGGCGGTGTATTTAAAAAGTGTTATTAATGTTTTAAGATATATATATATACATATACATATATTTTTTTTAACAGAAGTGTTCTTTAGATGTATGGTGGTACTTTGAACTACACATTTTACACACCACTTAGATAACTATGCATACTATAATTTCACAATGTCTCGACTTCAAATTAGACCAAGTTAAGCACTTTGAATTGTTTAACAAATTAATTGTCAGCGTCGGTCAAACAGCAAAGAGCAACTAGGCAAATCTGCAAATAACACTCTTGAACTCTTCGCCAAATAGCAATATCAAGCGTCACAAAGACAGTAGAGTCAGAACACTATTTTGTTATCTCGAATAAATGAAAGGCAGAAATGTACCCACCACCTTACCCATTTCTTCCACTGGCCGCGCACCAGAACCTTATGGCGTGCGGCTGGGGCTTTAGTTTTCTCATTAAAGAAAACACTGTCATAAATGCAGCTTTGACGGTTTTGACTGAGGGGTACAAAAAGAGATCAATCACGGAAACACAATATTCATTAAGTGATCACTAGAACTCAGGAAACGAATATAATAGGTAAAAAATGCAAAATTTTATCTCCAAACATTATTGTTACCACGTGCCCCCATATGTACGGAGAGCAAGGACCTCGGACTTGTTATCTTCGCTGTTTTACATGTTAGGATGAAACACAGTAGTTTTAATAGCAGACTGTAAAACAAAACAAAAAAAGTGGTTGTATGTTTGTGTTGTTGTGCACTATGCCAACAAAAGTACAGCATCTTCAGTGGCACAAATAACAATTCAGACTCCCCATCATTGCGGAAGTTGGCCACCACGTGGCGCGACCTGTGAGGGCAAACTCCATTGCATGGTTGCCATAATACTTGGACAAACTGGCAGTTTCCAGAGATTCATCAGTTTTTGCACCCAAAGAATGAGAATATGTTACATCAAGTGCTAATTTTAATGTGCAATTTGAGATAAATATAAACTCCAGAAGTATCCCTATTTGTGAACAAGTGTCCCATTTGTGAGCCGTCCATTTGTGACTTTGGCTTGCCTTTTGGCACATGCCCATCTGCACCTTGAAAGAAAGCCTACATGCACAAAAACAAAACAAAAAGAGCAGTGTTCTGGAGAACAGTTCTTTCCTTTGTGAAACACTAAAGAACCATTTTGTAGAAAGTTTCTCATCGTTTGTGGACCAATCAAGGGACTTTTTTATACGTAACACCACCAACACCGCTCATGCCTGCAAGGTCACAGCCACAAATACTGTTAATGCCAAACTGCTAACCCCTTTTGCTCGATGCAGATTGTGCAATTGAACAACGAAATCACTCTCAATGCCGTGAAAAAGAGCCTCGTAGTGGGCAAAAGGGAAGTGAGCCACGGCAATTGTTCACTCCTAAAATGCAGGCCCAGCGCATCTACAAGGAAGCGGATGACTTGATGGAGAAACACAAAAACATCTTCGATAAAGTGAAGCCGCAGAAAGACGAAGCGGAGGATCTGCTGGCTGAAGCTCAACGACAACAACAGGTGCGTGCACTCCCTGTTTCTTCATTCATTTGAGAGCACTACCAGTTCAAGTATATATCCGAGTTTTTCTCGTTAATGCGCGCCTCACTTATAACTCACAGTTCGGAAAGTGCCCTTTCAACTGGTAAGCCGGCGAGGCAAAGGCTCCAGTAGCAGACGTCGGCCATGTAGTCGGATGTTCGCGCAAGCCACAGGAATGCCCGACAGACGAGACCAACTGCTATACCTAAAAGTCGTCGTAAGGCATTGAATCCTCTCACGGCTTGACGTTGAATCTTCTCACGGCAGATGTTGATGACAGAGCCAAGAGCTTAATAGTGGTCATGTGGCCAACGACGAGTCTTTGACGAACCCCTCTTCCCTGGCGCTCGTCGCTGGCCGTGCCACACCGCTCGAGGACACCGACCTTTTTTTTTTTTAGCTAAAAACAAACTTTACAAAATTATCAATGTTTGCTGTTTTCGATTTAAACAAGGAAAAAAAAAAAACCTAAAAACATTGTTTTGCACATTTTCATTCGAGCGTGAACAAGCGCGTTGCGACAGCCTGCGAGTGCTTACGACGTGAAAACAGACTGGTGCCATTGATTGGATAGCCCTAGAACACCAATTCTGATCTGTCCATGTTTCCCAATTTTTTTACTCATAATTTTTTCACCATGGTCTCGTAACATATCATACAGTAATGTATTAGAAACCGTTTCTCGCAGATGGTGCATAGGTTTAATCTCTCATATGCCGCAAAATCTTTACTCTAGCTATGTGCAGATTGGAAGCGTTCCATGCCCGATAGATCGTGCCAGCGGGTTCTCTCGTCTTGAGCAGTCGCAGGTGGCGGTGACGCAGTCTAGCACACTCGGACACAGACGTCCGAACTAGCCTTTATCGGTTTATTTGTGGGGTTCAAACTGAAAACACCGGGCCCAATGATAGTGGCAAACACGCCGAAGTGGGCCACCCCAAGGAGGAGAGTACGTCAAGTTCCTCTCGACCGACAGGTGACAGACGAGCTCCTGGCGGACACGGACGCGGCCTATGCCAAGGCCAAGGAGGCCGTCCAGAGCGGGGAGAAGATTCTGGAAGAAGCCCAGAACACACTCAAGACACTCAAAGGTGAGATTCCGCTTTCGCCCTCGACGTGACACCCGCCCTGGCGGTAAAATTATGCCCGAGAGCTCATGGTCCCTCGGGTTTGTGAGGTCCACCGGCTGCCCTTTTGCGCCGTTTTCGGGCCCCCAACCGTACGGAGCCTCGTGGCATGGCTTTTACCGACACCTCAACGAGGCCACGGTCTGTCGTCTGCCGGAGGCCTGCACGGGGCGGAAATCAGTCACGAGTCCTACAATAGCTTTTTGCTAGGACTGTGATGCAGCAATGGTGTCCAGTCTGTTTTGGTCATTTGTTGAATACTTCAGACCAGGAGATAATTTAAGCTGGAAGGGCTCAAAAAAACAAAAAACACTGAAGCTTGTTTGAGACCGCGTAGCTAGTCCACCGAAATTGGAAGAAATATGAACAGTCAAAAGTTTCAAGAGCATGTGCAACTGTGCGCCGTCATTGCGTGAGTGTACGGGCAGAAACAAAAAAGGAAACGGGCGCCGTCGCTAGACAAACGTTGACACTAGGCAAACTAAGGAGCAAAAATAAACGAGCAAAGGCGCATCGTCACGGGGCTAAATATAGCTACCGAGCAAAAAAACATTAAAGGTGAAAACAATAAGTCAAAAAGAGAGTGCAGAAGATGTCCAGGTTACATAGAAAATCCGGTGCTATGATTCTGCCATCTAGGAGGCGTTGCTCTTACCGACTGGATGCTTCGGGTAAAGCAGTACGCTGCGTTCGACTAGGTGTTTGCTGCGACTGTGATTGCTTAGCTTTGTAAGGAGGAGGAGGAGGATTTGAGCACGGACTGAAAGGAGCCAATTGCTCCTTGCAGAGTTCGACGAGAACGTCAAGAACAGCAAGGAGAAAGCCAGGGCTGCCCTGGAGAGAGTGCCGGAGATCCGGGCTCTCATCGAAGAGGCCGAGAACAAGACGGCGGATGCGCGTGACGCGCTGAAGGACGCGGAAGAAGACGCCAATGCCGCCAGCGACATTGCCACCCAGGCGGAACGCATCGCCGAGCAGGCCTCCAAGGTACGTCTAGAAACCGCGTGCCTTTGCTCTGAGCAATTCTGCTGCCTGACGAGCGTTTTTGGGGACTAATAAGGTCATTCCGAAGTTGTCGATTCATTCTACCATAATGTGCCAACTCAGTGCCCACCTATGAGTGGCAGAAGCGATCTGTGAAAGAAGGTGAAGTGTGCAATGTCTTGGTGAAATCGAAGAATGCTGAGGAAAAAAGTAGGCCTTAGAAATAGATATATAAAGCGTTTGTTTACTTTTGTGAGAGGGTAGATTGCTGCATAGTTGTCTCTTCACTTACAGCTTCTTGTCCTTCTAGGAGATGCAATAAAAGAAGCCACCTTATAGGACAGTTTTGAATAGGAATTTGTATTAGATAAGCAATGTTTCTGGTGTCTTCCTTTTTTAGTTTATATTTTGCTTAAAAGAGGGAGTGGTCGATGTTTTAAAGGATGGTATTGAATTGGAATAAAATCCATATCTACTCGAATCAGAACCAAGCATACTTCTTTGTCATGAAGTAGTGTCTCGCTTTGCTGGATTCTAGTTATTATCGAGACGTTGTGTTCACTGGTGTGAGATGCAATGGAATACAGGTGCCACCAACATCATATATTTTAATTAACTTTTTTTTTTTTAAAGAGGGGGGTTACACGGGTCTTGTCTTCACCTTGTATGTTTATCAGGCTCAGTAGACAATAGATGAGGGGATTACCATCAATACACTGATATTTGTTCCTTAACTTTTTAATTATTGATTTTATGGGCCATGTTGCAATGGCAGATTAAGGGGGGACTCTACCTTGAATTGCACCTTTTTTTCCAAAAAATTCATATTCAGGACTGCAGAGTTTTGGCATATATGGATAACAAGGAACACTCACAAAGTCTTGTCAATGTGCACTGACAAACAATGTGAAAAATGATTATTCTTTATACGTTGTGAAGGTATGCTGCACTGCGTAGCGCTCATCATCCACAAGTGAACATAGCTGAAAGCAATGTCAGTATATCAGAAGAAGTTTGAGGAAGACATCATCTACAAAAAAGAATTTCTGACATTTAAGATGCAAAAATAATTTTTAAAACGTCATCTTGAAACTTCAAGTGCATTTATCTCAGCTTCACTTTTGGCAGCAAATCCCACCTTAATAAAACTATCGTCTCAGTATGAAACTACCGAGAGACTTAATATTTGTTGATTATATGCCGAAATTTTATCGAGCCGGTTACTATGAACTTAGATTTTTCATTTTCATGTTCCTTTATTATGAAAAATTGTAATTTGCAAAACTTGGCAAATGTAAAAAAAAAAAAAAAAAAAAACTTTTCATAATTTTTTTTTTTTAATTGAAAACTGCATATTTTCTGAGGTTTCTTTTCATATAGTAACCGGCAATAGTAAGTATTCCAGTATGCATTCCACCAGAAGAATATGTGGTGATCAACACCATTTCTCAATGATAGATTCATTGAGCAGATTCCATACAAAGCTACGTTCTGGGGCTATAGCACCTCATAAAATTGGTTCACAGAGATGAAACTTTGCATGCTCTCCTTTTATATGGCTAGAAACACCACCTGTAAATTTCACGCCAATTGAGTGAGCACTTCAAAAATGGACATGCCCAGGTAGTGTCCCCTCTTAAACATTATGCAAGGCTAAGCAAGTTTAACGGAATGCTGACGGGTTTTAAGATGTTCATGAAACAGCTTTGGTGTTTTTGTCCCGATTCTAAAGTTGGATGCAGAATGCCGGAACTCCTGTTTGCAATGATGCATAAAAGTCTGACGTAGTCATTTCGCACACTCATCATTGTATTTCGGCAGCATGTCCTTGGCGGATGCACCAATGTTGTGCCACCGAGATAATGACAAAACAATACAAACGAGCATGTCAGTCTTCCATTCATCATTACGAACTGGAGTTCCACTGTTCATTTTTTCACGTCCAACTTCAAAATTGTTTGGCAGGAATGCAATACTCATCATTGAGTGCATGAAATTCAGTTGTATTTGTGCATTGGTTTTTACCTCTCGTAATTATTGATTTGACCTCTCGTGATGAATGACTGTACCTTTCAAATTGGTTCATTTTTTAAGTTGTATAAAATGCGACATAAAATTGTTGGGTACTGGGCACCGAATAATTAAAATTGGTCACAGGAGAAACTTGGTAGGTGTCTTTCATGCTCAGGCCACTTGTGCCCCATTTTTTCGCAGGACGCCATTCACGTCCGGAACGATGCGGACCTCGCCAGGAGCACCGCCGACAAGCTGCGCAACGAGGCGGACGCGCTGGCGGACAGTGTGCAGGCCACCGACGAGAGGATGCGGGGATACCAGGGACAGGCAAAGGAGGACGAAGCGTTGGCCAAGGAGGTGGGGTTCTCTCTTCTATTATTCACTGTGGACAGAGCTGTTCCTTGCGTTTCGAAACTAGGGGTGTGAAGGTAGGAGAATGTTCCAATCAAAATGGAACAGCATAAAGTGCCAGCTACGAAGGCTGCATAGAGGTTCTTCAACTTTCCTATCTCGAGGATCGACCACCTTTCCTGAGCCAACAAAATTCTGGTCTTTGCACTGATCCAGTAAAGCAGTGCAGAAACTAACAGACATTGTAAACAGTAATGTACACACTAAAGAGTTCTTGGTTTATAGTTATGCATCAATGGGTAGCTCAGATCTTAAACTGGGAGAACACTTTACCTGGGAATCAGGTGAACCCCAGGGTTCCTGGAAACCAGCTTGAAAACCCATGCTGTATAGAATACTCTCAAAGATACACACGATAGAAGAACTGGTTTAAGTGGCTACTTGACGAAGTCATAAGGGTTTCCCTATCAAAGTAAATTTAGCTACAGTTACAGGTATGCTTGAGGTGAAATGTAATTTCCAAAGATGGTAACCCATTTTGAGATTTGTAGTGAATCTTGGCTCGAGCAAACTTCGAGCGACCTCAGGGAGATGTTTTCTTAAAGGGAAACTGAAGCGGTTCTGTATTTGAGGAAAAACACCTATATCATCTTCATTTGGCCTCCAGGATCACTAATATCGAGATTATTTTCCAATTTAGTGCACGGAGGCTGAAGAAATTAATTTTCAAAGTACCGCTGAAGCCCCTCCTTCCTGGGGCGTGACACACCATTAGAAGTTTTCGTAATCTTCACTCTCGCGCATCTTCAGTGCCTATCAAAGCTATGCATGCGCACTCTTGCTATTTTCAAAAAGGTCAGAAAGAGACGTCACGACTGCCGTCAGTGCGGGAGAATACACCTGGCAAGCTTGCAATTTCACACGCTGCCCACACAAGCGACACGCGTTTGGCGGCCCAAATATCCTAGTATGACGTCACGCCTGGTCGGAGGTTTTTCGCGTTTAATTACTTCTTCAGGGAAAACAAACGTGATATTGAAATTCACGGCATAAACATGTGCCAAAATTCACATTTAACTTGTTTTTTTTTCAAGAAGTGTTTCAGCTTCCTTTTAAGGGGAGGTGCTTGTTTTTAATGCTGTCACTTTGTATCTGATTTAAATGAAATTCCCACACCTACTTTAACTTCTAGACAGTTTGAAAAGTGGATGCCAATCAATGTCTTTCCTGGAACCTTTCAGGGTCTCGTTCATTGTGGCCACATTAAGTCATATCGTGCATCACTGAGATGTCAAGTTAGTTCAGGTGTGGGTTAATTCTGTCTACCTTGTGCACCTGGCCCCTCTTTCATGTCCACATCCTGCAACCAATCGCAGCACATACTGCATTTTCTTGCATATAACCCGCATCAAAATTTATATAAAATCAAAGGCAAAATATGAGTGTGGGTCACAAGCAAATTTCCACAGGCAGTGCAGCTTCATGGCAATGCATGTGAAGTTGTAGGGATGGGTGTAGGACAGAATTGTTCCAGACAAAATGGTCTCAGACAAAATGGTCCCGGACAAAATGTCCCAGACAAAATGGTCCTAGACAAAATGATCCTGGACAGAATGGTCACAAGCACAAACCTAGGCAAGATGGTCCCAAGTGTTTTGTTGATGCTCCAGGTGCTCTTTAAAGTTTAGTGAACTGCTGCTCCGAAGCTTTATTGAAAACACGTGTAATGTATATTTAAATGTATTTAAGGTTTTTGTGAAACAACTAAAGAAGCCCAAAATTTAATTTATGTTCTATTACAGTCAAACCTCGATGTAACGAAGTCAGTAAAATTCGGAATTTACTTCGTTGCATTGAAATTTCGCTACATGGAAATTTGGGGCTAACGTTAAAAGAGTTTCCACAAATATTTCCCGGGTGCACAAAACTCACCGAGGACGCCTTTATTTCGGTTAAAAGTAGTCCGTCACCTTTTTCTGGACCACTCTTGACATTGTTATTGGCATCACTCAATGTTTGCATAGCCAGACGGCCTGCATTGCGTCTTCGTCTTGCTGTGTGCTCGTGAACCATTTCAAAACATCAATCGCGTCCACCACTTCACGGTTACTGGGCACATTTGAAGTGTCTTGCTCATCAGGCTCGATGTCGTCCTCGTCTTGCGATTTCCCATGAACATCGCTAGCTATCGCCTCGTCGGTCACGTCCTCCCTTGCAATGACAGCAGAATCGACGTATAAAAAGTCGTTGAGGTCGATGTTGTCAGGGACGGCTCCATCACCTTCAAGGCTTTGTGGCCCAGGACAATGAGAAACGCACGTTTTTAGTCAGTCCTCGAAGCAAACTAACTACGCTGTGCGAACGAAGCCGATGATTTAGTGTCCTCTAGTGGCCGTTCTGTACACCACACTGGCCAGATTGGACACCCTTTCCCCAGAGCATTAGGTGCACTGCGCCAGATGGGCCAGTTGGGCGGCCCGCTTCACCCTTTGCACTTTATCGGGGGCCCGTTTCAGCGCATGTGCTTCCGAAAATCTCCTTTGGGAGCCAAAAGTTTGTGCCAAATTGTCAATGAAATTTTGTTAAACAGGACTTCGTTACATAGAGGTAAAAAATACATGGCGTGTATACACTTGCGGTTAGAAAAAGTTATGTACTTCGTTACACATCGGGGTTTCGTTACATAGAAGTTTGTTACATCGAGGTTTGACTGTATTACTCATTCGGCTCTATGGCTCCTATTTGCACAAGTCAGAGCATTGTACAAAGCTGGAGCATGGAAGTCAGTAGACAAATATACAGCCGTGCGCATTAAAAGTGCAAGGATGCAATGTACTCTGCAATTGATTAGACTAGCCAGTGGTAACATGAACAGGAAAATTAACAAATGCCATTAATATATTTTGTTCTTTCAGCACTGCTTCATTGGTCCTATCAGCTTGTAGCCTCAGCTGCACTATGACCTTAGTAAAGCATAGCATAGGTGCGGGAAGAAAATTTTAAAAAATCCGACAGCATATTTTATAATCTTGAATTAGCGCAATGGCGCTGCAAGAAAAGGCATGCACATGATGATACAGACATAATCATGCGCATACTACGTATTCGTGATGGCGTGCGTGCAGTTGTATATCGCTGCTATGTGATGCACATTCAAGACCTCAGGCCAGCAGTGGTACTGCACTGGCAAAATTTCTTGTCTGCAGCGTAAGCCAGTGTCGCCACTCCTCAAATTCAGACCGACCTTACATTGTATGAACACAAACATCAATATTTTATTTCTTATGGCGTGTTATGGAACATTTTTCTTCTCGTCCATATTATGTCAAGGAAATTTTAGACACATTATTTGATTATATTCTTGCATATTGTTTTTATGGTATACTTCTCCCCTCTTGGCTCAGCTACTGGCATGCAATATGTTTTAAATTAAACATGTAAACTTTAAAATGGTTAACAGTTTATTATTAGCATTTATTTTTGCTGTGTCCAATTTGCAGCAAGATTAAGCATTTGATTGACCCCCCCCAGAACAAGCAAACTACGGTATGCCTCAAACCTTGCCTTTGGCAATCTTGTCCGGGTTTACGCTATGAATCAATTTTTCCAGGGCCATTTTGACCAGAACAGTTTTGTCCAAATCCCATAGGGATAGATTTCCCAGAGTCCCCCTTCTCCGGCCTCTCCTAGGGACTTCTCCCCACCCCCTTCTTTTTTTTCGAGTAGCCATCTTTGCATTGTTTTTGCAAACTGAGCAGCTAAGGCGAGCGGTCGATTTGACAGCAATGCGCAAAGCATCGCTGCCATCGACGGCAGCAATCTTCGCAGTTTTCAATCTCTTCAGCAAAGGTCATGATTGTTGTCAGCGAATAAATCGGAAACAGAGCGGTTGGCCAAAACCATGGCCGCTACAACGTTGGCGAGTTGTGCATGCAGGAATGGAGGAAGGAGGAGAGCCTACAAACTGCAGGCTGCGACCGAAGATCATTTGGCCGTCCAAAGACTGATGCATACCCCGAGCTTTAAGAAGCACTCGCAATGTTTATCGAGGTTAGAAGAGGTGGCAGTCATGCCTTACCGACAGAGATCTGGCGTGACCGCGACCTTTCCAGACAAGATGGTGCGGAACAGTTTCAAAAAGTGCTGCATTAGCAATGGCCTCGACGTCATGGATTGCGACACTACCTGCAACAATGAAGGCACCTTAGATAGCTGCAGTGACTGCAGCAATGAGTGTATTTAAGGTCAAGGTGGGGTTTCTAGCAAGATCTGGACACTGCTTTATGTGGTGCGACAATATGCGAGGTTTTTTTCGTTTTTTTTCGGAGAATAGTAAGTTGGGTGTGTGGGTTATATGCAGGGGTGTGTAATGCTTGCAAAAATACCTTATGTCCTCTGAATATCCTTAGGATGTTTATGGAATGTTAGGACACTCTGGGGATGTGTGTGGAACCACCGTATTTACTCGAGTTATAGCCGCACTGTTTATGAAGAAAACCTGAGGGTTTGCATTTTACGTATAGCACGTAGATGGCCGATCACCGCGAGTGATAGCATGATTCCAGCTGCTTACAGGACAGAGATAACGTCTTTGTGCGAACATACCATCTGTGAAGATTGCATTTGTATGGAGAATCGTGTTCTCGATCTGGGTATTCGCTATGTTATTTATGCCCAATGCAATGATTGGCTGTATATGTGTTCAGTGGGAAAGTAGACGCAAGGGCCTTGTTCATAAAAAGTGCAGCTATTAGGTACTCGAGTAAATATGGTATCTGTACTGCCAGGAAGGACGGCGGGTGCCGTGAAGGAGCAGCACTTTCTTGGCGAAGTATGGGCTGCTGTTCCGAGGCTTACCAGAAGACTTTGCCACATACAACACAGCCGACTGTCTGTAATGTTACGCTCAAATATTTACAGCAGTTATCTTTCCTTTTTTTTTTTTTTAAAGGCATTGGAGAAAGCCAATGAAGCGAGAACTGGAGCAAAGCAAGCCTCGGATAAAGTCAGGGATGCCTTGGCCACCGTGAATGACATACTGCGAGCTTTGGGTGAGTTTTTACTTGGCTCTCCTCACAAAGAAGGTTCTTTTACACCCCGTGGACACCCTTAGGTGCGAGCTCTATGTTTAAGAAAGTACCTCCAATAGCACAAACACATGTGCAGCAAGAGAACTCAATGAAGCTACATGGCAAGCAAGTTTGTCCGCTCTTTGCGCAGAGGTACAGTTACATCACACTGCCAACCTGCGATTGGAGAGCACAGTGGGTAGACGCAAATGCTTTTGTGTGTACCCGCCGTATTCGTCAATCTGAGCAAGGAAATTCGTCTGCTCTTTATGCAGACGGTGGAGATGCAAGTTGTTAAGCTCCTGTGTTGCCTGCTAATCATAACATTGGCTACTTTTGCCTTTTTATGAGTTTCGGAAATTCACCGGTTCTTTCTAACGGGGACTTAACCTCCAAGAAGGGGCAGTTGAGACACTTGGGATATGTTATTTATGTTGACTAATAATTATTAGAGACACTACAACAAACATGTTTCACAACAAAGATGTCGCTTGCTACCGACCGAAGACAATAGTGTTTTCCGGGGTGGAGCTTTGTCGCACCCAAGACTGCTGCCTCTCACCCGCCCTCTTGAACGAATGGTCTCGTTTTGGTCAACTCGCTCACCCTCTTGTGTTCACACTTGTGCCCTTTGCCTTGGCTCATGTCAGGGGTTCTCAAATATTTTGATCTCGTGCAATCGCCATATGCCTTCGGTGGCAGCAGAGGAACCGCTCCAGGTTTCGGCATTGCGGCAATGAAGCATTGTTACGAGGCCTATAGACCTTGTAAAAATATTGTGCTTGCATTATTTTTACAAGGTCTATAGGCCTTGTAAAAGGCATAACAAAATTAGCTGCAATCTTCGATTTAAATTCTCAAAAGACGCAACTTCTTTAAAGCTCCGGGGAAATATGAAAAGCGCCGATCTGCGTCGATGGAGTGAGAGGTTGAGCCCCGTTCCCGTCGCAGCCAATGTGGACGAGGTCGATCCCGGTCGTCTGGACGAGCTGGAGCGAAGGCTTGCAGAGGCGGAGCGGGAGCTGGAGCGGGCGCGTCTGGCGGAGCGGCTGGCGGAGTTGCAGAAAGCCCGCGAGCAGCAGGTGCTCTGGATGCGCGACTACGAGGACGAGATCAACCAGCTGAAGAAGGATGTGGCCAACGTGCGGCTCATCAGCGAGGCCCTGCCGGACAAGTGCTACCGCCGCATACGGCTGGAGCCCTGAGTCCAGCCCCTCCCCTTGTGCCTCGACGGACGACTTCATCTGCTTTAGCGGCACCTTTGAGTTAACCGTTTTCTCCGAGCCACAACGCGCGACGTTAAGACTCGGCAGAACACGATGTGTACTGGAGACGGGTGTTGTGCATCGAGCAATGTGTAAAAAAGAAAGAAAAAAAGCTATTTTAGATTTATGTTTTCATTTTTCGCACAAATCGCAAGCCCGCCCCCCCTCTTTTTTTTTTTTTTGCATTTATTGTAATTGTTTGAGCAAGCGCTCGCTCAATATGTGAAAATAGTCTCGAAAAATCGGGGTTAGGCGCTCGTCAGGACGGAGTGCAAACATGTGAGACGGGGCGCACATAGGGATGGGCTTCGCCGCTTTGCACCTGCGTATTGGGAGAAGCGGCTAGTTGGGCTCGGAAGCCTGGGGTGGGTGCTTGATATGTCCTTTGCTTACTTTTTCGCTTTCCGTAAGTAGCCGCCGGGCGCATACTCGGTATTTTACAGTCCGTGTATTTAGCGCATTTATCAGTGTTCTCAGTCATTGCTGAGGTCGCGGAATCTGAGAAAGCAACTCCGGACGGGGAACCTTTTGAGTCGCCTGTCAAGGGCTGTCCAGTGGCACGGGACTGTGGTCCCCTTGCGTGGCCACAGTCTCGTGTCGTGTGGCCCGTGTTTTTGGCGACGTGCAGCTGTATAAATAGCAAAAGGAGCCAGAAGCTTTGGTGCCATCGTCCCGGATACGAAAACTTGTCCCAAGGCTCGTTATTTATGGTAGATTAGAGTGCATCGTGCAGCGTTTCTGTTTTAGGCTGTCTGGCCTGAAACAGGAAAAGCTCACTACAAAATTAGTCTTGTACTTTTCTATTTATTCAACCCTAAACTGGCTTACTCGAGGGGAGCATTGTCGATCGTAACGGCAAAATCTGGCAGCACTTTTGAGTCATTTCGGCAGAAGCGTGTTGCGAACAATATTTTGAGCGTCCCGTGCCCGAGCTCTGACATAGACGCTGCGACCAATCCATCTAAAATTGTCTACTCATTTTCTTTCGTGTGCCGTTTCATTTATGTGACTTTTGTTCCATGATGCGCTTTATGTGTACAGCGACAAATTAGCCCGCTTACACCGAGCTTTGCTTCGGGGACGTGCAATGTAAGGGACACAAGCGTGCAGGACTGCTGTTCACTGCCAAACTACACAACGTCTCCGACACAGTAATCCGACACGGTACAGCCTCGTCATGTGCTGAGACCCGCCGAGATAGGCTTACGTTTTTACGTCTGTTGCGCCAAGACGAATGGCAGGGAGGAGCTTCGGTTGCCCCGCTTCCAGAGCGTGCTCTCTACCTTTGACAAGGCTTCGAGCGTGCACGCACATCCAAAGCGAAGGCGTAAGGCGTGGAGCACGTGCTGGAGGACGGGTGTTCAAAAGACGCGCCCTGCAGTTCCAATTCTCCTGGCGACGATAGTACCAACGCTATGAATCACGCGTCTTCGAATTGGGACCCTTTTTATTAAGGGGCAGCGGATCTGTCGCAGGCTGTTCAAAAGCACCGAAGAGCACTCGTAATTGGGTAGGGACCAACGCACAAGGGTGTCTACGCCTTTTGCTGCATCTTTTCCGGCTCACATTCACTTCATCATTCTTCAAATCTTGTAACGCACCGTGTGCAAGAAGCTGCAGAAGAAACCCTGGCTCGGCAGATATGCGCTTGGTTGGGCAAGGCCTCCTGGTTGTAGTGAAAGCTAGGATTACTGACAATGTGGCATTTACTGAACGGTCTTCTTATTTCTTGGTTGCCAAACCCTGTTCGATGTAATACTACGTTTTGAGAGTTTACGAGAGTTTCTTTCGAACGACAAAATCGGGGAGGAAGTGTTTTTGATGCAATTAGTCGGTGTCACTATGGCCTTAAGATACGATCAATTGGTGCCTTCCATGATGTTGCTACATTGTTGAGTGGGTTGTGCCTAAAAAGAGTGTACCAGTCTCGTGAACCTAACAAGGAAATAACTGTGTTACACGGTTTTTTGCAGCTAGTCTGCCCAATAAAACTGAATTTTTAAGAGCAGATCTCAGAATTTTCATTGCTGAGTTGCTTCAAAAAGCTGGTATTAGTCTTGAGAGGGAATGGAATGCACTCCCTTCAGCCAGACCAGCTGGGAGTATTTAATGGTGTGTATTCGTGACCCCTCGTTTTCCCGCTTTCCCAAATCGCGCGAATGGTCAGTGGGCAAAGCATACCTCCAGACGCATCAGCACGCACGCACGTGTACATGCGCTGTTATGAACAGAAAGGCAGCATTATTTGTGCTCCTTTAGAGTGAAAATTTACAAGCTAAGACAGAAACTACTACAAAAGCCTTCGTTATATGCTGCAAGCCCATTACATGCTAGTATAAACATACAAAATTATGGGGGTTTTTTTTTCGAGAATTTTAGATATAACAACGATTGGATACATCGTGAACATATCTCCGATTCCCATTGACTTCGTTATAACCGGGCTGGACCATTGGCTAGCCACCATTAGAGAGAATGAAAAAACGGACAGCACACAAGAATTCTCCAACAAAAATTTTGGTGTCTATATTACCATGCCGCAGAACGGCCATTTAACCGAAATTAGGTCTGGTGTGTGGCCACTAGTTGGCATGGCATAAGATTCCCCTAAAGCCCTATGGGGGCTATTTACTAACGTCATATTTGAGTGTTCTTTTGACAGAGCATGTTCAGAACAGATTCATACTTTAACCGAAATTGGGTCTGGTGAGTGGCCACTAGTTGGCATGGCATAAGATTCCCCTAAAGCCCCTATGGGGGCTATTTACTAACGTCATATTTGAGTCTTTTGACAGAGCATGTTCAGAACAGATTCATACTTATTGGCTGCCAAGTCGGCTATCTTAATGATGTGAAACACGCGTTGCGAAAAAGCGCTCTGGAAGCTCGCCATCAGCACTCCCTCAGCAGCCATGGACACCGGTGAATGCTATATTGCTGGAGAGGCCTGGAAAATCCCAGCTCTTAAACATTTACACCCTACAAGACACTTCTGACCTTAAAAATTCTCTTCTATAGTTCTGATTGGCTTACAATCTGTTGAATTTCAGTTTTTTACTGCTGTCCCCCTCTAAATCCTTATCGCCCTATGGTCTCGCTTGTACCCTGGCACCCATGAGTGCTAGCTGTGAATCTCTGCATAGTATATTTATCTTGCTTCTTGGCACATGTTCAGTTGTGTGGTTTTGTGAGAACCTGTACATTAAGCTAAAAAAATTAATTTCTAAGTAGCAGCATGGTTTTCAAGAAGTCAAATATAGTAATGTTCAGAATATTTGTGTGCCCTTTAATTTTGCATATATTTCAATTCATGAAAATTAAGAGTTCATAAGCATTAATGCAAGTTAGGGTTTCATAGTACCTCTTTCTTCAATTTTATTGAACGGCAATGTCAACCAAATGAAGAGCGAAATTTGCAGCCTTGGCGACTGTTGAAAGTGGGTGTGAAATTCCCTTGTCACCACTTGGTAACTTGATTAATTATTGTATTGTTTCTTGGACAGGTTTTCTTCAACACACGGATATATGTTCATGAAATGTCAATGCCCACATGTTATGAACATGCATCCCTGCCAATTTCGTGAAGATTTTTTTTATTGAATAAGTTGGATTGAATTACTGGCTTCATTTCATTCATTGGGAGTATACAGGACCAGAGGTGACTTCAATAAAGCAAAAACAAATTCACGAGCCCTAATCCTAAGCTTCCAAACTAACCATGTGTTGTTTTGCTGCACTCCATCGTGTGGAAAACAGATATCGGGCACAAGCTTGCACCAAGCCTTATCGGGACCGCCAAGGTTTCAGTAAGCTGGGCCATCATCTGGAGGCAAGCGACCGAGGCGATGTACGCGAAAAGATGCTTTTAACGAAACATTGTGAGACGTCCCAATGAAATTATTAATGCAAAAGCATTAACTGTCCCGTGAAGTGAGCTGACGTCATCAACTTTGAAGCCGCGCAAAACGGCACCTTAAATCCTTTCTCCAAGTGAAGCCAGCTCCCAGCTATGAAACCACACGAAAAGCCTTGACACGGCACCTAGTTTCCCTGATCCCAAAGGAGCAGAGTAAAGCTGATGAATCTTGGCTTCGGTCCCATTGGCTGGCGCGCGTCGACGAGACACCCATTGGCCGCTGCGCGTCAGTTTCAACGACCGCCACCCCATGGCGCTGCGTGTCCACCAGCACGCCGGTAACACGAAATGTCCAAGGTTGAAGCGGCGAGGAGAGGGCACGCTTTGCCATCGACGTAAATATGCTGCAGACGAAATAAGGGAGTGGAAGAATGACATGCATGCTTTCACATTTGCAACTCATAAGAAGTGCTTAGATGTCCCTCGACCCTTTTGCAGGGACCTTTCGGTAAAACAAACCGTGGACAAAATGTTGCAGCTTTGATGAAACATTATTCAACAAACTGATTGCCATTGTCTAAATGTATATGTGCAGTGAAAAAGAAACTTTGGGTAAAAGATCGCCCTGAAAAGCCTGCATAAGTGTGAGAGTCGTTAAAATAAAAATATGGTGTGCTCTGCAAGGAGTAAATCAGGATCTTGAAAAAATGGTCTGAGACGTTATGGTCACGACTGGCTTTTACGGCACAATTTTCTTGCTCTTCTCAGGTTCGTTGATTGCTTGTACAGTCTTCACCATTGTAAAAGATCACTTTGATCATGTGGCCGAGAGAGTGGCTAGTGGAGCTTGGTGAGCATTGTGGATGGTGGCGATCAGTTCATCAAATGACTTCTCATCGACACTGCTACATTTCATTGACAGGTCACTTTGTCGACACTGCGACATTTCATTGACAGGTGATTTTGTCACCACTGCGACATTTCATCGACAGTTCCTTTCATCGAAATCCTCTCATTTTCGTTTCATTGAACATCCTGCAATGTCGTAGAAAGAGTGTATTTATGTGCATATAGGGTGACCACCTTCCTGCTAGCGAAACGTGGGTCAGGGGGGAAGGGGTAAAGGAAATTTATGAACACACACACCAGGAACCGAGGCTCTATTAACACATTTAATATTCTCTGCCGTTTATACACCTGCAAGTTATATTGCAACAATTAAGTTAAGATAATTTTCACTCCTAGTGATATATTTTTTTATGCCAAATATGTTATTAAATGTGTTGAAGTTGAAAATATAAAAATCAACTGCAGCAGGACTCAATGCTTCAAATGAAGTTAAGAAACAGTAAATCTTTTTCAGGTTATTGTTTCCTGTCAACGCTTTTATCAACGTGGTCCTACACAAAATTTTAACCTCATTCTTTTTCGACCGTTGTGAGTTGCAAGCTTTTTGCCTTCTGTGGCTGCCTTCACTAGAAAAATATTTCCACAGCTACCCTTTCGCACTGACACAGCAATATGAAAATAATTACAAACTTTATATTTAAACTTATTGCAAGCAATTTTATCTTACAATATTTTGCCAGGGCAGAGGCACAACAGCGCATGCGCACCGGTTCTCCTTCAAGAATGATGGTCGCTTCCCGCAATGCTTGGATAGAATATGGCGTACCATTGCAATTCACACGATTACCAGCAACCTCCGTGCTTCCCCGTACCCTGTTTGTCAGCACCACAAATTGCACAGTGAATTTTACGACAGTGCGAAATGTGGGGCATTTTAAAGATTTGGGAATTTCTTGCGGGACATGGGAAACGAGCCCTCAACGCAGGACAAGTGGTCACCCTATGTGCACATTCCCTTGACCATTGTGATTCAGATGGTAGCCAATGTTATACCATTATTAGATTAGCTCGGTTATGGAACTTCTCATAGACACTGCATGCACAAGCAGTACCCCCCTCCCCCTCTCCCGTCATTTGACGCGTTGGATGGCTGCTATGCTAACTGCAGCGTATTCTATAAAATATGTTGTTTCACCATACTCTATAATAGTGTAACTATATGTACCCCATGGCGCACAGCTTTGAAATGAAAACCTAGATGGCGCTTCAAATGACGGGAGGCAAATTGAATTGGGAGTGAGGGGGAGTGCCGCCCTCTGCGGGAGTTCCACAACTGAGGTAATCTAGTAACGTTGATGGTAGCCTAGCTTGCCGAACCCTTAGGGGGTTTTGACAAGGCTCGGCGTAAGCTCGAGCCTTGTCAAAATTTGTAGGGATACTATTCTCTCATTCTTTCTTGTGCACCGGCGGGTCCACCCATGTCAAATTGCCCTCCGAGAAAGGGGGAAGGGGGGGTGTCTTGATTTGGGGGGGACGGCCGCCCCCGTCGCCCCCCCTACCCCCCCCCCCCCTTGGATCTGCCCCTGGCTGTGAGTCGACAAAGCCGCGCTCGTCTCTTTATCTACTACACTTGGCATCTCAAGCATTCAACCTAGAATGTTTGTTAGTGAGCTAGGGCAAGATGGACTAGGCAAAGTCATTCTGGCCTCCTTATCTTTTACACTCGGGGTAAGAGTAAATTTGAATCTTCTAGAGCAGGGGAGTCCAAACTGTGGCTCGCGAGCCGCATGCGACTCTTTGCGGGTTCAAGTGCAGCTCGCGGCTTCCTGGTAAGCATCCTTCCCCTCCTGTGTCTCCAGGACAAAAAGAGTACTAGAATTTATAAAAAAGCTCGAAGTCTTGGCAGCCTTGTACTACACTATGTACGTACAGCTGGACTGCTTTTTGACAGATTGATGTGTCCATGTGACCCTGCTTTCTTTACTGCTTTAAATTTTGAACCGTATACACTTAACGGGTGTCAGGGGCATTGACTGACTAGCGGACCTTGTATTCATTTTTGCTTAGCAGTTAAAGAAACCTTCTGCTGCCGTGTGTTATTGTAGTCGACAATTATATGGGTGTCTGAAGTCACCAGGCTCGATCTAAAATGGACTGTAAAAATCGGTGCCTGCACGTAGCAATCTAAAGTTTTCATCAAAGGTGTTTTTCACTGGTCGTTTTCTTTTTATGTAAAATTACAAAACATAGTTCCCTTTCTTTAAAAAATAGGGCCCAAAAAAATTGTAGAGCCCTTCCACTTCACGTGAAGATGGAGGAACAGTGAAGCTGTTATTTTTACGACGTCTAGGACAATGCCTAGAGGATGACGTCTAGGACGACCTCAAGAACGACGCCTAGAGGGCGACCTCAAGGATGACTTCTAGGACGGCCTCAAGGACGATTTCAAGGACGACCTCTAGGGCGACCTCGAGGACGACTTCTAGGACAACTTTGAGGACAATGTCTAGGACGACCTCAAGGATGCTTCTAGGACACCCTCGAGGATGACGCCTAGAGGACGACCTATTGGACGACCTCAAGGACGACTTCATGGATGACCTCGAGAATGACGCCTAGGAGAACCTCAAGGACAACATCTAGGACGACCTTGAGGGCGATGTGTTGTGGTTTGGAACCAACAAAATAATAAGAAGAGAAGCAGGGTCCAGGCGGCCTGCTGAAAAGATGAGGTCTCGCATGCTGCGGTGGTGACACGAGGACCGGTGGAGCCTAGGGGCGGGAAAGCCCCGGAAGGGATGACACCAGACTTGTTGAACTTCCAAACACATACTGTTTATGTAATGGTAAACAACATGGAAGGTCAAGCGCCCTGGGGCGGCCGGCCGGCCTGAGGGCACAGGCCCGATGGTGGCTAGTGGTGCCACCTGGCTACAGTAGATCCCTTGTACTCATGGCAGTTGGTGGTGCCATCTATGTAGCGTGGAAACTTAAATGAAAAAATTTAAATACAACATGATGCCTATGAGATGATAACAAGAGATCAGAACCACTATCTAATAATGCCAAGGAAGGCTGACTTACGCTGGTTGCCCCCTCTTTATTTTTATTTATTCATACTTGCCATGACGAGTGGAAAATACGGTAGTTTTATCTGCGACTCTAACCCCATGTCACACCTATTCTAGAGGCATGAAGAAGAATCAGTGAGATTTTTTTTCTTAGTCTGATGATTACAAGGCAGGTACGAAACACATATTGCGAGCCTGAAAAACGAAGTTTGGGGTCTCGAACCAATCATGTTGGAGTCAAATAATTGCTCTTTTATTACAATGCACGTTAATTACTGCAAAATCAGAAAGAGGGCCCGTCGCTGCTTTGATGTCGTATTCTAAGAAGATCCTTTTCTCGCTGTATTTTTAGCAAATCTCCATATGTGTGAAAACTTCAACGTCAAATTGAACGCTTAGTGATTTATACAGTGTAAGGTCGGTCTGGCCAGCTAGGATGGGGCGACACTGGTTTGCACTGTAGATGAGCAATTTTGCCAGTGCAGTTTGACTGCTAAACTGCTCAGGCAAAAATCAGTCCACTTCCAGCTGGATTATGGAACTGGAAATGAGGCAGTCTAACTGGATTCCAGCTGGGTCCAGTTGGATTCCAGCTGGGTCCAGTTGGATTCCAGCTGGGTCCAGTTGGATTCCAGCTGGGTACAGTTGGATTCCAGCTGGGTACAGTTGGATTCCAGCTGGGTCCAGCCGGAATCCAGCTGGACTGCCTCATTTCCAATTCCATAATCCAGCTGGAAGTGGACTGATTTTCGCCTGGGTGGGGTCTTTAACCCCTTAAGTGCCTTGGACGAGCTGAGCTCGTCGGCCACTTTCTGGCTAAAAATGCTGTGGACGTGCTCAGCTCGTCCAGTGGTTTTTTCGGTGTCCCTCAATTCCACAAACGAGCTAGGCTCGTCCGAGTAGTTTTGCGACGCTGATCATGGCAGTTCTCGTATTAGCTGGCAAATATTTTTTTCGCCTGCGCTGATTTTTGCGTAATAAACTTTTCAAATTTTATGTGAAATACTAGAAAAGTAACAATGTAAAATAAAAAAAAAATCTGGCACTTTTGGGTTACTTTTGGAAAAAAAATTAGGCACTTAAGGGGTTAACGTGCTCACAAAAGTAGTGATACACGACCGCACGTCGGTACGATGCTCATCCAGATCGAAACGGGCAGGGGTGGGCTCGAACCCAGGATCTCTGGCTTCTGTAGCGTGAGCTTTCGCTCCACGCATGTTGAGCTGGGTGTGCGCTTTAGCCCACTCGGCCACCGATCCCCCGTGTGAAGACTTCCTTCAGACATTATCCCGTATAGCACTCAAATGCAATTTGTTTTTATAATCCTCATTAGTTTTGTTATACCCTGCCATGTTCCCAGATAAATACAAAACCAAAATCGTATCATTGAACGATTTAGACTGTTTGCGGATGGCATAATTCAGTCTTCAGTCATTCCGTGTGCATTCGTCATCCATTCGTCACCTGCAGCAGGAATCTCGAGACGTCATGAGGACAGGAAGTTGCCGTCGCAAATGTCAGAAACAGCCGATTCTCGGCAACTTCTGTCGTCGTAAGTGTGAAATCTAGGCTTCCTTTATCTATTCTTTTTAGACGTTTAAATTCCACGTCCGATTTTTGACCAATCATTCTTTTGGAGTGAAATCCAGTCTCATGTATTCGTCCATTACAATGCCCCTTGCAACAGTCTGTTTGGTGACATCACAGTTATGGGGCTTGCCTTTTCCTTTCCAGTACTTCCGGTAAGCCTGCAAATTCAGAGGAAATTTAAAAAAAATAAAGTATTTTTACAAATCTCTGTAATGTAAAACTAGAGCCTAGCTCTTGAGGAGGAGGGGAGGGTGTGCCCGGTGTGCCCCTTCTCCTCCACTTTCTCCTCCTCTCCTCCTGCAGCTGAATTTGTTCATGGGTGACGTGCGAAGTCATGACGTCATGTACTCCACCAAATTTAGCGGGGAAACTGAATTGGTGTTGAGGTCACGTGATGTCAATTTCCCCGCTAAATTTAGCGGGAAAATTTCCCACTATATTTAGCAGAAAAGTTTTCCCGCTCAATTTAGCGGGAAAATTTTTCTGCTGACTTTAGCGGGAAAAAGTCCCATAATGCAACGCGCGCGGTTACGGGCAACTAAGAGCTGCGCTCTAAAAAAAGAAAGCCAATTAATTTGCCACAAATTGGCCGCCCCCGATATGAATGATTAGTGGTTTACACTCTTCCCAGATTTTTCTCCTCTTTATTCGCCTCCTTTCCGGTGTACTTAAATTACAAATACACCTGCTAGGTGGCGCAAGCCGCCGCGCTATTCAGCGAGTTTAGTCAAAGAATGCATTTGTTAACTCTACATGATCGTTCAAAACAAAGATTGGAAGGCTGTCGGCTGCATTTTTTTGGTTATTCAAGTCTCTCGTCCTCTCGTCAACTTGTTCCCGTAGCTTTTCGATCGAAGTCTTGACATGGTGTATTTACATTTTCCTTCACAATACACAGAAGAGGAGGAAATGCTCCAAAAGAAGTACCAGAAGTTAAAGCGAAAGGTAACATTGCACCCGTTGCAGCTGTCACTTCGTGGTTGTTAATGGAGCACGATTCGCATTTCATCCAATGCATTTGAGCATCCTGCAACCGCGCTCACAGTCGTCGACGTGGCACCGCAGTAATTAAAATATCGAATTGGTCCCGAAGTGGCAACAAAAGATGCCACCGGACCGTAGCCGGCATGTGAGGTCTCGATGCCGCGCCTCGATGTCATGCCGTGGAATGTTGCGATCCTGCCCATCCTAGGGTGCCTACATGTTTCCGCCGCTACATGTAGGCACCCTAGATTATCCTGGCGGTTGGTTGCAGAGATCCGGCAGAAGAAAAAGGGAACAAACGCGAGTGTCGCTGTTGTCGTAGCATCCCAACTCCTGGCTGCTGAAACTTCCGTAAACTGTCAAACCGGAGAGCGGCTTGCAACAAAACGGACTGTCTCTATCTCCGCTGGTGTACCACCGCCATGACCAACTGAATGCCACCCGATCGCGGTATGCGATCGTAGTTTCGGCTTCACTCGCACATATTGACGCAAATTACGTATAACACTTCGAACGTCCGTATTGTTGCGCGCGCGGGACGTCTTCGATAAATAAAATGCAACCTTCGCGATGCGGCCTTTTGTTGCCTGACACATATCTAGAAAACTGATTATGTGCCTGGGTGCTGTCCAGCAAGCGCTACCTGCCAGGAACGCAGCTAGCTGACCGCACCAATTGACACAGAGGCTGCCAGTATGACTGGCGAGAATGAGCACTCCCAACAGTGGTACTCGATCAATTCCCAAGAGCGAGAATGTCAATAGTCTCCTTAGCATGGCTGCGATTACAGGTAATGTGGAGAGCAGGTCATCTGCTTCTTGTGCAGGGGTTGCGGTGACGTCAGAACGACGCCGAGTTCTGATTACCTCAATGCTAGATGCCTTGAGGTTCACCCACTATTTTTTTCAATCAACCAATAAGAGCTCGACGTTCTGACATCATCACAACCCCTGTGCAAAAAGCAGACGACCTTGCGTTCCACACTGCTGCAAAGGCAAGAAGTGCCCAAAAGTGAGGAACTTTCTGCAGGGCGTTATGGGACGCTTCGATGATGCTGAGCCATTGAGGTATCATAAATAATGGAAGAACCTGATTTATCGTCTCCGATACCTAAAACAGCGTAAAACTGCCATCTAAAAAAGCTGCATAGGAACTTAGGAAGAGTATACATGCTGTTGTAAACAACACCTTATGTTTGCATCATTTCTGTGGTGTAAGTTTAGAAAGAGTTCTATATATACGTAAAGACGGGGGACGGAACAACACATCTTTCAACTTCCAACAAACAAATGATTTATTGCCGGACGCTTCGCCTTCGAAACTCCACTACAGACCTTTCCAGCGGCATCTCGAACGAAGCGATTTACAGCACGTGTTTCTGGTTTTGAGAGTCTACGTTAGTGTTGCCTGACTGCGCTGGGCTGTGGGTTTTCTCATCAGTAGGCTGTGGCAGCCTGCTTCGGCTTAATTCCGGACGCTGGTGGTGGCAAGATTGCCTCGTTTTATTTTTTGTTTCCTGTTCTATGGCGAAGAGAATTTCTCTGAGTTTTTAAGAGAGCATTGCAATATTTTTGGGAACAAAAACAAACAAATGAAAGCTATTTTCGGCGAGTCCTTGCGCAACAGAACAAATGCAACTGGAATGTTTGTTTCATCTTATGTTGATCTTTTTGACGGCACCATACACTCAGCCGTGTCATCTACTAAGGTCTTATGACTGCCTAAGATATTTAACCACACCGCAGGTAGCCGAACTGCATGGATATTCCCCGCTCACAACATAAAATTCAACGAGTCTCATCAATCGAACGACATAAATTGTACGTACCCCGCGGTGCCGTGTTATCCAAACAGGATTTGAGGAGGGTCTTAAATAACACAGCATATCCAAAATACAGTGCCGACGATAGTCACTTCATGACGATCGGGCGGAGTCCGGCTTGTCTTGGGGTATGTTTTGAAGAGTGATGCTTTTTTACACAGCACTAAAGCAAGTATCTATTCAGGCCCCATACCCGGGACCCTATCAGCTACTTCTTGCCATAACCGGGAAGACTTTTCGGAGATTGCCTCAACGGAAATAATGCTCAAAGAACGTCGAATGTCCCGCGTCGCGGCTACTTGACGTTCGCTCTCTTCGTTCGTTTCCTGCGAAGGTCGAGCAGGCTACGAGCCCTGGCCCTGCTATTCCCTAATTCTCAATGAAAGGTAACACAAAATATGCAAGCATCCTGAACAGGCAGATAAAGTAAAAACTCGAGGAAAGCCGGGAAACTGCGAATACACAATGCAGGTGGGGAGCCGCGCTGACCGGGTTTCCACAGCTCGGGCGGGTGGCAGAAATTTTTGGCTGATAGGGGTCGCTCGAGTAGCAAAATGGTGGCGGCCAGAGAGCTCTTTTTGCAAAGGTCTATAGGAGAGGGAAATTTAAAAGCAGGGGGAAGGGGAAGAAAGGGGCAAGACAAGGCCCCGGGAGAAGAGCCGGAGGAAAGTAAACTGCAGAGGGAAGGGGAAGGGGAAGGAGGGGGGCAAGACAAGGCCCCGGGAGAAAAACGGGGGGAAAGTAAACCGCAGAGATAGCAGGAAGGAGAGGAAGGGAGGGGGCATCCCGATCTCCCTCTCGGGAGCAAGGACCACTTGCCCGGCCCGCCAAGGTCGTCAAATCCGGTCTCAGGAATGTCACCTCTCTCTCCAACAGTGACAACGAGGCCGACGAATAGTTCTTCGGCGCCTTCCTCCTTCCCCTTCCCCCTCCTTTTAAATTTCTCTCTCCTATAGTGGAGTTCCGAAGGCGAAGCGTCCGGCAATAAATCATTTGTTTGTTGAAAGTTGAAAGATGTGTTGTTCTGTCCCCTGTTTTTACGTATATGACTCATTCTAAACTTACATCATTACCAACGCGCTCACTAACAAGTATTTCTGTAGTGTTTGTAGATGACCCCCTATCAGCTAACTCGTGGCCATATGTTGATATTATGGCGCCATGGTATCCGTATAATAGTTGGGGTCGCTTTTACTGGCTGTCGCATCCCTTACTATCTGTGCAGAAAACCTCTGCTAACAGCAGTTCTTCCACTAACGGCAGTTTTTCAACTGGATCCGAGGAATTAGACTTGCAGTCAACCAAGAATTTCCTTGTACGCAGCTGCCAACAACAATGTGTGTAGATGGCTGTGGTGGTAGAAAATGTGTAGGAAAAGCTTTTATGCTCGGTAACCTCTATTCTGTAATAAGGAGTACTCACGGGACTTGTCGAAGCTACGTTAATCTGAAGGCAACGATTCTGTAAACTTTCATGCTTTGCTGGTCTCTGGCGGAGCAGATGGCACTTCCATTGGGGATAGGTTTTTTTGCTTATGGCTGTTTTGCTTTGCCTTGTCCTCATCCTTCTTCAGATCTAATCTTTTCTCCAGCTTGTCGGATGTGTGACTGTAGTTGGCACAGCCATGTTCTTGACCGGTACTTTATATTTGTTTAGTAGCCGCTGAGTGGTGCAACCATAACCCATTTTGTGTTCTAAGGAGAAGCTTCCTGTTTCACGCATTCAAGGAGCGGCATTGACAGGCGTAATGAAACTTGTATAATAGAAGGCGTCGACCGAGTTCAGCTTGTGGGGCGATATGGCAGCGACCGGCAGCGTTGAAAGGCAACTTTAGTCGAAAACGAAACCAAAATAAATGACTGGTGGTCATTTGCACGAAATAAGATCGCAGCTGAAAAATAAGAAACTGAAGCTGCATACTCCACTAATGCCGATTTTAAAGATGCGACGAGCTGTTCTTTAGCAGGTAGTAAGCAGGTTAACTTTTAGCCGAGCAACACTGGGCTACGCGCACCGTGACATCACGTGGTGGTGCTGCGGTTGATTTCGCACATTGCACTGCATACCGCAGCACCACTGTGACATCACATTGTGGCTGTACAGCTGATATCAGCGTTGCCATCTCTCCTTAGCAGATAGTTTCGGTTTTGCCGCAGACACCCGAAACCAAACTTTGAGCTGTGATATTTATAAAACTACACACAATTCAGGGACATTGACCGAGCTAGAAACAGTTATAATCCCAAATTCAAAAATATTGACCAGAGTTGCCCTTTAGGGAATCTGTGTATTGCTTTTGTCGTCAACATGCACCTCTGCCAGACACGCAACATTCTTCTGTTTCCTCGCAGAAAAAAGCGATGCAGCAGATCAGAACGCCTAAGCAAGAACCGCCGCAAGTACAGGCTACCCTACGGAAAGGTAAGTGGGGTAATTGGGTGTTTATACCAATGCCACTTTGATGTGCCTGGCTTAATTGTGGTCCTACGTTGTTGTCCATGGACGCTTCTTGGTAGTTGCTCTGTCAGAGTGCCCGTATGTACTCGAGAGGGGTCCTCAGTTCACAACTGATGACCCCTTTCTGCATTCCGAATGAGGAGCTGCATTCCGAATGAGTGGCAAACATCAGAATAATGTGCCATTTATGGCATTCCCGCTCATCTCTTGTCTGGATGGAGGGCTCGAGTCGGGACAGTATCATTTATTGAAAGTCAATGTTCACTTACTTAACACTCGTTACAGGCTCGATGTGTGTCATGTTCTTCACACCACATCAGTGCTGATCAGCGTGCACTGATATGCATTTTTCGGATCTTATTTTTTTTGGGTAATATAAGTAAAGACATTAGCAGCCCGAAATGCTTTAAGCTGCCGAGAAAGGTAACAAATTGTGTAAAGGAAACGTGGGCTAGCTTTCCGAAGTACCCATGGCAATTTTGCACTGCCAAATGGCAACGCACTGCCAAATCGAAGGACCTCCGAATCTACTAGTGCTTTTGACTTATTGGATAATTGCAAAATAGGCTCGAAATATAATAAAAGGCTGCTTTGCCGAAAAAAGGCACCATATGACGGGTGCAGTCCTGTTGAAAGTAGATGTTTTACTTTGCTTTCATAATTAGTCGTAGTTGGTATAAAATCAAGTATTCCATTTTATTGACAACGCAGTTGCATACATCTTAATTTAACCGATTTGTTATCACTGTGCTCCTTTAAATGTCAGCCTCAAAGAGTTGCTCGCTTTTTAACCCTCGCTTGCCCTTTCCCCAGTGTCGGAATCCAAGCCAGATGCCAAAGAAGTGGCCAAGAAGCTCCTCAAGTCTGGGGTTCGTGCTTTATCCTGTTTAGTCGTTGCCTTGGGTCCTTTTACAGTGTAACTCATTTATGATTGTATAATTTGAAGTGGATGCTCGAGGAAAACCCGACAAAGGGGAGGGGCTTCGAGACGTGGCTCCTGTGACTGACGACCCGTTTGCTCGCAGGCGATCAGCGCCATCAAAGTGGAGACGAAGGAACGCCACAGCTTCAAGCGCTCCAAGGCATCCGAGCGCAAGCGCAGCCTCAATGATCGGCCGGGGGGCATCGGCTATCAGCCGTACGCCGCCAATCACCCCACCGAGGAGGAGTCGGAAGCCGCCGTAAGTCACTCGGCGTGCTTCGTTTACGGGCTTCACTGGCGAAGTCGCACCCTTCCTTTGTGGGAATGGAACCGTTTGTTGAAAATCTTCACATTCAACTAGTGTCTTTGTAACGTGTTTCACGTCGTGGCTAAGGCTGTCGCTGCAACCTTTATCGAGCTGAATTTGAATGCTGTCATTGTTTGTTCCTCGTTCGGTCGAGTCGAGTCAGGTTGGCTACGGTTTCCCGAGGGTAAAGGTTTGAGATCTCTCGTAGCGGAGTCTGTCACAGTCAAAACCGAATATATCGAACCTGTCTACCTCCGGTTACCCCTAAATTGGTTGATTTTAATTTATATTGTAGATGTAAGGAATAAAAAGAAATAGGTACCGCTACACCAATCAAGACCTGCAGTATATCGAATAGATCTAATTTTGTCGACCCACGACCCGTTTGAAGTTAACTATGTGTGCACGGGAGCACTCGCGTAGTGAGGAAAAGCAAACTTGGAGAGCATTTTAGGTGCCATTGTGCAAGCTTTGAAGATTGCGTGTTCGACTGTTTCGATTGGTAGATCGATCCGACTAAACAGTTTTTGTCCACCCAATTATGAAAATGTAGCCGAGCGTCGACTATTTTGCTTCGTAAGCATATTTTGGGGGGAAAGCAGTTTGTTCGTTGCAAAAGTAAAAACAACTTTGCAGAAATGGAATATCTTTTTATGCCATGAAATTTGATCGAGCTTTTCTGTTAAATCACTTGCTAGGGCAAAGAGGTATGCATTTTCTGTTTTTGCTATAGAGGCAAATTTGACGCATCTTTTTACCGGTAGATATGTGCACCTTGCAGCGCAATCCCTCTGGTCCTTTCAATTCTTGCTTCCGCCAGCTTTGCCACGAACTGGCATTGTGCCGACACACGGTCGCACGTCAAAGATGTCAAATTAGCCGCCATGCCAACTGGTCGGCGTCGAACCAGTCCTGACAAATCTCAAGAGCAGGTGAACCTCTCTCTTCCTCAACTAGAGCCGCCGAACGAGCTACGCTTTGAACTAACGGCACTTCGGCCAATGATTGTAAGCTTGGTGCTTACAATCATTGTCGTTGGTTATCCAAAGCCTCATCTGAAATTGTGGGAGACGCTTTATCATCTTCCAGAATCATCAAAACAGTCCGCGACGGAACAAAACGACACTTCCTGCGTTTCCTGGCATTGTTATATATACAGGGTGTTTCTGAGCGCCGTTCGGGCGTAAAAAAAAAAAATTGTATAAACAAACCAACGAGCGGAGAGCATTAAGGGAGGACGCTACCCAAAAGGTTCAACTTTTGAACCTTTGGATTGAGATCAGTGAAATATGCAGTATAAACCGGCAGTTGCAAGGTAGAATACAGTGCAAAATTTCGTTTGTGTACGTGAATTGTGAAATCAATTTTAGTCAATTTTATCAGGAACAATTTGACATTGTTTAGGAAAACTATCGAAAACTAATGTAATACCCAACATTTTTCTTCACTAGATACGCGACAGAATGCCTGGAGAGTGCAACTGTGAAAACAAAATTTCAGTAAAGTAAGTTATTTTATGCTAACATCACGCTGAAAAACCAAATCATTTTTTTTTTTGCCTTCTGTATTGTCGACATATTTATCATAATATATTTATATCTTAACATATTTTACAAAAGACATCCTCAAAGTAAAAAAAAACAATTCCACAGTTGCATTGCCCATTAAATTCCAGTTTGGAAAAACAATGAGTGAACCTTTCTTTTTGTCTTGTTAACAAACAATATTTTTTCTAAAGTGAAATTTATGCCAAAAAGTGAAAGGAGAAAACGTGTTCAAAGTGCTCGAACCTCTACCTTTTTTTTTTTTTTAGCATTGGTGAACCGAAAATAATTTATAAAAAAATAACTATGCAGTGTAAACAAATTAAACTTTCTTGGAATAGTCTCTAGATGTTGGTGGATGTAAATATAGCATTCTTAAAAATCAACCCTTTTTTGCAGAACGTTTGTTTTCTGAGTAGCGTCCCAAAGGTGTTTTTAGGTGGTGTGTTTATGACGCTCTCTGCTCTCCATTTTCTAATCCTAGGTATTGCCATTTGTGCCCGCTCTGCACCGGGCAACAAAATAGCGGCTCCCCCAAGACGATCCGGGGGTAATATGTCGATAGTACACCGCCCCTGTCCCTAAATAAAGACGTTTTCCAGTTTGAGCACTACTTTAGCAGATCTGAGCCATTCCCCAATGCGTAACTATGCACCAAACGTGCATTAATGTATAAGGGCCGTACAGTCGCGTCTCATTAATATGGACGCCCCCATTCTCCAGAAAAATAGACCATAGTGCGAGTCGTCAATAATAACGATTTAGGGCCAAAACACTCGCCTCAACGAGCGTAGCCAATCAGAGGGACAGAGGCGAAACATGTGACAGCCCTTACAGAAATGGCGAGAGCGTAGGTGGTTTTCGCGGGACGGTCGAAGAAGAGGGGAAGGAGGAACTCCTTCATATCCAGACCGCAGCCTCCGCCGTTTGCCAGGTTACAGTGAAATTGGCTTTGAGGGTCTGGAGCTTTTCCCGTTCCCCAAACAGTGACAAGATCTACGGTGAGGTGACTTAGCTGCTTTAGGGCTTATCCTTTTTTGTTCCCAGTTGTAGTTCATACATAATCCCAACAATAGACTGCAAGTGGTAATTATTCATCTTACGTAAAAGACAAAGCAAAAACATCCTTTGGCGTGCAGCCCTTATCGTAAGACCCTGAACGGACGTCAGGGTGCACGCTGTGACCCCTCGGGTTCACAGGCATCTCGGAGGAGTTTTTGGACCTTTCTTTTTTTAAACGAGTGTACTGGCGTCCGTGATAACGAGACAAAAATGCCCATATTTACCCAATTAGTTCATACTGTACCCTTATTATTTTCATTATCATCCGACTTTGTTCATATTAACGAGTCACTACCATATTTTCCCGTACCGGTCTTCCGCATCAGTGCCAAGACTGGGACGGGCTCCTCGGCTAGCATCCGAGGCAGACGGGGGTCCCTCGAGATGAAAGGGCTCGAGAACCCCTGCCCTGAAGCGTAGCTCGTTGAGCGGCCCCGGCCCGAAAGTTCACGGCGTCCGACTCGTCCCCCAGCCGTCATCGACCCGTCCGGCGGTGAAGTCGCTGTACGACAGCTTTGTGAGCGGGGGCAACTTGGACGAGGACGACCCCAAGCACTTTGACCGGGACCCCGAGAAGGAGGGCCCTCCCCCCGAGCGTCCCCGGCAAGGCAACACCCTGTACGTGCACGGGGTCGGGCTGGCGGAGGACCTGCTGCGCTCGGCCTTCTCCCCCTTCGGGCCCATCCTCTCCATTTCCATGGAGGTGGACAAGAAGTGCGTACTGCCCCCTCACCCTTTTGCATTGCAGTGCCGTCGCGGGCTCTTCCCCTCGTTAGAAGTGACGTCCGTCGACGGTATCGTCCAATGCTCGAAAAAGGAAATCCCCGATACCCGCCGCGGTTTTCTCGAGATTCGATCCCGGGTCTGCCGACTTTGAAGGGGGCGCGCTACCACAGAGCCGTGCCAGCTGCTTGGATGCACTGCCTAACAAGCCGCATGTGTCGAGGACGCCTGCGCGTATGATTCGCGCGGCGCCCCCTAGACGGCCACGATTGCTGTGACGTCGTGTCACGCCATTCGAGCCTCACGCATGCATACTCAATATCAATCTTCCCAGGAGGCATTAGCCGGGTCTTCCCTTTCCCAAATCTGGGCTCTCTTGTCTGCGCTGGCTGTGCAGGCGACGAGGCTTACCTCACCTCATGGGGAGGCCCGTCCGCATGATGTAATCCCTCAAACACATGCACTCACGGTAGAATTTCTCTCGAATATCCTAATTCTTTTACAAAATCATCTTGGAGCCTTTTATTTTTGTAAAACATATAAAATAGCGCAACAGAAAGACAAGGACAAGAAGTATTCAGGACAGGCGCTATGCCACCTGTCCTGTATATAGTGCCTGTCCTGTATACTTCTTGTCCTTGTCTTTCTGTTGTGCTATTTTATATGTTTTACTAAGATGAACCAACTAGCCCAACAACGTACCCTACTACAGTGTAGACCGCATATAACGTATGTCGCGGGAGTCGCGAAAATCTGCACTATAAGCGGTACCGCGCTATAACCAAAACATCAATTTTTCAGGCCAAAATACATGTCATCAGACAACTTACCTTTGTAAAACAATTTATTTTATGTTAGATGAAAAATAAAGCTTAGTTTGAGGAAAGTCTTTATTTCACCATACTTCTCTCTCAAGTGTGTCACACATTTTGAAAGAAATGAGCGACTTTCGCCTGGCACAGCCTTTTAACGGCGTCGCGGGTTGCGGACGGACGTTGCTAACGTCAGAATTGCTAACCCTAATCACTTTTCTCCGGCGATGAAAACACGTGAAAATTCGCATCCTTTATACGGTACGCGCCAGTAATACCTTCAACTTGAGCACAGGCACGAAATGCTCCTAATAAGAAATCCGGGCGATGTTTGAAAACACAAATGCTTAGAAAGGACCACTGTAGTCGAAGTAACAAACACGACAACACGGGCGTTTCTGCCGTTTTGAGAGTGCCGCCACAACATCGCCGCACGAGTAGGTGGATCTTCCCTTTTAGTACGTGCTAGGTTATCATAGCGACACACAACGAAAATTCACTGTCAAGGATAGCGCTTTTACGCGGAACGATGAGCGACGATCACAACCGACGCCATGTTTGCGGATAGAAGCAGCCGGCCCGTGACCGGCATGCAATGCGCGCGAACACTTCTCCTCGACCTGCGATTGGTCTGTCGTTGCGGTTGTTTCCAATGCAGTGGAGGGACGCACGCACGTTTACGACACGTCCATGCCTCCCTCAGTCGCTATGGCAACTGAAGCCTCCCTCTTCGCTTCTCCCCGCTTCTTCGAGCAACCTCCTTGCCCCGCCGAGTGCAGCTCGTGGCTAGCGCCGTTATCTAGTGTCGCGCAGAGAAGCGTGCGGTCAGCAGGCTGTTCCAGAAACTGCACTATAACCGGTATTTCCCTTCGCGCGCCTGCATTTTAGGCGGTATGTAATTACGTGGAGTTCTATGGGAGGCGAACCAGTGGTTTAAAAAAGCCACGTTATACCCGGTCCTGCACTATAAGCGGTTACGTTGTAAGTGGTCTATACTGTAAACCTTTTATCTTTTTTTTTTATTTTAGGGCATTGGCATTTTGTTATTTTGAAACTGCAGCAATATTGACTTCCTTATATTAAGACTAAAAATTTATGGCAGATTGCTGGGCAATTGGGTTGGATACGTGAAACATTCTAGCATCACAAGCTTTTAGCGATACTCTGAGTATCCAGATGCCTACGTTCCCGGCGCTCTTCATCAGATAGTTTAACACGTACCATGTGTACATTTGATAGTTCCGAGAATGAAGCGATACTACTGCTAATTAGGCTGGTGAACGTGGCGATCTTCCAGAGCCCTTCATACTCTCGAGCTCCTCTTTCTTAGTACGCACAGGTGGTTGAAAACCCCCTTGCCTACCCCTCTGGTCACGTGACCTCCCTGTTCACCAATCAGCGTCGAGCACTTTGCTCCTCTCCTACCTGTCAACCAATTAGTGTCGAGCCTTGTGGCCATGCTTTTATCCAAACTTCACTTTTGGGCTTCACTAAATGCCAAACACCTACCAAAACAAGGTTTCACTTTAAAGCAAATGAGCATGCCACTCTCCAAGCAGACAGTGGCCATGACTCCTCCACGTAAAGTGCCGACCATGGTAGAAGATATACAGGGTGTCTGTGGAAACATGGGTCAAATCGCTTCTGAAAAAACTCCGCATCACACAGAAATAACGTTGATGACATAGTGATCTGTGCCGAAGGGCCCATTAGGAAAACTTGTTAGCGTTCAGTATAATTGGGTAATTAATTACTTTTCAGCAATTAAATTTTTACTTATTCAATTTAAAGGTATGGTCTCAATTAGAAACTTGATGGAAATCATTGAAAACTGCTAAATTATCCACATTACAATGCTCTATTTAGATGCAGTTTTAGGTTTTGGTCTCTTATTAGAGTGCATCTCTGTGCTAGCAGTCCCGCTCCCCATGGCCAAAATGCGCAACATATGTGCGTCGCCACGCATAGCACGTAGAAGACGCTAGATTAGAATGCCTTCGACTGCCACACAAGGTTTGTCTCTTTGACGTCAGTGCCACTGTGAAGACACACCTTTATGTGTGATGCATGACGGCGCATGCTCATTGCATGTTTTGGGTATGGCGGTTGGGATCGCTAGCGCGGAGATGCGCTCCGATAAGGTGCGGAAACTTAGAACCGTGTCCAAATTGAGCAGTTTTTCAAAACGCGCTAAAATACTGCATGTGCCTTATATCTAGGGTTCCGTGTTTTTGGATAAACCCGAAAAACACCCGCCGATAAAAGTTTGGTCAGTTCAGATTTATTCGATAAACTCCGAATTTTGATGTGCCAATACCCTTCAGAAAAAGACAACAGTACAATTTGGGCAGTGCAGGGTCAATGGTCCTGGGAAAATGCCACCATAATTATCTTTAAAATCTCGGACCATTGTCAAAAGGGGTCTTACCGCTTGTCAAGGTTGATTCAGGGCAACAGATCATTGCACATTCGGGTCACGACCAAAGCCACTCTTTTTGGTTTCCACTTTGGGCCATGCGATTTGTGATTTAGAGAAAGGAAAGTGTATGTCTGGAAGAGTGAAAGCTATGGACCATAGAGATTGCATAAAATAGGGAAGAGGAGCAGTTGAAACTTCTCTATGACATCCTTAACCACCCCATCTTGCATGGCCACAGGCCAGATCGATGGAATAGGATGGGATGACTACGAGCTTCCTAGCGACTACCTCCGGGAGTTTATTGAAGGTATCGACGTTTATCGAAGCAACACTTGTGTGTGACTTTTGTCAAGGGACAAATTAGTACAGTCGACTCTCATTAATTTAAACTCGAGGGGGGCCGAAAATTTGTTTGAATAAAGCAAAGTTTGAATTATCAGGAGTTTCTTCCCATAGAGACGCATAGGATGGGACCTGCACGTTAGTTTGAATTATCCAAAAGTTTGAATTAAGAGATTTTGAATTAACGAGAGTTGACTGTATTGCCAATGGCAGTGGCGCCAATGCCAAATTTAAATGAAGAAATTTTAATTGATACAAGTGTGTTTTATTTTTTGTCTAGCATACGTTTACATCTGCTTATTATTCATATATTTATTTTTAGTAGGAAACACTGCAAAATTAAAGTGAAGTTCAGAGAATCGGGAATCAAGCAAATATAAACTCCGATAAACTCTGAATCTTTGGCAAAAAATGAACTCCTAAAAACACCCTTCGAATTTGACGAAAAATAAACTCCGAAAATATGGAACCCTGCTTGTATCATTGTAATACGCCAACTCAACTCCGTTACGTCACGCTACAGTGGTGGTGCTCGGGCACATTTCCGGTCTGGGGTGCGGGCAAAAGCCGCCTTATGGGACTTGCATTTTTGTGTTGTTTTGGAAGAAACCAGGCTAAAACCTGCCTTCTCCTCGAGACACCGCAACTGAGGCTGTACCAAATTTGCCGGGAAAGGTGTAAAGATAAGTCTTCATGCGTGCTCGGTTCGTCCGAGGACGTGGATCGGTGCCATGAAAGGTGAAAAACCAGACACCGTCGAACCACGCTTGCTTGTGCGGGAAACACTTTTGGGTTGAATTGACAATCCTTGTGGTCATCAGATGTTTTGTTCCAACATGAAAGCTGGAAAACCGTCAGGTTGTCTGGACTAACGTCACTGGATCCTGGGAAAGTAGTGCCATTGCCTTCCCTACCTGCTAGTTGGACGCAAACAGATACTAACATACATATGACCAAAACTTTGCAAGGCAATTGGCTAATCTGTCTACGTTGCCATGGAAATCGCCATCTTGGTCCATTCAAATCTTCGAAGCTTCCAGAGGGTCATTCTAAACCAGTCACGCCAAGATCACCATAGAGCATCATCGCACTGGAAGCATTCCTCGCCAATATGAGCGTCTTTGGCACTATGTATGCAATCAACTTGCCAATCCTGCTCATGTCCACGGCTCTCTTACAACTGTTTTTCTTGCGTGTTTTAAAACATTTAAGTTTCAGTGCCTCCAAGCACCGACACGGCATGTGGTGGTGGTACGAAGATGTACGCTAGTTTCGTTGGTGTGTGGATAGCAAAATCTCAGTATGCAAGAAACGTCTCCTTAAAGCCACCCGTCAGAAGTGAATTTAGATCTGCTCACCAAGAACAGAGGGGTCAATGAGAAATTGCTTATTTCACAAACCAAAATGGCGACCATACGGGGAGCTTGGCACCACTTTCCCAGGATCTAGTGACTTTAGTCCGGGCCACCCGAGGACCACGTTCGTGCGTCTTCATGTTCAAACGGCCATCTCATCATTCAAGCTGTCATCTGCTCTTTCAAACAACAACGGCCAGTAGACCAAACACGAAAACTAAGTGCAGGCTTCAAAAGACCTTTAAGAAAACATGCAGCAGAAGAAAAATGTTTTTTAGAATTATTTAAGATATTGAAATTATATTTCTACAGTTTATGTTGCTTAATCTTCTCTTTATAAATCTGGTGTTAGATTTGAATAACTTGCTTTTTAGGTTCTCACTGCAATGTGCATGAAGAAAAAGCCATGTTCTCGTGTACATGTGAGGCATGGCAACACACTTAAAACAGCCTAGTAAAATAAACAAACCACCGAGTGCACTGAACAGCAAAAATAGCCTGTACAACACTATTTTTTTTTTCATTTTAAAATAATTAAATATTGCAAAAATGCCATTTCAATGGGCTCACAAGTATTTCTTACATTTTTCAAAAATATAAAAAATATACATTTGAACCAAACCTAGATAGTTGCATTTTACATGTTTTAAAATATATGCATGCCAAATTTGGTTGTGATAAGACAATATTCAGAATAAAAATTCTTGTACACAGACTGAAGGTGCCCCAAAATTACATAAAGACTAAAACATGCTTAAATGTTACCATAGATATGTAGCTATAGCTACACATCTATTGTAACATTCAAACATGTTTTTGTCTTTATGTACACAACGAAAGAGTATATATACTTTTTTGTTGTGTGGAAAATAATATTTTGTTAAATTTCTGTGACAAATTGAAGCTACAGGAGACTGCAATGGAGAGGAGACAGCTGGGCCTACTTGTCAATGTAATGTGATGGCGGGCAACGTCGCAACTTGAAAAACCACACAGAAATCTGGTTCAAATTCACGCCATTCTGGGTTGCCTGCAGGTCTTCAAATGTGTATTCAGATAATATCGCAATCGTTATTGGCACTAATTATTTTTATACATCAAATATAAAATTGCAAAAGTAATAAAACATTATAAAGCCCCAAATCAGATTTTTTGCAAAATATTGCCATTTATTGACTCGCATCTCCCCCTAAGTTTGAGGTTGTTTGGGGTATGTAGGCTTGGTGTAAACAGTAGATTCAAAACGATGATCATTGTTACTACTGGCCATCACCAATTTATTATGCCTGATTCACTTGGTCCAGTTCTGCTTGCGCTTTTCAGTAACGACGGCGAGCATCGCAACTACCGTCCATGCTTTTTGCAGCCCGAGCGACGTTGCAACCGAAAACAGCTAGCAGAATCTCATCATGAGAATCAGGCTTTAGCGTCCATTCTGCTGCCTTTACGCGGAATGAATTGCCGCACGTCTCATTACTCACACAAAGTTTTGCGGTGTAACAAACCTCATTAATTTCGCTCAGGCCACTAAAGTAAGATATTGCTAGGAAAACGTAGGATCAACAATTTTAACCCGAAAAAGAGATACCAATGCCAACAACGTTGCGTTCCAATAATTTGTTGATACGGGACGTGGAGCTTCTTGCCCACACCTCATTGCACATGTGTGGTGCCAGTAACATGCCGTTAGGGGTGCTCTGGTTTGCTTGTAAACATGAGTTGGCATATATGGGTGGATTTAGTAATCTAGGATCATTTGAAACAAGTTTCTAATTAAAATTGTACCCTTAAAGCTAGTTATTAAAAATTTAATTATTAAAAAGTGCAATTCATTATCATATTACACTGAATGCTAATCATGATAACGTGGATGCTTGGGCAAGTTGGTAATTCATGCTTTGATGGAACAGCGCGGATGAACAGTCTGTCTCCTTTTGTGTGCATGTGACTGTGACTGTTCATCCGCGCGAACAGTCTGTCTCCTTTTGTGTGCATGTGACTGTGACTGTTCATCCGTGCTGTTCCATCAAAAAATGCTAATCATTTTCCTTAGTGGGCCCTTTGGCACAGGCCAGCATGGCATTTGCCTTTTTTCTGCACGTCACATAGTTTTTGCTAGCGATTCGGCCCACGTTTTCAAAAACGCCCCGTATAAGGATACCTTAAAGGGCAACTCCGCTTAATTCCGAAAAATATAGGCTTATATGGGATTTCATTTCACAAAGCACTACTAAACAGCTCTACGTCTTCGGATTCACGAAATGTGGAATATTATTTGTGTAATATTAATTTAAACATCAGCTGATACCGAAACCGAAACTTAGTTTGCGTCAGGCAACATTGGTCTTGAGTCGTCAGAGTCATGGCCACGTCACGTCGAACCACGTGGTCTTGTGACGTTCGTGGGGGCGAGGTACAGGACACGCGATGCGGGTATGCGGGCAGGCCGCTTCGCATGGTGTGGACGGTGATGGCCCGGGGGAGAGGGGGAGAAGACGAAAGAAGAGAGGGGGAGCGGAGAAACAGACCGATAAGCGCGCAGGGCAGCGCAAACTAGCGCATCCGCGTTACGGTCATCACGTGGACGCTGTTGAGCCAACAGCGGGAGGAGAAAGTCATGACGTCATCTTTCAATTTCGCTCTGAAAAGTGAAAACAAACAAAACGTGAGAATGACGTAGTCATGCCTCTGACATAGTGGTTCAACGTTGGCCGCTCCACCTCCGTCGCATTGACTGCGCTGACGATTGCGCCTCACGTCGCACGCTAGATTTGGCAGATTTTGGCGACTTGACTCATTTGAAAGTTTACTGGCCGCTTTATTAAATATATAGACGGAATTAGATCGTAATATTTGAGATGGGGTCTTCCTATACGATTCTGAAGAGGGCTGCATAGTTTTCTAAATATCAAAAATGAAGCGGAGTTGCCCTTTAAGGTTCGATAAGCTGTTGCCTTGATTCTACTGTGGATTCACATGGGACTGATCTTTTTTTTTTTTTTTTCCTATAGTCTGTTATGACATAAAAAAATGTGGGGAAGATCGTCCCAGAAGGCCCTCTACTCTTTTCTTTTTTGCACGGTGAATGCAGGAAAGAAGGCAAGTGTAAACCAGCAAACCACTTACTTACAAAACACTCACACAGAGCTTTGTGTGAGTGTTTTGTCCTGGCTTTCTTCACTCGCAACAGACTATAGCGGCGGCCTTTTAGAGTTGCTGACGTCTGTTAAGGCTGGCTTGCACATTTGCATTTGAGCGCAATCGAATGTGAGTGTTGTTGTCGTCGCACCGTCCAGACTTGTGGCTGCCGGAGTTCACAGGGTCTGTCGAGCTAGAGAGCGACGTACGGCGGACCATTAGTCTGCCATATACACGTCTGCCGCCGTGCCGCCGCCAGAATTGTGGTGGGCAATGGCGGGGCAGTTCTAGGATATCGTCGGGCAGAAACCGTGGGACTGAAAACGAGGATGTGATTGACGGATTTGGTCAGAGACGGGTTCCGAGCTCTGTGGCGTCGCGGACCTCCCGAGGTTCGAGTTCGGAAGGGCTCGGAGGTTTCAAACCTTTCGTCGGGGATCCGAGTTAAGTCGATTTGGAAGTGATGGTTAATGTGCCACCTGTTTTTCGGGTGTTTTGGTTTGAATGTTTAGTAGAAGTTTCGGCGAGTCGAGTTTGATGGGTTTGAACCTTCTGGTGGTGAAAATTCGGCTGGTTCAGAATGTTGTGGAAGGAGGGCATTGGGTGTGGGGACTAATGCTCCAAAACCACAAATTGAAAGAAAAAAATCTGGTCTTAGATTATGTAGCTAAGAACATTTGACTCATTGGCATAATATCTTGAGAGGCAATGAGATGTTACAGGCACTGCGTTTTGTGCTCTGAAACAAATGAACACCAAAAAATACCAAATAGCATTTAGCATATTTTAAGCCAAGCAGTCGACCGCAGCTTCCAAAACACGTCGGCTTCGCGTGTGACACTTCGAGCTTTGAATTTAAAGAGGCACAAATAGCACTGCACCCCTATTGTTAACTTGGAATACCTACCGTAGAATACCGCGCATCCGCCCATACCACATTAAGTGCCCATACCCAAATTTATCAGATTTGAGAAAATATGCACAGTACATTGATATGTGAAATTGATGACCGGACAAGCACTTATCCCCATTTTTTTTGCGATTATCTCTAAATTTTGAGTGGGCACTTGCCCGGTATTTTACGATAGTTTGCTTCATTTCATTTTTTAGGTTTTGCAACGTTGCTATGGCAAATGCACTGTCTTTTCCATCATGGCAGCAACTTGAAGCAAGATGAGAGCCTAGGGATGCAAGTGGTCTGACAACTTGTGTAGTCTTTTACAGTAATTTGCCACTGCATAAGCTCATTGATGAGGTGTCATTTGTTAAAACACCGTTCGTCGAAGGCCGTGTCGATGAAGTAGGACGCTGTGAGCTGGCATGTTGTGTTTTCTTTGCAGCTGCGGTTTCGTCACTTTCGAGAAGATTGAATCTGCCGAGAAGGCCATCGGCGAGGTGAGAACCTTGGAATCTTTGGGTACTTTTTGGGAAGGTAATGCGAGTACATTCTAGAAGGGTAGGGTTAACTTGGCGCAACACCTAAATTTAATTATTTGGCCACTCATTTTTCTAAAACTGTCATTGTTTTTTGCACTCGTATTAGAAAAAAAAATTTTCTACTGGAAAAGCATGGGCACCTGGAAAGTGCCTTGGGTTGCATAATCATGCAGACATTCGGGGCACTTTTGCGAGCTTAGCATCCAAGTCCTCCACAATGCTCCTGAGGTACAGACGGCAAAGCTACGAGTTACCTGAACAGAGCAGCTGGCAGGGGGGGAACAAAGTATTGTACGGGGTGCAGCAAGATGGAGGTTCCTCAAATGTTGGCGGGGTTAATCCGGTGTAACGATAAGGGCAGGCATAGGCAGTTTCATATACATCATAGGCAGTTTCAGATACAACACTTGGGTGCTACAAGCCTTTCTTGGTTGCTTTAAAAATCACCTTCCTTGCAAGAATAAAAGAAATGAACAATTGCAGCAGGCATCATCTGAGAAGCGTGCAGTCTTTCTTTATGCTACCTAACCTTCCACTTGAAGTAGAGGAATGAGAGAGCCTTCCTAGCCTCACTCACGCTGCATGGCAGCTAATTCAGCACCCTGTGTAGCATATTTCTTTTTCCCTCTGGCTTTCTGCTGTATAAGGGTGGCTCATGACTCGATGAACCGTGTATGCCTTAACGTACCAAACGCTTATGGAGTAATAAACTTGGGGCGTACTTACAAACACGGGTTCCTTTTTTGCATTTTGTTCATGACCATGAATCGGGCTAATTATCTACATAGCCTTGCTAGTCGACCAAATGGTCAAGATTGCTTCTTGACATTTTGGGGCTCGACCAAGGTTCAACAGTAGCCACTGGTTGGCCGCTGACAGTGTTTATTGAATTTTAATCTTGACTAGTCCATGGGGGTTCTGTTGAACAATATTATTAAAAACAATGTAAAAGGATGCGACAAAAGTAAAACACAGGATGGACGCTGTGCTCCCACTTTTGGCCAGTCTTTTTGTGCTGTTGTTAATAATATTGGTTAACAATGAACCAGCCCAGCAATCCACCCTTTTAGAGTTCTATTGTCCATTAAAGTTTAGGCTATGCGATAGTTTCCAACAAACGACCTGATCACTTTTTTCTTATGCATGCTTTTATATACTTAGTGTATACTTTCTCTACTATTAAGTAGCTATTCATTGGACAATTACACAATGCACAGTAAACTTCCATTAATTTGACCTTGATATTGGGTGGAATTATCCAAAGATTGAATTATAGGGCAACTCCAGTCAATTCCAAAAATATTTGAGTTAATCGTTGATTATATATGCAGTGGAATCTCATTAATTTGAACCCAAGAGGGATCAGAACTTTGTTTGAATAATGCAAAGTTTGAATTACCGAGGGTTCCCATCCTAGAAAAAATTTAGACGGGACCTGCATGTTTGAATTATCCGCGAGTTTGAATTATGAGAGTTTGAAGTAACGAGATTCCACTGTATCAAAGTAGTAATAAATGGTGCTACATAATTTCTTTCTCAAAAAGTGTAGCTTTATCTGTGCAATCTTCATTTAAAGGTCGCCACAAACCGCAACCGAAACCTTGCCTGCGGTGGGTAACATTGCTCCTGTGTCGTCACCTCCTTGCTCTAACCACCAACGTGATTAAATTAACTCAGTTATGGAACTGTTCATTGTACGAGCAATACCTTCCCTCTGTCCCCACGGCTCACCTCCTGTCGTCCGATGCACCGGACAGCTGCTATGGTAAATGCAGTGTATTCTATGGAATACATATGTTTGGAAGCACAGCGTCCAGATGGCGTTCTAGCATACCCTATGGAACACACAGTTTTTAAATTAAAATCTATATGGCGCTTCAAATGACAGGAGGTGAACTGAAGTGAGGGGGAGGGGGGGAAGTACCCCCATCTGCGGGAGTTCCACAACTGAAGTAATCTAGTAACGCTGTCCAACAGCTCTAACCATGTGACAAAAATTGTGACATCACATGCCAGGCGGCCAGCCACAGCTCGGCACAAAGGCAAAAGTCTCACCTGCTATGATAGGCAGTCTGCTACACCCGACGACGCTTGTACTACCGCGACTGCAGCTTGTTTTTTAGAACAGAAAAAGACAAGTTCTCCCAAGGGCTTGTTTTGAAAATATTAGTTGAAAGTAAAGTTCAGTAGACCACACGTAAATATGTCTCGACGGGTTTATAGAAGTATGCTTTGCTCAACGTCGTAAACAGGCTCTCTCGCATGCGACGGATGCTGCCAGCCACGGCCGGCGATGACACATGCTCACATGGGAGCACATAACCGCATGCACATTCCGCAAATCGCGTGGCTAATGATGAGCACGCTGCTAGCGTCACATGTAGGCTTTGCTTTAAAAAGACTCCAAGTAGACCTAAGCACTTTTTGGGACATGTGAATGCGAAAACATGCGAGCCGCCTTCTTCTTCGTACTTTTATTCGCAGGCCAGCGCGCGCGCTCTCGTCGCTGCACTGATTTTGGACACTCCGTGTTAACGGCGCACTGACGGACACACAGCGCCATGGGGTGAGCGGTCGTTGAAACTGAGGGGCAGCGGCCAATAGGAGCCTCGTAGATGCGCGCCAACCAATGGGACCGAAGCCGAAAATCCATCCGCTTACTCCGCTCCTTTGGGATCGGGGAATTTAGGTGCCGTTGGCTAGCTTTTCGCGTGGTTTCATAGCTGGGAGCTGGCTTCACCTGGGGTGCCGTTTGGTGCGGTTTTAAAGCTGATGACGTCGGCTCGCTCCAGGAGACAGTTAATGCTTTCGCATTAAAAGTACAAAGCAAGGAAACAAATCTCGAGCGTCCTGAGCATGATGTAGGCAGCGCAGGGTGGGCTGCTCCGACATGGTGGCTTTTATGGGGCTGTTGGCTACACCGTGCCTCGCTTGCTGGGATTAGCAGATTTTGGTAATTTCGCGCAGTTCAACTTTCTTTGCCAGTTTCATTTCCTTTTACACGGAATCATACTGAAATATTTGGCATGCGGCCTTTTTAGGCAATACTGAAGAGAACTGCATTGTTTTCTTAATATTAAAAACGAACCGGAGTTGCTCTTTAAATAGGCATATCAAAAGTCTAAGTCAAGCTCATTTTTACTACTCAGTGGTCCATGATCATGTGCTGCCATTTGCTTAAAACGCACATCTGAAAACATGCTCCAGAGGGTGGAACATGTTTTTTCTCGAAATGGATCTCCTGCCGCCGCTGCGCGCTCGGGGTTCAATCCACTGAGCTAAATCACGGCTTTAACGATGCGCTTTATGTACGGAATTCATGGAACATGCATGTGCGTACGAATCTCGTGTAGTGCCCGCTCGATGGCTCCATTTGCTGCAATGTCGCGGTAGAGAGCTCTTTGTCACTCTTAATTTCAAAATTCGAATTTTGAAATTAATGGCTTTTATTAGGTGGCGCAAGCCACTGCCCGAGCCTGCACATCATGTCATCGTTTGTGGATCCCTGAGCCTCTCCGAGCGGCAGATGCACTGAGGCTCGACGAGAGTATGGCACAAAGTGGCAGACGTGTGCGTCTTGGCTTCGGCCACATGCCGGCGTCGCGCTTGTTGTGAGACGCCGAAAGATGCGCTGGGGGTACCGTTACTTGAACCACTCAGTTGGAAAACTGCCATAGAGACTGCTCTGAAAAAGTTGCCCCAATCTGTCCACCAGAACCGAGCTAATGGCGAACACAACGCCGCCATTTCTCCCGCAGCGGCCACTCGAGGAACGGCACGTTACTTCTATGGTGCCGAAACGATACAGCGGAAGAGGTTACAGGGGTGCCACCCCCGTCTCCCCAGCGGACGCGCCGCGAATTTCTACCGAAGTTAAAATGCACCCAGGTCGGGACGCGCTACCTGAAAAGACCGCTGAGGCATGGTTGTATAAAAACAATATTAATTGTTCCGCAAAACCTTGCAAACTAAAGATTATAAAAACATCATGCGCCCTTCATTTTGTACTAAACTCCAATAAATTTCATACAAAAAGAGTCTTTTCCGTTTGTTTTTACGCAAAAACATGCTTTCTAAAAGCTCAAGGTGACCACAGTACAGACAAATGATAAAGAGTGGCGCTGTTGTCGTATTTAGCTCGGTCTCAGTGGACGCCAGCGGCCCAGGTTTCGACGGCGAGTTTCCCAACTGAGTGTTTTAGTAACATTGGCTGGGTGTGACGCCGATGCGTCTCGCAATCCATCGCTGGGAGAACGGCGAGGTGCATGCTAGCGAGAACGAAGCCTAGAGAGTTTGCCATCAAGACCAACGCCCCATGACTTGGCCGTGACGTGTTGCAGCTATCACTTGATTATACTGTAAATTAAAGCAGGACTGCTCATTTCTTTTTTAGGGCAACGGCAAATGCTTTTTGATTTTTACTAATTTTTACTTGGGGAACGACGACAAAAGCGGAAAAAACGTGGAATCTGTCTATTAAGCGCAAGGTAAAACAAGATGGCAGCGTCAGTTTGCAGTTGCTGCGAGACGATCGCAGTTTCTTTGTTGCCGTCCAGCATAGACGAGGTTTGAGCTTTTACGGCACAATTTTGAACGAAAAAATATGACCTTACAGAATTCACGCACGTTTGGCTTCGTAGCAAAGGATACCTGTTTTGCTCTATGTGGGGTGCGCGAGGCGGCTCTTCTGCTGCCATAGCATGGTGCAACATGCACCCCTCCTGCGTGTCAAAATGCACGCGCACCCGCCGGAGCTTACCGTATTTACTCGAATAATGGCCGCATTGTTTATGAGGAAAACCTGAGGGTTCGTTTTTCTGCGGAGCATGCGGCTTGCTAATCACCGCGATCAGCAGCATGATTGCAGAGGTTTACAGGGCAGAGATAATGTCTTCGCGCAAACATACCATCTGTGAAGATTGCGTTTGTTTGGTGAATCGTGTTCTCGATCTAGTTATTTGCTATGTTGTTTTTGCGTAACGCGATGATTGGCTGTATATGTGCTCTGCGGTAAAGCAGACGCAAGCGCCTTGTTCATAAATATTGTGGCTATTACTCGAGTAAATACGGTGGAATGGGTAAAAGCTTGATCTGCTGGGCAAGTTGGTAATTGACATTCATATTAAAAATAGCGCAAAAAAGACGGGACAAAAAGACGAAGAAGCACGCAGGACAAGCGCTAACTCTCAACCATTCGTGAAGGAGTCGAACTTGCCGCCAACACTCAAGACTTGAGGATCTTACAAACTCTCGTCCAATGCCCGATGGACAGACCCAAGGCACCAAATAAGGAAGCAATGTCCGGTCGGCACTGTCCTTTTCGATGGCGTCTTCTTGTCCTATCTTTTTTGCGCTATTTTTAATATGAAAACTTATAATGGGATAGAAGCGTGTGCAAAGTATAATTAACTAAGGTTTGCTGTACTTGTCTGTTTCTTGTACACATATTTCTGGCCTTCTAAACATCTGCTGTAAGCTCACTGGCAGTGCTTGCAATCCTACCATAGTCTGTTGGTCGTCTGTCCAAAGAACTTCTTTTTAATGTGAATGCATTAAAAAGAAGTTAATGCGAATGCATTAAAAAGAAGTTAATGCGAATGCATTAACTGACCCATGAAGCGAGCCGACGTCATCAGCTTTGCAGCCGTGCCAAACGGCACCTAAACTTCTCTCTCCTAGTGAAGCCGAGATCTGATGGCTCCCAGCTTTGAGGCCGTGTAAACAGCCTAGCCAGATGGCACCTAGTTTCCCCGCTTCCAATGGAGTGCAGTGAATCCGAAATCTGATGGATTTTGGCTTTGGTCCCATTGGCTGGCGCAAGTCATGGTTTCAAGGAACGAGTCTCCTATTGGCCGCTATGCGTCAGTTTAAATGACCGCCACCCCATGGCACTGTGTGTCCTCGCCGCCAGCGCACCGGTAACACGAGGTGTCTGGCCGCCGAACGAGGCAGTGGCTCCACGCCCAAGGTCAACGCAATGAGGAGAGCGCGCGCTCGGCCGTCAACGCAAGTACGCTGCAGACCAAATAATGGAGCAGAAGAACGACATGCATGCTTTTGCATTCACAACTCATAAGAAGTGCTTAGGTGTACTTCGAGCCTTTTTGAGTTGCTTTTCTACTATGGGCGAGTGTGCGAGAGGTGTGAATGCAACACTGCAGATGAACGGCAGTATGGTGTCCGGGATCAAGCTGCGGGTGTCGTACGCGAGGAGGCAGCCCTTGATACCTCAGCAGCCAGACGGATCCCCGGCCACATGGACCACCCTGGGTAGGTGCTACACCAATAGTCTGGCCACCCCGACCATGACCGGTTTCTACCTAGGTTCCTAGGCTAGGCGGTGCGAACTACTGCCCGCTACGAAGGATATGGCTGCTATTATCCGTCCATTCAACATAGGGCACTGTAACAAGTTGGCAGAACTTGCAGTTTTGAATTTGGCAGAACTTGCAGGAAGCAGCAGTGGTAGATGGTATACAATTTCAGCATTCAGAGAATCGTTCTTGGATCACAAACCTTGATTTGGCATCTGAAAGATTGAACATTAGAGCCTATTTTATAATGTTGCGCTTAGAGCCGATCGAGACATTTTAGACTGCAACTCCCATTGGCTCTTGTAAATATGTTTTAGACAAAAGCTTTATTCCACCACAAAAACACTCTGGCAATTGGCAACAACAAAGCTGTAACTGAGCCTTTGAAATTACCTTTGAAACTCGGAGAATGTTGTGCATGGCTTGTTTTTTTTTGGGGGGGGGGGGGGAGTTTGCAATGCTTTTAGTTTACATCTGTTAAACCCTTAAATTTGTTCTCTAAACGGGATACTTTGGTTTTTAACGAATTTCTTTTCACCCGATTTAAATTAAATTCTCATTTACTATATAATCTTGAAGGCTAGGCAGAAAGATATGTGTACCGGTTTCTTACTGTTGTACTATAGTCGGTTACAAGTCAAGAAGGTAGGAGGAGTTCCTCCCACAAGTGTGATGCACCCGTTTCAAATCTCTCCGCAGTTGAAAGAAGAGTTCACTGGAAACGCTCCTTGTTCAGCTTCAATGTATAGATATTGCCTACAGAGTGATGCCAGCTTGTCTCCGATCCCACTTTTTAAGAAAGCAACCTTTGTATTCATCGGAGAGGGATCCGAGCCCCTAAAAGCAGCCTTTGTTTCCATCGGAGGGGGAACCTAATCCCCGAAAGTCGTATTTGTTTCCATCGGAGGGGGAAAACTCTAATCTCCCTCTCGTGGCTTCCACTATGCTAAATCAAAGTCGAAAGATAAAGCAAATACGTACAGAAAGGCGAGACCCTCCTCACGCGTTGGCCGCAACGTCACGGAAACGATGGGACGCTATTGGATGCGGAGGTGGCGGAGGGATATATGATTCCCTTTGAAGGGCATTTGCTGCTACCTTCTTGACTTGTAACCTACTATAGTAGAAGTTTCTTACTATTACTATTATGAGAAAAAACTCAGTGCATCACACCATGTTTTTATCAAACATTTTTACAATATCCCCATTAAGAACAATAGCACAAATATGTTTGTGTGTTCTGCAAACAGTAGAGATATACCACAAAACCATTCTTAGAATTTTAGTATCAATCTAAGAAGGGTCAGCATATGTTGGAATTGCTTCAGTGACCATTAGAAATGACTTATTTAGGTTATTTCCAATAAGAAAATAGAATTTATGAGGTCGCTATCCCCAAAAAAAGCATGGGTGTTCTGATCTGACTTCTAGGTTCAAAGATACCCGGGGAAAGCTTGTGCGATGTACCTAATAAAGAAGTGAATACTGAGAAAGCTGGAAGAACTTGCCAAAACAAGCTTGTATACATCATGTATATGGGACTTTGAACTGACATAACTTATTCATTAATGTGCTTTCTGTAAGTGCAGCCATTAGAAAGAAAAGGAAAAATAATTTTCCTTTTTAAGACAAGTGTCTCCCCTTATAGCCTTAATCTTCTGCAATGGAAATGCACCTCTTCCTCCTCCCCTCTGGAAGGGAAGGAGGGAGAGACATGAATTCTAGGAATTGGTGGTATTCGATGTGTCTCATTATGTAGTTTACAATTGGTTTGAATATTAATATTCAGTTGTAATTTGATTTTATCGTTTTATATGCAAGCCAGTTTACGTAATGTTTCAGTTGTTTTCATACAATTTGGAACTTACATTGTGAAAGACAAAAGATGCAGGCAAGCTTGTGATTGGCTTCCATACCTCAACCCAGGAAAAGAAAAGCCAAATGGACATACACACTGTCTCAAATTGAGATGGTGTTTGTGTATGTCCGCCCTTCATAGTGCCTATTGCACATCTTGTCTGGTTACCAAGTGTGTGTTGAAAGTGCGTTGGTTTGAAACACTACTTCAGTGCACCAACCTTTATTATTCTAGCGGCAAACTACACACAAAAGGGTGGCAGCTCAGACAAGCGGAGCCTGGTGACATACGACTTGGAGCTCTTCTAGTTCCCACCATCGTCTTTCATCAATCATTGTCTCGATGTAATTAGTAATTTTATTATATTAATAAAGAAGTGTCAACATGCACCAAGTACCCAGTAGCAGAATTCTTTGAAATGTACTAGAGTACAATTTACTATGCCTGCAGTTAAGTTTCAGTCAGGCTGCAGCCTGTACATTGTCCTATGTTATTGATGCCTGTCCTGCCAGCCAAACGCAAAACCCAAATGAAAATAAAACTGATCTGTAAATGCTCGTAAAGCTTGTCAACACAACGTTTGTTTAGCTCTTGTTTGTTCGTCAGTATGAAATGTGGTCGAGGAACAAATGCGAAAATCACAGACGTATGGAACCTTTAGGAAGCCTAGAAACTTATCTTAGGTGTTATTGCAGCACCTGAACCATGTGCAAGGTCAATAGAGACTAGAAGGAAAATTTAAAAAAAAAAGGCTTGCCTAGGTTTTTTTTAGACATTACAATTTCCACTTTGTTAATTTTTTTTTTTTCTGGGAGCTATTGTTTAAAGTTGTTCCCATTTTCATTCCTTCATTCTCCAGCATTTCTTAATAAAACCAAAGCAGGTATGCTATTTTGAATTCTGCAAAACTGTAGGGAAATTTTTTTTTTAAACATGTATGAATTTATTGTTTTTAAAAGTAGTGGTTTAGGAGAGCCTGGATACTCCGAGCAAAGAAGCTAGATCTTGGCACCTTCGACATGCATTAAATGTGGTTTATCTCCCGTTTCCGATTTGTTAAAAGACCCTGCCTCCCACTATTCCCTAATGGCACTCATTGTTTCATCACAGGAATCCTCGAACTCAAATTTCGGACAGGTGACTCCACTTATTTGGAAAATAGTTGATTGAGCATGTTTGCAGTTTGGTGGTAAAAGCAGTGAAAGCTGAACTACCACCCTCCCAAGCAATTTTTTAGGCAATTCTATGGTGTCATTTGAGAAGGATGCATCTCTAAAAATTGCACATTAAAGTTTGCGATGTATCACTGTGTGACTGCAATGGCAGACTGGCATTCAAGTACTCGCAGTGCAAGCTTAGTGGAGATTTTTTTTTTTTTTTTTATACGGCGGCACTTGTGAGCAGCACCGCACGTGAATAGTAAGAGTTTTGTTTTGCAAGTGCCTTGATAGGGAAGAGGTGTGTTTCCATGGCTGGGGGGTGGAGGCAGCATTATCCGCCTTGCCAAGCTACAGAAAGACCCCGAAGATTTCACGCATGGTGATACCCGGAATTCAAGAATGCAGGCCGGCAGATACTGATTTCAATCTATTTCATGTTTGAGGAGCAATTTCAATGGGGAGATCATGGGATATTCAATAACGGAATGAAATGCTTCTACTAAGGTGGAATGCATATGCTCTGTTGCATTTCTTGGAGAAGTTTCATTTTGGAAGTATCTCTACCAGATCTTAGCCATTTGTTGTGATAGTTTTAGTATTTTGTTCAATCGCGGAGTCATTGAAGGAGTGCAGCGATCTTCATATTTCAGTAAATATCGCTTGAAACTGTTTTTTTATGTTAATATGTATCCTACAAAACATGCATTCTTATTTGTTTTCTCCAAATAGTAGCAGTCGCAGAAAAGAAAATTTGAGAAAAACGAGCAGCGTTTACTCCATCAACCCGCAGCCAAAACAGCGGCCACGTGTCATAGCTGTGACGCGATCAAATAGAGGACAAAAAGAAAAAAAAAATTTTGGTTGAGAAGTTTACGTTAGCTTATGACAATGTGGTCTGCTGAGTAAGTGTCAGAACATTTGCAAGTAGGAGCACAACGTTTTAAGATCTTTATTTTTGTATGCAAAATAGGAGTTACAAAAGTAATCTTTAGAAGGTGCAACCATTCGAATTTTCTGAAGGCTTCGCGATTTTCCATTTAAAAAAGGCGGAAGCATCGGCTTTTGGTAATGCAAAGTGAGAGATTTGCACGGCCGTGTGAGTGCTTCGGGATTTATTTTTTTTTTTTTGCTTTTTTTATTTTAGAAATTCACTTGATGCAGCATTTTCCGAATTTATGCAGTAATGTTTCCAGAAGGCAGTTTATTTTTTGCCAAGACACCAGATACTCCGATTTACTCAGCTTAGATGCCGTTGGTTCGCATAGCTAACAGGACACTTGCACCTTTGTAGCAAGGAGTCTTATGAAGTCACAGATCAAGCCTCAGTACATCTACTTTCTTTTTTTTTAAGTGCCCATATTAGTTTTTTTTTTAATTGCCCGGTCTTTACTCTTTTTGGTCTACTGTATATAGCATATCAAAATTACAAATAAGATGAAGGTGATGCTGAAAGCAACTTCCAAATTACGCCAGGTATTAAAAAACTCGCAGGTCGAGCAGGCAGTTAAAAAAACAAAACAAAAAAAAAAAAAACGGAGTATCCTCAAACATCTTGCAACCGGTTCGGAACGAGTTCTAGTGCCTAAGTTGTGCACATGTGGTATGTGCCCACCAGAATCTTGTACCCAACGTTGCGCAGTAACTTTGCTTGCACCCTTGACATTGCCACATCTGCAGTGATGTGACTGCTGCGCTATTTGAGCCAAACTGTCCCAAAGGGCTTACCTGCTACATCCTACTACATTTAGCCTAAATGTGAGGAACTTGTGCCAACATATTACACTGAAATTAATTTAACTTTATTAATACTGAAAATATAATGGCCCAGACCCCGCTACACGTCCGAATCGTAGGCTTGTGTGAATTTTCAGAACTTCTGATTTTAGCTGCAAATATTGTACTGTCCTATGTGATATCCCTGTCAGTGTCAAACACTGAGAGTAGAGGGAATTTTCGCAATATCTCTCATGTTCCTAGTCTGCTCTGGCATATAAGTTAGCTTTGTTGAGTGCGCCTCGCACTTGTGTACTGCAATGAAGCGGCAGCCGCGATCAAAGTAAGCATCGCAAATTCGCTTTTCTTGTTTCGCCGCAGTACATCCGAGTGCTAAAGGGAAAGCATTTTCTCAGAGCGTGACGTTAAACACTCAAGTGCCAGGTATGTCAACTTGGTGAGTGTTAATGTAACGGCTTTTAGTTGCAGCAAAAATTTCTGAATTAAACTGCGGCCATTATTTACCGGTCTTCAAGCAATAGGAACCGTGCGCATCTAATTCAAGCCCCGACCAGGGCGTCCCTAGCGGCAAACGGGTCCATTGCATCGGGAAGCTTCTGCCAGCCGCTGCGTTGGTTGTGTGTTGTAGTTAGGGATGTCGCGAACCACCCTAGGTTCGATTTCGAAAGGTTTCGATATTTGCGAAGCGAACTGAGGTTCGATATCGAAAAATTTCGATATTTTCGTACCGACCGAGGTTCGAATTCGAAAAATTCGCAACTTTTGACCACAGAAAAGTTTCGAATTCGAAAATTTCGAAGCTTTCACGGTTTCTAAAATTTCGAATTCGAATATTTCGAATATTCGAATTCGAAATTCGAAATATTCGAAATCCTCTTTCCTCCCTTTCAGCAAGGGGGAGAAAGCCTCTTTCTCCCCCTTGCAGGTATTTCAGACTGTTAAAGAAAACAATACGGGGAAAGAGAGCGTGGTCGAGCTTATTTTAATCTGAAATTATTTATGCATATGTATAGCTACTGTCGCTCTTCACTGCATAAAAGGTTGCGTAGATGGTCACTGTTAGAAACTCGTTGTCAGAAGGCACTACTCGTCACATGCTTAGTGGTTCGGAAGTTCAAAGCTGTCTTTTCGACCTAAATACCTGTGCCGATAGCAAAAAAAAAAAAAAAAAAAAAAAAAAAAAAAAAAAAATAAATGTGGGAATAAAAAGCAGGAGAAAAAAAAACAATCAAGAATTCGTCGGAAGTGTTCTAATCTTGCATATTCAGAGGTTCAGAACTTCGAAACAAGTTTCTTTTACCAAAATGTGTACAGGCTACAAGAAACACGTCCCAGGAACGTGAAGCGAAAAAAAAAAAAAGTTTTCTTTTAATGACGTGCTGAACTTGAACACTATTAGAAATCTTCTCCCATGAGTTAATTTATTCCTTAACGTGAAAAAAACAATAAATATATTATTTTGTATTGTGCAGATGGCAATGATATGTACTGTCTGTGGTGATAATTTAAATGCGATACCTCAAACAACTTAGACGAAAATAAATATCAAGTTTAGGTCATAATTGCATACAGATACATGTTTGACATTTCTTCGAAACTCATGTTGAATAACAATAATCACATCTTAAGACGGCACTTACCTAGGCTATACATAGATCATTCTTAAACAAGTATAACATATCCACCATAAATAGTTCCGGCTGCAGCGTGCTTCAAATCTGGCACAAACGATAATCGTCAAAAACCCGTCGTCCTTCCTCGCCCCTTCGGGGATTTATTTCTTTAAACCTAAGCATGCCAGAACATTGAAATAAACGACATTGTCTTTCGTAAGGAACGCAGCACCGCGTGTAAAAGTTCGAGAAAAAAAATTACGAATGTACCCCACTGCTTGAAATTAAATGAAACCGTCCGCCGGTCTTTCGAAGTTCGACGAACGTCGAACTTTTACCCTAAAAGTTCGAAGTTCGTCGACCTTCTGACTTTTCAGAATTCGAAAGTTCGAAACTTTTCGAATTCTCTTGATAAATAAGTTCGAAAGTTCGATATTCATCGAATTTTTTGGTCAGCCAAGTTCGAAAGTTCGACAAGCATCGAACCTTGCAGCGCAAGAAGTTCGAAAGTTCGAAAAATATCGAATTTTTTAGCTTAATAAGTTCGACGGTTCGAAAAGCGTCGAACTTCTTAGCTTAACAATTTCGAAAATTCGACCTCCGTCGAATTTTACGATATAGAGAATTCGAAAAATCGAAATCTTTCGAACCTTTCGAACCGCTTGATTCGATCATCGAAACTTCGATTCGAAAAAAGTTCGCGGCATCCCTAGTTGTAGTGGGTTAGCGCTGTAATTTCTGAGATGGCTATTCCGCACCAAGAAAGCCGTAACAATTGCTGCGTGGTCGGCTGCAACAGTACGTCGAAGATCGCGCACGGCACGAAGTACTACATCGTCCCTTCGGAGCCGTACGAGGCGGAGTACTGCGCGGCCTGG